CGGGGGGCCGGGCCGGGCAAGGGCTCGCCGCGAGCCCCGCGTTCCTCCTGCCCGCGCCCGGCCGGGGCTTCATGCGTACCCCGGGCGCTGCGCGCGTGCGTCCTAGCGGGTCGTCGGCCCTGCTCGTCCCGGCCCTGCGTGCCGGGGCTGCGGAACACGGCGCGGGGGGGGGCGGAGTGCCTTTCCGGAGCCCGCACCCTCCTCGTGGGGACTTAAGAGCTGCGCCCCGGTGTTCGCCCAGCGCTCGGGGTCCCGTGCGTGTGGGTCCATCGCCAGCATTCTTTGCGCTCGGGCCGAATCCTGCAAGGGGAAGCGGACCTTCCGAGGGTGGCCCCCTCCCCTACAGTCCCCCGGTGGAGACCAGCCGGCTTATGTCTTTCGCCTCTAGCCAGAAGCTGCCTCTGCCCCTGGGGAGACTTTCCCTTTCCCAGAGCCCCTGAAGAAGCGCGTGCAGCCCCGTGACCTGCCACTCCTGTGAGCAGCAACCCCTGCCCCCTCCTCACTGGTTGACGTGGGGCACCTCTTTGTTCCCCCCCCAAATGCCCTGAGCTCACCCACCCAACTTGTGCCGGAGCGCCCCCCCACACACACACACTGCATGGTTCAGACATTTGGAAAAGAGACCCTTCTTCTTTTTTGGACATTTCTAGGTTGAGATTCATGCTGTGGGGGCCACTGTGTGTCCTTTGTGCTGCGGGGAAGGCGTTTTCAAGGATCACAAACCAGGCCAGGTAACTGGGCTGTCGGAAGCCGCCTTCCTCCGAGTCGGCCCTGGGTCCCGCCAGCCCAATATCGCCAGCACGGATTGGCGGGAGCAGCTCTTGAAGGTTTCAAGCCTGAATTTGCCTGCCTTTCCCAGGATGCTGCTGCAGACTGAACGGGGAGCCCCGGCAGCACTGGAGCTCATGGTCCCAGACTGACAGCAGGGGGGCCGGGGGGATGGCAAGGCCCCTGGTTCATCTGTCATGCCAGCTTAATGTTTATCGTCTGTGCTGGGGCAAGATTAAGACACTGCTTTTATCACGGCTGTTGAGCTCACCTGGACTGGCAACGGCTGGGGGGGGAAGCCGTGCAAGCGGCCACCACTGCTGGCTAACCCCATACCTGGGGTGCTGCTCTTGCCCCTTGCAGCCCACTAGCTCATCCTTGCCCACCTGATGCCTTCTGGAAACGCTGGGCTGCTGCACCCTTCTTCTCATTCTGCTGGGGACCAGTGCGGCCAGGCCGTCAGAGCTGGACTAGGGCTCGAAAGAGGGGGGTCCTAGTCCCCACCTGGCTGTGGAGCTCCCTGGGTGACTGGGCCAATCATGCCTGACAGCCTCGCCTGCCTCACAGGGTTGTTGTGAAGGCAACATGGAGAGGAGGCTGTGCCAGCTGTTTTGGGTTCCCTGCAGGAAATCCTGGATAGAAAAGCAGTGGGTCCTTTCCCAGCCGTGGGGAAGGTTGGGGCAGTGGGGAATAGCCGCCAGTTGTGCTTCCGCTGCCTCCACAGGTCCCGGGCCATGTCGAAGGGCGCTGGGCCCCTGAAGCCCCTTGTGGCAGCCTGCCAGCTGACCTCGACCCCCGACAAGGAGGGCAACTGGGTCGCTTGCTCCCAGCTCGTCCGGGAGGCAGCCCAGCGGGGCGCCGGCATCGTCTTCCTTCCAGAAGCCTTTGACTACATCGGAAGAAGCACCGAGGAGACGCTGAGCCTCGCAGAGCCTCTGGAGGGAGAGACGGTGCAGCGTTACGCCAGACTGGCCAGGTAGGCTCTTGGGCCGTGCCATCCCCCAGCGGGCTGGGGGAATGGTTTGCTGCGAGTGGCTTGTGGGAGAGTCTGCAGAGGAGCTGTGCTTGTCCCCTGGACTCTTTTAGAGATACTTGAAAGCGCCGGGGAGCTGCAGTGGCTAGGAAAGCTTGCCCAGGGATTCCTTGGGACACCTCTGGGAAGGATTCAGGTCTGCTCCTGTGGAGGCCACGCCAGCCCCACACCTGTCTCCAAGGTGGATGGTGTCACCCCAGAAAGGTGCGGGCGGCTGCTGGCTTGTGTACGGTGTGTCTGTGAGCTGGGCTGCGAAGGAGCGGCGGCTTCCACTTGAGCTGCAGCAGGAGGTCTCCATGCCGAGTCACCGTTGCAGATTGTGCTCAGGGGGAGTCGGGCCAGAACAGTGCAAAAAACCACTCTTGGCACATTCTTACTTAAAAGATTCATATATCTTAGCTAGAATTGTCTCAATGTACAGAATGCTGTACATTTGTAATGTAAGGAAGCGAATGAGTATTTATCACTCCATTCCAAATATAAGAAAGAATAAAGACATTACTTAACCAGTCAGTTCCTTTTTCAGATACTCAGAACCAAATAAGAGACAAGATGAACAGTTCCAAGAAAAACAAGACCTTTGTTCGACAGGATGCAAAAGGCCCCAAAGGGCCACATAGAGGGGCTCCCCTCACTGGGACCCCAGGCTACACATGGGTGTCATGCATGCATGCCAGCCGGCTCAGCCTCTTGTCCAGAAGGGCGCCAGCCAGACTGGAGAAATCTGGGGAGAGAGGTGGACAGTCCCGCCTAGCCTCCGGTGGTCGGCTGTCCGCCTTCTCTCTGCTCCCCGGCTGGAAGTCATGCTCAGAAGCTGCCCCCCGCCCTTCTTTTTCTGGCAGTGAATGTGCAGTCTGGCTGTCCCTTGGAGGCTTCCACGAGAGGGGCAGCGACTGGGAAAGCACAGGGCGGATCTACAACTGCCACCTCCTCTTGGACCCCAAAGGTGACGTGGCTTTCTTCCTGGGTTGTCCCCCCCCCCCCATGTTTATGCAGCAGCTTGGCACACACTGCAAGCTCAGGTCCTGTGATGAGCTGCACAACTCCCCAGTTTGGTATCAGTGGCTGTGCTAAGTGGACGGAGCCGCCGGGGTGGGAGAGCCCAGCACCTCCCCAGTCATGGGTTCCGGCGTCCTGCTGCTGTGGCTGTTGGGAAGCTCTTCCTGATGTCCCGCTGGAACCTGTCTTGCTGTCCCTTGAGCCCGTTCTGTGTCCTGCAGTCATGGGTGATCGAGAGGAGACACGGGCCCTGCTCTTTGCGACAGCCTTTTAAGGGCTTGGAGGCGGCTTTCCTGCCTCCCCTCAGTCTTCTTGAGGCTGAGCACACCCAGCTCTTTCATCTCTGCTCCTCAAAAGCTTTGTTTCCAGTCCCTGTTGCCTTCCTCTGCACCCTTTCCAAGGCAAATGCGGCAGGCCGCTGGGACCAGAGCTGGAGTTCCATTGGCAGTCCTGGTTCTGCATTTCTAAAGACAGATTGTGGCGCGCGCGCGCGAGCAAGCGAGCGAGCGAGCAGAAAGGGGAGCTTCCAAAATGATTGGGGGATTGGAGTCCCTTCTATTCAAGAAAGAGGTGGCAAAGGGTAGAGGAGCTTTCTGGACTCGAACCCTGGAACCACTAAACCATCTACTGAAATAGACATGCAGGAGATTGAAAGCAGCTGAAGGAAAGCTGCTTCCTGTTTCAAATGCACAGCCTTGTCATGGAAGTGAGTATCAGAAGCTGAGTTTTAGTGGCACAGCTGTCTCAGAGCTGTTGGCTTCTACTGCTACAGGTTTTTAAAATTGCTTTTAATTGGAAATCTCTGTTCTGTGGATTTTATTGATAGGCTTTTATGCATTTTTATTCTGCCAACTTTGTGTGATATTTAAGGCGGATGCCACATTAAGAGGATTCTGCCCTTACAGGTACCCGATGAATGATTTTAGATAGCTCAGGGTTAGGCCCTTTGTAGGGTTAGGGCCAGGAAACTCTGAGAGGAAGAGGATGTTCTGTCTGGGCCAGTTTTCTGTGTCTTCTCAGCAGAGCTGGACAAAGACTTTCAAACTGAAAGCCTTGATGAGGGTAAAGCTGGCCGAGCTGGCCTTGCAGTACAAAGGAAGAGTCTTGCAGAGGTCAATAGCAGCAGCAGCAACGAAGCAAGTCGTTGGAAGACGGGGCTCCACACTCTGCTGGCTTTACAGGCGGGGGCGTCCCTACAGAGAGCTCCGTCTAGGCCAAGCAGTCCTGATCGCCTTAGGACGTTGCTGAGTCAGCGAGCCACAGAATGCTGGTGGCTCCACGGCCTGCCCCGGCCTTGCCAGCGCCGTCCGTTTGGCCTCTGCGGGAAGCAGGAAGAAGCTGGAGGACTTTGGCCGCTTTCAACAGGGCCCTTCTGCGGTTCTCACACTTTCTGAGCCGCCCCAGCACTTCGCTTCCTCTTCCAAGAGCCCCCTAAACCCCAGGCAGCGTTCTTTTCGGCAGAATGTTTGCACCCAGCCGCAACCGTGGCACCTGGCGCGGTAGTTTGCCAAGGCCGGTCACGGCATCGAAGCAGCAGTGCAGGGGGCACCAACAGGGGATCCCAAAGAGCAGCAGGCCAGGAAGTGGAGGGAGGGGGACCAGGTGGCCAGAAAGCCCCAGGCTTCTTGAGAAAGTCTGACCCTTCTCTCCCTGGCGAGGCCGGCTCAGGAGCGATCGTGGCTGCCTACCGGAAGACTCACCTTTTTGACGTGGAGCTGGAGGGACGTGTGTCCCTGCAGGAAAGCGCTTTTACCAATCCGGGCCCTGAGATTGTGCCCCCCGTCAGCACCCCAGCGGGAAAGGTATGTAAAAGGATCTTTCTCACGGGGGGGGGTAGTTATTGGATGGGATATGTAGTTGGAGGCCCAGAAACTGTGTGGAAGAACAGCAGACATGCCCAGTGGTTGCAGAGGAGTTGCTTCTCCCAACTCAGTTCCCACTTGGAAAGGCGCTGTGGATTCCAGGTCGTGACTCTTCTGCGATGGGAGTGCGCGGAAGCTGCCACACACAAAGCCGTTCCTGCGGTGCAGTCAGACTGATGCCCACAAGCTTTGGCTGGCCTTGCTGAGCGGCTCAGGGAGGTGGTGCCTGCCGTTGGGGTGCGCCTGGGGGGACCCCCGACTCGGGGGATTGTCCCTGCATCAGAGTATCTCCAGGGCTCCCAGCACATGGTAAGGCAAGGGCCGCAGTGGGGCCTGCTGCCCCACCTGAGCATGAAAGCCGGGTGCGCCGCCTGCTAACCCGACCGAGGATGACAGTTTGACAGGGCAAATCAGCACAGGCTGTTCTGCGCCCTTCCCAGGCGGGGGCTGACCAGAGGCTGCTCCCTGATGTATTCTTTAACCAGAGATTTCGTGGTTCGCTACTCCGCCTTGTAAGTATTGGGCAACTTCACTGGGTCCAGGGGCACGTCCAGCCCCAGGCCCTCCCCTCGGTGGGCGACCGCTGATGAGGAAATCCAGCCATGACACGGTGCGACCATCAGCGGGATCACTAGCTCCATGTGCTGCGGTTAAGCCCCGCAGAGCTTTGCTGCCCGACCATGTTGCGGAAGTGCTGGATTTATTAGCACAGCATTGTATCGATTGATTGGTTAATTAATTATTAAACGCTTTGATAGGCCATCCACTACAAGCGCCTCAGGATAACTTACAAGAAAAAGAAACGGAAACGAAATCAGTAGCACAAAGCCAGGCCAGCGGCCATGAGCAAGTGGCTGGAAATAGATCCGTGAGGAAGGGCTGGCGGGCCGGGCTGGGTAACAACACCTGGAAGGAGACTGCATCAGTGGGGGGTGGGGAGCGCCACGGGGGCCTTTCCCTCCCAGTAACCAGCCTCCAGCCCCTCGGAGGGCACGGGATCCCAGGGCAAGCCATGTGGTGAAAAGCTCCACATGGCCTTCTTCCACCCAGTTGCAGTGGAATACAGGGCCCAGCATCCGCGAGAGTTCTCCATGTTGGCTGGGAATGATGGGAGCTGTAGTCCAGCACAGCTGGAGCAACTGGCAAAGAAGGCTGCCTTACTGCGTGCGCAGGTGCTCGGGTACTCCTTAGGTTTTCCGATCCCTCGCCACAGAGGACTTTCGGGATCAAAAGCGGCACTTTGGAGTCCGAGCAACCCAAGGCCGGGCAGCGCTGCCACGGGAGGCCCACAATGGCCGCTCCAGCTAGCAGTCGCTGCGCCTGGCCAGCCCTCCAAAGCCCGCTCTTGGGAAACTGGCCCCTTGCTTGGCCTCTCTCTCTCTCTCTCTCTCCGCGAGCCATTCATCCTGGCCTTTTCCCACTGGCGGCGCTGGAGTGGTGCGTCCAGCGCTTGCCCCCCGCAAGCCTCGTTCGGGCCCAGGGCGGCTTTCCGGCCTCTCCCCCCTGAGCTGCTCTGCCCTGCCTGTTCCAGGTTGGCCTAGCCGTCTGCTACGACCTGCGCTTCCCAGAAATGTCCCTTGCTCTGGCCCAGGCCGGGGCGGAGCTCCTGACCTACCCCTCCGCCTTCACGGTGCCAACAGGCTGTGCCCACTGGGAGGTAAGCCATCCGCCACCCCGGCGTCCGACTCTGCCCACCCCACACAGCCCCCTCTGCCGCGAGCTTTTAGAACGGGGGCGGGAAAGGGCCTCTGTTCACACGCAAGAGTCCCGCAAGAGAGCTGTGCAACATGCCCCTTCCCGCTCATCCGGAGCATTTGGAAGCTGCAGCACATCACAGAGTTTGACCCAGTTCACTGGGCCGGCTGGTCTTGGTAGGCGTTGCTGCCCCACATGGCTTGTGAGCTCTGGCTTGGAAGGCAGCCCTCCCCCCCCCCCCCGGGCAGGAGGCTAGTGGCCACTGCCAGCTCCTCTTCCTCCCCGCTTGCTTCGGAGCCTAACGAATTGCAGTGGGGTGGGCAGAGAGGAGACGCAGTGGTTCTGGACTTCTGCTTCCCAGCATGCCTGGCAGCTTACTGTGCCAGCAAGGGCTCCTGGGACTTGCAGTCACAAACATCTGGATTCTGCCTAGCCCAGTGTACAATAGAGGACTGGTTTGGGTCCTTCACCAAGTTTGAAGCATGTAATGCCTCTCGTGTGTCCAGGGAGAGGGTGGGGGGAGAGAATCTCTGCAGTTCAGCCAGTTCTGCAAGCACCAGTTCCAAAGAGGGAGGCAAGCATTGTCTTCTGCCGTCTCCTCACGACCACCTTCCCCAACCTGGTGCCATTCTAGGTAGTCCACACACCTGGAGTGTCCCAGGTTGGGCAAACTGCTCTAGAAGATGGGTTGTGATGGACAGAGAGAGTTTCCTTGCAAAGGGGAGGGGGCTGCGTGCCCGTTTGTGCGTCTTGAAACCACTGGCTCACCTTTAGGGGAAGGGGGCTTGCCGCTTGTTTGGAGCCCGCGTTGCCTTGGCCCCGTGGGGTTGCCCTGCCCCGCAGCTGGTTTGGCGCCCTCTGCCCCGCTGGCGCAGCACCCCTCGCGTCCCACCGGGGCGGTCTTGCCCAGCCTGGCCACCTGAGAGCCGTTTGAAAGGAGACGCGGGGGCCGAGCACGAGAGGTGCGCAGGTTTGAGCTTGCGTTCCTTCCCACAGACAGCGGGGAACACACTCTGCCTCCCTCCCCCCGGGTGCGGTGCTTGGTACATGCTCTGTGCTTGAAACGCCAGAACGTGAGCGAGAGACGCAGGGGCCAGGTCCACGTGCGCTCCCTCCCTGCAGGTGCTGCTGCGTGCGCGTGCCATCGAGACGCAGAGCTACGTGGTGGCAGCGGCGCAGACGGGCAAGCACCACCAGCGCCGCAGCTCCTACGGCCACACCATGGTGGTGGACCCGTGGGGGAGCATCGTCGCCCAGTGCGGGGAAGGGCCGGGCCTGTGCTACGCCGAGATCGACCTGGCCTACCTGCGCCGCGTCCGGCAGGAGATGCCCGTCTGGGACCACCGGCGGACTGACCTCTATGGCCAGGTGGCTGCTGCTCAGGGCCTCGGGGCACCCTGACTGGCCACCCGGCCACATGGCGGCGCTGGGCTCCCGCTGGGCTGCCTCCAAGCAACGCGTGGGAAGGATCGAGGAGGGTGGAATCAACTTCCCACCTTGACTGGGAAGCCCAACAGGAGTAGGTGGAAAGGACATGCACCCAGCCCTCCAGCTGCATCACAAAGAGAAATGGCTCAGCTCCCCCTAGAAGCGGGAAGCACCCATCCGAGTCTCCTCCAGCCTCGGCTGAGCTTGCTCAGAGGTGCTTTACTGCATCACTTTTCTACTAAATAAATGTCTGTCATCACTGTGCTCCCTTCCTTTGTACTTTAACCCAGGGATTCGTCTCCATTTCTCAACAGCTGCTGGACTCAGAATCCAGGTTTCACTTGGCGAAATGCCTTTCCGGCCCCAAGGACAAAGGCCGCAATCCTCAGCTGCTAAAGTAGAATTTTGCAACTGGCACACACAGTGCAGATGTTTGTCTCCCATTTTTGCATTTTGGGGAGTCACAGGGAGAGGGAAGGGCCCTCGCATCCTGACCTGCACCGCTAAATTTACTCAGCAGATCTCCTGAGGAAGCTTTGCATGCAGTTCAGTCTCGAAACACGTTTTTAAACCAAACAAAAAAGCAAACAGGTGTGAGATCTTGCGGCAGTCCCACTGCAGAATTCCCAGTGCTGGGAGGTTAGATAAACACCCTCTTTACTGGCCTTTCCATGGCTGGTAAAAAAATCACCAGGCAGAACAGTTACTGATGGTGCACACTGGCTTTCAAAGGTTCCCAAACCTGTGTTTCTATAATGCCCTGTTTAATCTTATTTATGGTAAAAAGGGGCCACTGAATAGGATCACCAGCGGCCTAGAGACAAAACCTGGGGCCTTGGCTTGCAAGATTGCTGGCCACCTGTAGGTTCCCTTCCAAAGGCACTCCATGGTTTATGGCAAGTAATCCAAACATACGCATCACAGCAGGCCTGCAGCTGATCCCAAAATGAATCAACATCTTTATTGGATACAAAGAGTTGGAAAAAGGCTTTTCTCTGTCAGTGATGAAGTTCAGAAGCACCAGACTAACTGCCAGTGGGAAACTTGGATCGATTCAGGTGCTTAAACATGTAAATTAACTTGACTAAAAGCCACCAACCTTGAGGAGAAACGGCTTTAGCAGATGACTGCTCCCCACCCCTGGCTTTCCCATCGCTCTCACTGCCGGCCAAAGGCTTCGCCTTTTCGATCAGTCGAATGCAGGGTGCAAGGGCCCTTTGCGGCCTGAGGGGCTGCTTCCCATTTGGAGGAGCTGCCAAGAGGGGTGGGCTGACATACTCAACCTCTCAGCTTGTTCTTAAAGCTCTCATGATCCTAACTGCATTTTAGGAACATTTCAACATTTCTGAATGTGGAAGAAACTTGGCAAAAGCCAGGAAAGTGCCAAAAAATCACAGGTTGTGAAAAGGCAGTGAGGCCCAGCTGGAATCCCAGGTTCTACACACCAACTCAGAACAACTTAACAAGGAAAACTGAATATAGCCTTGAGGCAGCTGAAAAATTAAACCTAATTCAAATGAGGCACAAGCTTTGCCCAAAGGCCGCTTCATCGATGCATGGAGTGTTCTACGTAGCTGGCAGCTTGCCTATTATACACATACATACCTATATAGAAAACCAAACCAAACCAAACCATGAACCATGGAGGGCAACCAGCACAGATCTATGACCTTTCTTTGTAAAGCTGCCACTGGGCTCTAACCCATAAGAGTTTGGTGCCAGAGGAAACCAAGAGGCAGCTGTGTGTGTGTTCTGCCACAGCTGGACGTGGCTACCCATCTGCAAAAAACAGCTGGACAATCTCTGAGGCAGGAAATGCCTTGTGAGCCTAGGCCTCCCCCCAAAATTTGCATCATGTACATTCACCAGCCACAGGCAAACAGAAGCGCAGATTCCACCCAACAGCAGCAGCAACAGTACGAGGCAGAAGATTGTTTTAATCATCATCTTTTCTTTTTTTGAGGAAAACAAAGCTACACTGGGATTATGACCAGTTACACTGGAAGTTCCTTTTTTAAAAAAAATACAGAAGACACAGAATCGTACACAAATTTGTGCCAGAATTGTCTTGAAATAACGGGGCAACGGTGTGTGTGGGGTGCACAAGGGGGTGTGAGGGGTGAGCTTTTGCATACTTTTCCCAGAGATCTGCTGCAGAGCATTACAAGCCATTGGACACTCACACGCCAAGCGGGACGGCCTGACCAGCCGGGCAATGCTTGCCGGGAGCATCTATAGACACCGGGATGATCTATGCCACCACAGCGTCCCGTGACAGAGCCTTCCCCTGACCGGAGCTACTTCTGTCTGCGCACGGGGGGCATCCCCTCTCCCAACCTGGTGCATGCCTTCCAGGGGTGTTAGGCCTACAGCTCTCGCCATCCCTGGCCAGGGAGGCCCATGGGATGCACCGACTGGGGACGGAGGGGCCATGTGTCTGAATGCTCAGGATGCCTGAACGCATGAAGAGAAGGGCAGGCCCAAACCTCTGCAGGGGGCATTTATATATTGTTCAGGCTGTTCAAAAAGCAGGAACCTCCTTTTGCCTTTTATAGAAATTCATGGAAAACAACATACTGGAGGGAGGGAAAGGAAAAAGAAAATGGGTTCCACTGGATGCAGTATGGACACTTATATCCCCTCTGCTGACAAAAAATCTCCCCCGGAAGTGGTGAGGGGGCAAGACTGGGCCCTTGGCGGAGCAGCCACCCCATGCTGGAAAGTGCGGTGGCGTGCCGAGGCCATGCCGTTGCCAAGGCAGGCTCTCGGGAACGGGCTCGCTTCTTAATGCCAGGACAGAAAGACTCTCTCAGGAGAACAGCCCTGAACGCGTTCCCCTTGCCAAAGCACGTGTCGCCTCTGCAGGCTAATGCAGCGTTGGGGGCCCAGGAGACCAGAGGGCACCTCCTGCAGCAGCCGCCTGTGGGTTCCAGCCATGTCGGCACAGGGCCCGGAGGACACCGCTTGGGGAGAAGGCTGTGGCTGTGTGCGGAGAGACCATCTTACCTACGGTTACCAAAACGTAACACTGCATTCTTGCACCTTCCCATGAGTCCCAGGACCGCCCCAGGACACGGCTGCATGGGGCATATTCAGCCAGAAGTTTGTCCCAGCAGCTCAAAAAGTCTGTTACAGTAAGAATGTGAGAGGCAATGGCTGCCACGCACAGCACCACCAGGCGGAGCAAAAGCAAAACTGGGTTTTGTACCTCCCCAAACCTGCCCCTCTGTTTTTTAAAAATATTATTATTTTGCAAAGCCAGCTTTCTACAGGGTGGTTTTTGTTTTGCAGCCATTGTGGGGACCAGCCTAGAAATTAGAGAGCAAGCCCTTGGAAACAGCGGAATCTGAGAATCAAGAGGACCCGACGACGTGGCCAGGAAGTAGAGGCGTTTCTAGGCTGGGCCGTCTTGTCCTTTGGGCTCTGCTTCTGACTGGGCCATCCAGTCGGCACAGTCCAAAGGGCCGCTGCCACCGTAGCGCTCACGCTTCCCCGGGAGACTGGAGGCCGCCTGGGGGTTCCTGCGATCTTGGAGAGGAGAGAGAAGGCTCCAAGGAGCATCCCTTCCTCTGTCGTCTTTGGAGGCAGATGCTCCCTCGACCAGCAGTCGAGGGAAAGGCACAGGCAGTGGATCAGAGGCGGCCCTGGCAGCTCTCTCTCCCCACAGCTCGGCTCAGGCGCTGGAGGGGGAGCAGGAGGTGGCAGCGTGGCTTGGCAGGCTTAAGTGTGCCCCTAGGGGGGAAAACGCGACCCCACACACACACACACACGTACGTGCACTCTCAGCGGAACCATCGAGCGGCAGCGACCGAGGCCAACGCGCCCCTGCGCCCTTCGCGCCCGCCCCTCAGGCGCACCAGCTGAAGGCCCTTCCGCCAGCCCTGCCCATCGCACAGCAGCTCCTCACTCCAACCGGCGTGGCCCAGAGCGGCTTCAAGAACGCTGCCTCGTCGTCGTGGCGGGTGGGGGATCTGCGTTAGGCACAAGCCCGCTCCGCCGTCTCTCCCGAGATGCCAAGCTCCTCGCCCACCGCAAACTCACAGCTTCAGAGCAAAATACTGGCACAAGGTGTTTCCTGCCACAGGAACAGCAACGTTGAAGTTTGCTTTTTTAATAAAAAGGGATAACCATGCCACACCTGTCTAGACCTTTTGGGGCAATAGCGCACTGCAGGACAGCCTAATTTTTGGGAACCGGTAAAAGGGGGAAGAGAGAGAGAGAGCAAAACAAAGAAGTCAACAGCACGAGAGAGAATATGATCAGGAAGGACAACAGGCCTGGGGAGCACTGACCAGGGGCCAGGGCCATGGAGCCGACCCCCTGGGGAAGGGGCCCTGGGTCCACCTTGGTGGCAGCAGCCGCACGGCAGATCCCCCGGAATTTCCCATCTCCTTTTTCAGTTCCCAACGGGGAGAAGAAGAAAAACCAACAGTAGCACTGATCCTCACACGGAAGCAGGTCTTACGGTTACTCAGTATGTGGCAGGAGCTCAAGGTTTCAGTCCTTGGAGACACTAGTTCCTTCCCATTTTTAAAGGAAACAAAAAATTCCTTCACGGGACAGCCAGAGGAGGTGGGAAACCAGCACCCAGCAGGGTTCAAGGTGCCGTCTGGAGCATCAAGTTCCGCAGGAGTTTCTGGCGGCCCACTTCATAATCCTCCTCATCCACGTTGACAAGCAGCTTGATGGCCTCATGGCCGACCGCCTGCTTGAGGGAGTCCGTGATGAAGACCCCCTTCAGGGCCTCCAGCAGTGAGCCGTTGATGTAGTCACGCCAGAAGGCGTCGAGGTACGTGAGCTCTGAGAACTTTATGTCACAGATGATTGATCCCAGGTCCCGGGATTTCAAGATGGTGTTGGCCTGGCTGAAGCGCTCGAACTGGCGCTCCAGGGGGTCCTGCTTGTTGGAGAAGACGTTGCCCTCCAGAGCCGTCTCGTGCTGGCAGTACTCCGCTCGGACTCGGAGGCGAATGTCTGCAGGAAAACGGCAAGACAGCAGGACGCTCGTGTAAGGGCCCGTTCAACTAGCCGAAACCAAGTTTTACACGCACACGTCTTGCAATCTTGGAACCAGGCTTCGGAGACTCTCTTGCGCTTGAGCACTGCGCTCAGGAGAGGAGCTGTCTGGGGGACAGGCGGTCTTGCAGATCAGCTTCCACAAAGCGGGAAGGACGCTGTCAGTGTGGCAGCCCTCAAAAAGGCGGGCCAAGGGCAGGGAAGAGGTGCAGGGAGGAATGGGGGCAGAGGGCCAACGAGCTCAGCAGCCAAGAGAGAGCGAGGCCTGGAAGAAAGGGAGGTGGGCACGGAGGCCTGGAGGAGGCGGCAGCAACAGGAGACGGAGGTCAGCAGAGGTGCAGAGGAGCTCCCATACTGGGAGAAGCTGCACAAAACGGGGAAAGGGCCTCGGGAGGCAGGCCAGGCGTACAGCTTGGCGAAAGGCCACAGGTGGGCCAGGCGGCCAACTCAAGGGGTGCTCCACTGAGGGGATGCTGCCTGTGGGAACTTCCGCTGGGGGACAACACACACCAGGAGGTAGTGGGATCCCCCGTTTCAATTCCACACACGGATGTGAACAACCCCGCCAATTCCTTGGCTGCAGGCCTCTGGCGCTACTAGGTCAGGAGACATTTTCTGATCCGGCAGAGAAGCGGAAGCCACCCGTGATGCTGGGAACGGGCACCCACAGCGCCATCAGAGGAGGACGGAGCAGGGCCTGGGCCGGCAACCCAACGCAGGAGTGGGACAGGCCGCGCCTCCCCGCTCAACATGGCCACTGTTCTTCTGTGATGCTGGGAGACGCATGCTGGGACCGCCAGGGGCTAGTCCAGTACCAGCCCCCGCTCAGGCTGAATCCACCCGGGTTCAGAGGGCCTCGCCATGCCCCGGCGCCCGCCCTGCCAGGAGCCTTACCGCACGTCTGCTTGTCTTTCGGGTCCGGCGTCACAGACTTCCTCCGCTTCTGCTGGTTACTGAGGAAGGCCTTTTTCCTTCCGGTCCGCTTGGTGCAGATCTGGGGCCCTGACGCGGAGCAGCAGACCAGAGGGTGGTGCGGAGGCACTGGGAGACACAAAGGTTGGGGCTAAGAAGCCAAGCGCTTGACTTGCTCATCCAATGAACACGGCAGCACCTCACGAGCAGTGCCAGCAGTGCTCAGAGCCAGGCGGCCGAGCAGCTGCGCCCCGGGCAGCCCCCGACTGCCCCTGAGGCGCTGCCACGCTGGCATCCTGCCTTCCCTCCGGGAGCTCAGGGTGTTTGCACACGGAACGTCCACGCTTGCAGCCCTTCTCCCCCAGGGAGGGCACTTCTGTTTACACCGAGTCAGAGTCTGGAGGGAAAGAAGTGAGATCCTGTGAAGACGACTGTCCCCGGGCTGGCACCACACAGAGGTTTGGCCTCCCGGCACCCACAGCCCCAGCCAGCAATCCGGGCTGATGGAGGGATGTGGTCCAACGCATCAGGCCAGCCGGGGCCGCCTGAACAACACAGATCATTCACAGTATCCCTTACAACTCCAAATTGATTTTGTTAGTTTCTGAAGGCCTTGACAAATCCTGAGGAAGGTGTTACCGATGCAACCCGTATTACAGGGCCTCTGACTGCTCAAAAGCATGTGCTGCTTCACAAGACCACAGCTGGGCTGTCAACTGGGGCCAACAATGCTGACACCTCCCCCTTCACCAGCACACTGAGAACTTGCCCACTTGCCACTCAAAACAAGGCCTGGCACTGCACTCGCTGGATTGGAGCTGGGCTACCTGAAGGTCCACAAACGAGAAGCCAACTCTCTGCTTTCCATTGGTGCTGCCTTCCCTCTTTCTGCTTCCGCTGCTTTGCAAAATCAGCCGCTGTCACGCACAGAGATCGGATGCTCCCACTTGAAGGTGAGGGGAGGGGGGCTAACAATCCAAGGCACCATCGGTGGCAGCACCCTGAAGACAGAGCTCTTCCCCACTCCACCCAGGTAGATGGATTCAGTAACAGTCTACAGGTATTTGGTTGACTTTATTCCATCTATGACTGGCTCCTGATTGGTGGTTTCTAATGATGGCAAATGTGGTATTTTACTGTTTTAAACATTTAGAACTATAAGCCACATTTGACGAGACCTTGCAGTAAAAAGCAGGGGTAGCTGCCCTGTTTATTCTGTCCTCCTTCAAGAACAATAAAGCAATTATGGTGCAGCAAACATCCCAAGAGCCTGGGCAGGAAATTAAACACCCCCCTCCCCAAATTTAGGAGAAACTAATTTTTATAGCACGCTGGAACAAGAGAGAGAATGCTGACTCTGTCACCCAGGGCCAGTAGTTTTATGCATCATTGTACTGGCGTTAACATACTAAATGAAACTGTCTGGGAAGGGGAATTCCGCAAATGAGGGCCTTAGCAGTGGTGCCTGCTCTGGCCCAGTTACGGAACCCTTTTCCCAAAGAAGTCCATGGCACCAACTCTCCCCTCTCTGGGGTACGAGCCAAGACTCCCACTCATCTGGCAGCAAGCGGTCCCGGGGTCGGGGCACCAACCCTCCTTTCAACACCAGCAGCCCCAGTGACCCCCCTGCACAAGCAGTGCGTGTGGGGCCGGGGACACTGGCGGCAGCGCCAACCCTACACATGGGGTCGACTTCAGAAAACATCACTGGGAACGATTCCTCACCCACTGGCAACCCAGTGCCAGGGCTCTGCAGCGCTGCAGGACCACGCCGCTTAAGGTCTAACTTCGGGGGTCTGGAGCCCAGGGCCATCAGGAGGCTGACGACACACAGCTCAGTCTCCCCCCGACATCTGCACCAAGGAGAAGCTGTGCGAGTCCCGGATCAGCACCTGGACTGGGCGCTGGGCTGGATGCGGCCAACGAACTGGAGCAGAACCCTGGCAAGACAGAAGCCCTGGGGGGGGCGAGCAGGTCCCGAGTCCACAGGGAAGGCTCACTGCCCGCTCTGGATGAGGCTGTCCTCCCCCCGAGAGCAGGTGCATAGCCTAGAGGCAAGCCAGATCCCTTGGTGCTGCAGGAAGCCCAAGCGACCCCAGAGCTCACAGGGCCTTTAGCCAGCCTCATCCCTCTCCTGGCCAGGGGAGGCTTGGCCACAGCACGCGCCCTAGGAACTCTGAGGCTGGACTACTGCAAGGCGCTCTGCGTGGGGCTGCCCTTAAAGGTGGTCCAGTGGTTGCCGCCAGCACCGAAGGCAGAGCCGGCTGTTCCGAGGGGCTGCCCTTTCTCTGTGCGCAACTCCTTTGCTGGCAAACTCCACAGGCTGCCTATCCACTACCGGGCCAGGTTTAAGGCTTTGGTGCTCATGTATCAAGCCCTCAAGGACCTGGGACCAAGATACCTGAGAGCGCACTTGCTTCCTTACCAACCCGCCCTGTCACTGAGGTCATCGGATGAGGCGCTCCTGGTGGGTCTGCATGGATCTATGGCCTGGCTGGAATCCACCCAGAGTAGAGCCTTCAGTGTGGTGGCCCCCTTTCTGTGGAACTCCCTGCCTCTGGAGGTCAGGCAGGCACCTGCTAAAGACATTTTCATTTCAACAAGCCTCCCCAGCTGACCAGCCACAGCTCTACTGGCATTCTGGTTGTTAAAGACAAGATCCTTTTATCTTTCCCTGTTCACTACTCTAGTCTCTCTCATGATATGGAACCATACAGAAATGCTGTGAATGAAGAAATGCAACAGTGTTTTTAATGGGTCCTCTGATTTCTTATTGCTGACTGGCAAAATTGGGCCTTTCTGTAAGTACACGGTTCTATTACATTATGTTATTATATTGTAATTGTAATGTATTTTTGTATGCGCAAAATTCTTTTACATTATATTGTACTGTAATTTTAAATTTTTCATCTTTGTAAACTGCCTAGAGAGCTTTTCCTATTCAGCTGTACAGAAAAGCAATACAGGAACCGAAAAGGATCTGATCCAGCTCCATTTGGGGAAGGAACTCCGGCCCATGTAGGCAAAGTGGCAACCGCTACTCCATGCTAGTCCAGCCCTTTGCCTTCGTGGCTGGGCCAGCTCTCTGCTCTGCCACAAAACCTGTGGAGCGGCCATCTTGGCCTAAGCCCCCAGTGATGATAAAAACAAGAGGGGTGTGGAAGGGACAGACTCGCTGGTTTGCATGTAACACCAAGCCATCGTATGAATTGGTGGGTTCTGGGTTGCTGTGATGTGTGAATTTAAAAAATGGTACACTAAGAAACCATGAACAATCCACAACCCAATCTTGTTGTGAACCCAGAACTTGCCAGGTGGTGGGAAAGAGCAGCCTCACACAGGTCGATGCCATACTGCCTACAAGACATGTGGGACACAGGCAAAGGAAGGAACAACCAACCAGCCCAGGGACTGCGAGAACAAGATGTGGCGTGTTTGATCATTTGCCAGACAAACCCGGGAACAGCAACAAACCACCGATCACATAAACCACAGGTTGCCCTTTTGTGTGAACGGGACCATTATTTTGAGCTCCCTGGAGAAAGGGCAGGATAAAACTTAAGCAGTGAGCAGTAAATGTACCACTCAGCCCTTGTATTTTGGAACCTAAATTTGACAAAATTCTGTGACAGTACAACCAGGAATAGCGAAGATCCTTACTGGTCACCAGAAACCCACCTCCCATTTCATTTCAGAACCTTCGACAGCCAAGTCTTTGCTCTCTAAGCCATTTTCTGCCTTCATGAAGACTAGAAGCTTGCCAAAAACAAAGTTACTGGAAGCACCACAGGCATGCCGTTAGGGCTAAAACAGGCTACATGGATGGGAAAAACCCTTCCTGTCTTCACCCGGAGTTCTGGTTCTGGATGGGATACAGGAATCAGGCTTCTAAACCAGGCTGTCCCTGTGGCCAGTGCACCAAAGCAATCCAAAACGTACTTTTCCCTTTACAGCAAAAACGCTAGGAAAAAATGCAGGGGGCAGGAACATGCTAAGACGGGGAGCGAGCCAGCTTAGCAAAGGAGCTCCCAGCGGCCCACCCATGAAGTCTCACCAGCTTTGTGTTGATGGGCAGGAACGTGCTCGGTGCTGCGGTGGGATCGCGGCGTCACGTACCGAATGGAGGTCTCTTCTAGGTATTTGTCTACGAGGTCTGGGCACACTGCAAAAGAAAGGAGGCAGGCCAGGTAGAGGGCTGGGCATGCACACTCGAAGGGGAGGACAGACTTAGGGTCAAAGCTGGCCTGCAAAGGTCAAAAGGAGGATTTAAAAGGCTGTGTGTGGGCAGGCGGAGAAAAAATAATCCACACCACCTCAGCCAAGATGCCATTTTGAAACTTGTGAGAGGAACGAACTGGAAGTAGTCGCCAACTTAAAAACGCTTTTTAAAAATTAAACACGAGGGTGGGCTGGAGCGGCAGCTTCAGGTCAGATCGGAAGGCCAGGAATTAACTCAGGCAGGCAGCCCAGTTACCACCCTGCGTTTTGGACTTCTATTTCCATATTCCTTGACTACTGGCCATGCTGCCTGGGGATGCTGGGATTTCCAGTCCAAAATTTCTGGAGGGCACCTAATTGCCTACCCCTGGCTTAAACTGGGAAAAACATGGCAAGTGGCGACAAAGAGCGATGGTCATGGGCACTGGGGACCTCAGGGCGGGAGCACGACGGCGTGGCCTGGAAGCTGCAGCCAGTGCGGGGGCAGCGACCCGGCTGTAGTTGGGGCTCCCCTTTGCTGAGGGCGGCTCCCTGCGCTGGCTGCCCCTTCTCTTCCCTGCTGGGCTGGGCTGGGCTGGGCTGAGGGCTCTGCTACTGGAGTATAAAGCCCTGAACAGCCTGGGTTCGGGACATGGGCGAGGGCGCCTCTTCTTTCTTCAGCCTGCCAGTCACAGGTCCTGCATGGGCCGCGATCTGCTTGACATCCGCCTGGAGCAGGGCTTTGAACGACTGGCTCGACCGCTGGTGGCACCAGGCACACACGCACCCTGCTTTGTTTTCAACATCTGCCGAAGGCATTTTTATTTAAATAACCTTTTCCTGAATGACCAGTCATAGTTTTATGGACTTAACTTGATTTCAAATTATGTTTTTTTTTTTAAAAAATCCTTAACACAACTTGTGTTCACTGCTTGGAAATCTTTCTTGGAAATCTTTCTTAGTTGTAGTTTAGACATTTCTAAGCATGGAAGTTCAAATAGCCATATATGGCCACGTGCCAGGAGCCAAGGGTGGGGGCCAATCACCCCCTTCACTCCTTGCTCAGGAGTTTCCCAAAAGTACTGGCTGGCCCACTGTTCAGGTGACTGGCAGGTATTTGCCTGTGACCAAATACGGCAAAACACCAGTGTCTAGATGATCTTTAAAAACAAGGCAGGGTGAATTATAGAGGAAATCCACAACCCTGGGGGATTTAGCGAGACTCCTGTAGACTGTCACAAAATGGTGACCATGGGGAACACTGGCCTTTCACGAAAAGACTGCCATTGGGGGCACCACAGGTCACAAAACAGTCATTGTACAAAAACCAAATGGGTGAGGTGGGAAGAGAAGTGACTCGCTCAGATGGGGCAGGGTCTGTGTGCCAGTACCAGGGGTCGGCAACCTTTAACACTCAAAGAACCATTTGGACCCATTTCCCACACACAAAAAAACACTGGGAGCCGCAAAACCCTTTTGACATCTAAAATGAAGATAACACTGCATATATCGGTTTTTACCTTAATGCTATGTATATCTTCATTAAGATTTAGCTGCAGCTCTTGTTCAGTCACTAAAAACTGTCATTTTTAATCTTACATTATAAACTAGTAGGACTCCTTTCATATATTTTGAATAGGAGAACAGCTTCCTGAAGAGTCAAAGCTGGTGCTAAAGGGCTGCATGCATTAAACAGCAAACCCCACAAGTTCATCAGCAGTAAAAGCAAATGAATCTACCCACGTATCATTAAACGTTTGGTTTTCTTCAGAAACTTTTCTTTTCTTCGATTATTCCATGGTTGGCCTACCGGGGAAAGTTGCAGATATAGGTGCGTTTAGTGACTGACTGGCAGATAAACAGCCAAGTGCTGTGAATTGTGACAGGTCCCAAGCGCAGCTTTTATCATTCAGAGGAAGGAGATTACATTTGGACAAAGAGAAACTTTTCGTGTAACATGAGAGCCTGCAGGAAGCTTGTTCCACTCTTTCCCTGCAGTGTCGCAATTTACTTAACCTGCTAGCGCAGCGCTCCTGAGTGGATGCCTCATCATCACCTATTGGTATTTTGTAACTCGGAGTCTCGGTTGCAGATCGGCGGCTGTGAGGCGTATTTTGAGCGACGGAGCCGCAGCAGAGGGATGCAAGAGCCACGTGCGGCTCCGGAGCCGCGGGTTGCCGACCCCTGGCCTAGACACAAAGCCACTCTCCTGAACTCAAGTAAAGATGGTGTATGAGAGCAGATCATCATTTGGCAGCAAACCAGCTTCCTTGGTAGGAACAATTAACTGGAAAAGCGCTGAGGGGCACAAAGGACAGTGGGCAGCGGGACAGGCTTGGGGGGCACCATGTGGGAGAGCCCAGCAGGACATCGTTTCCTAGCAAGGGCAGCTGGCCTGGAGACTTGCGGCAGCAAATGCCCCGCACTGCGACGCTGTTCCTGCCGGCGACCCGCTGCGGCAGCAAGGTCCTCCGAGCCTGAGCAGGGGCAGCTGTCCGTGCCCCGGGGGAGGGGGAGAGCCAGCTTGCAGCCCCCGCTCAGCCATGAGGCACAGGGGCAGCAGATGGCCAGCCATGCAGCCCGTCTGGGCTTGCCTCCTAGGGGCGGAATAGCAAGGAAGCGGGAAGGAGAGCTCTGTGGCGGAGGAGAGAGAACGGGCCAGGAAAGAAACGGGTTCCCACCACTGCGTCAACGAAACACACGAAACACCCTTTCTTTCATCAGCCATAGCAACACACGCGCTGGTCATCGTGTGCTTCGTTTGAGAAATACCAAGGCCCTGGGCCCTCCCCAGGCAGATGCACCTGCAACTCCGGCACCTCCTCCTGTGGGGGAACCAGGCTGGGCAAGGCCGGCAAGCTGAATGCCCAGGCACAGGCTGCCAGCACCAGGCCCGGAGGGAAGCTGGGGCGGGCCTGGCCCAGCACGCAAGAGGCGTGCGCAGACGCGTCTACCGCCGCGGAGCAGCCAGGGAGCTGAAGGGCCGGGCAGCGTGCACCAAGCGCCAGCAGGAGGAGGCCGTGCTCGCACTCTGCCCGTGACCCCCGGGCCCTTTCAGGGCTCCTGCGCCTCCAGGCAAGGCACGCCTCGTCACACAGCTGGAGCAACGAAGCGAGCGCAGAGCGCACTGGGGGGGCCAGGCCAACAGCGACATACCAGCCTTCCTCCTCTTCAAAGTGACGTAGGGCAGCAAGTCGTGCCGGGTGATGATTCGCAGCAGCTGCAGCACCTGGCGGAAGTTGGTCTCGTCGCAGCGGCCCTGCCGCTCCAGCGCCAGCAGGAAGTCCCGGCCACTGCGGATCATGCCCCGTTCGTAGTCGTCGATGACGTCCACAAAGAGGAAAGACAGTACCCGGACGTCACGGTGGGTCAGGTGGGTGCCCACGATGTCGAACATGCGGTGCAAGCTGTAGAGGCCATGCTCCTGGTCTCCCTCCTCTTCCGGCCACGCCTGCGCGCAGCTCCGCTTCAAGGCATTCATCCTGCGTGACCGACAGGCCTTTGGGGCCACGTGGTTTTCACAGGAATTGCGGAAGACACCTGAAACTGGGACACTGGAAGGGACAAAGACAAGGTCTGTTCAAAACTCTGTACACCGCAAGCTTGCTCGTGAGAGGAAGAGGAGAAGCAGCAGAACTGTTTTACAAGACAGACCCCCCGCTGCCACCAGGCCATCGATGGCAGAGGTGCTGCTTCACCCTCTTCGACTCATAGCTACAGATGTGAGGAGAGCTATTTTCCCCCCTTGCCTTCCAAATGTAGTGTTTGCGGTGGTCTCGACGGAACCCTGTACAAGCCTCCACGGTCACCAGTCTCTTGGGGATGCTAAACCCCAGGCCTGCAGCAGCTGTGAAGCCAAGCTTTTGTTCTTGTACACCTAATACGGTCCAGCACATTTGGAAGGCACCATGCTGGGGAAAGCTGACCTAGACTGAGAGATGGTCCCAAGCCAGCACAGTGAGGTACAGAGATCAGCACAGCAGACTTGCAAACAACATTCTGGGAAATTTTTTAAAACGAAACATTATATGGCGCCGTTAGAAGGGCCTGACGTTGATGGCATCCACAACGGAGAGAGGCCGTGTTTTGCCTCTGAAAGTGGCATTAACAGCTGTGAGAAAATGCTGTGAACATGGCAAGCACAGCGGCACGTGTCCAGTGCAGCCACAATCTCTTCACGCAAAAAGGCCATAAAAGGCTTTCTCTGAGCCCAAGCTTAGCTATCTGCTTTCACCTGCGGGGAAGCAGGAATCTATCTCCACTCACAGGAGTTAGTGCTCTCTTTCCGGCAGGGGTGGGGCTGGGAGAGCTGTGCATGGGACATATGGTGCCCGAGGAAACACTCCAGGGTCCCCAGACCAGGCCCTGGGGGCTCTTCCCGCGGCATCTGGGAAGGAGCCCCTTTGCAGGTGCTGCAGACCCGTATCTTCTTTTGGTATGCAAATATGGATTTGTATGAACTGCATGCGACTGCCTAGACATTACACATCAACTTCAACAAAAGTGGACCAACTGTCCAGACAAGTATCCATGTGAAGGGGGTGTCTGTAAGTCACTTTATAACAGAAGCTGTTATAAGCATCTGCTGAGCTAAAGGAGATGAGCATTCAATGTTCCAGTTTGTAGAATCATTCTTCTATCTGTCAGAAGGGCACAGAGAACCACTTCCTCTTCCACTTGTTAATTTCCTTGAGGTAGGGCATTCATTTAGAAGAGCACGGACACCAGGGAATATGAAAGACTGTTCCAGCACAACACGGCTTTGTGGAACAACCTCCTCCTGACAGCTGCATTTTGCCAAAAGGAATGACTGGAAGAAGCCTGAACTGCACCGTGGCAGCCGCAACGAGCTGAACTAAGCAGTCCCTCCCCCAGGCACTGCTGCAGCCTCCACAAGCCATGAAAACAGCTTCCTGCTGATTAGGACGCCACCTAAACTCTACAGATGTGACACCAAAGTGACAAGTCACCGAGTCGTGGTGCCCACAAGTTTCCCAAAGGCCCAAAACAGCTGGGGACCCTTGAAACATGTGCGGACACGCAGAGTGTCTAAACTGGGGGATAATCCACTGCCGAGTTCTGCAAACTTTACTGAAACAAGAGATGCAAACAAGAGGCCTTCTGTTGTGTGGAATGTGTGAAAATCCCCTTCTACACCCCTCCCCACCTCAACTGGAAGATTGCAAGGAAGGTCTGCTGCGTTTAAAGGGAAGCAATCAGCCTGCCTTGGGGGCATGGCCCCTGGCACCAGGCCCATCTCCTTCCAAATCCTTTTGTACTTTACCTTCCACACATCAAAATCTCAAATTATCTCCACGTGTGCATGCGCACTTACATGCGCGCGTGCGCGCACGCTCTCTCTCTCTCACACACACACACACACACACACACTGATCCAACAAGGCTGCTGACCTAGTTCATGGCTTTCCCTATCTCCTTTATAAGCACTGGCAGAATACGGGAGTCTAGACTCTGGAAGGCTCCTGTTCCGAATCTTCAGGACCAGTGACCGGGAGGCAGAACCACCCACAGCATCTCTTCAGAGCTACGAGCACCCACAGCCTCCTTGACATGCAGCATGTCTTACCCAGAGGCTTCCGTGTCCACAACACCAGGAGCCTTCTGGTGTATCAGGTCTGCCAGAGAGCTGAAATCTTCACCCTTCTGACTGGCATGCCCCCCGTTCCATTTCGCAGCCCTAAAAAGCACAAAGAGGCTTCCCGCTAACAGGCTAGTTCTCCAGCGGGTGAAGCCGCTGGGCTTTCACCTCCGTCCCTCCGGGCTGCCAGATGCCTCCTCCTTGGCCCTGAGGACGCTGCGTGTGACAACCCTCAGCAGCCACAGCCTGGGAAGCACTTTGCCCCCAGGAGTTAGCGCAGATTAGCAGGCTTTAGCAGGCCGGCGCAAGGGTCAGGCTAGCGGGTGGAGGACTGTCAGTTCTGGCCCAGCAACCGCCACAGTGCCCATATTGTTCACCTGCAGTTTGGGAGAAGAGCGGAAGGGGATCCCACCTTCTGGCACAAATTCATAGGAACGTGGCCTCCGTGGCTCATTTGCCTGCTAGGTGGCAGACCCATTTCTGAAGGTGAAACACAACGAGACCCCTTCACGTCCTGCCACTCTCACAGACGTTGTCGGAGTAAAATGTTCGGTAACAAATAACTCTGTTTAATTATTTTTTCCTATTGGAAGATAATGCTGTTCAAAGCGGGCTACCCACACGGACGACCTGCCACCCATTTTTAAAATTTGTGCACAACCAAAACAGCTTTGGCCACTGGGTGGCACAGAAATGTGTAAAACAACAGTGAGCACAAGCAAGTGACTGGTGGGCCTGCAGGCAGGGAGCAGGCCTGCCCGGTCCGGCTGAGCGGCCGCCCGCCCTCGCTTGGCTCGCTGAGCAGCGGGCCCCGGGCAGCGTCCATCTGTGTGAACACAGGGCCACGTGCAGGGGGTAGCATTACGTGCACCTTGGGCACAGACGTGAAAACCATCACACGCCAAGCGTCTTCGCAACACACAGCTTCCAAAGGCAACACCCTGCTCTGCTTTTCAAACCGTGGAGTGTGAGATGCTCAGTTCACAAACCGTGCGAAGTCACAGACAATGTGGTGGCGAAAAGTTCTGAAGCACAATCTAAGAAGCAAATGCAGGAAGAAAATCTAGAGGTATTTCCTTGGAGTTTTAGTTGTGGTGCACATTTGCACCCCAGTGTGCCAGAGGATAAACTTATGAGGGGGTTAGGGGAGAGAAGAAAAGGCACATTTCAGAAGTTTAAACTATAATGTGGTCAAGCAGACGACGACATTTGTTCCCTTATAATGTAAGGAAGGGACAACTGTAAACATTACAAGGAGGTTTAGCTAAGTTAAATGTACGGAGAAAAGTGCTTGCCGGGGATGCACGCAGCCACGCGACTGGCCAGAAAGCTCCTGCCGTGCAAGCAGGCCGCTCCACTGAAAAGATCTCGGGAGGGGAGGGGAGGGGAGGGGAGGGGAGGGGAGGCACCGCCCGAGCATGGCAGAGTCAACAGTGTTGGGCCAGCTCAGCCAGCGGCCACCAGGCACGCCTCACGTCCTCCCTCCCTAGCAGTGCGCGCTGCAGGCCAGGACAAGCCGGGGGGCACAGCCATTTCAGGGCCAGACGAGGTCCGATGAGGTTCCAGCCCTCACTTGGCGATGGAGAATGCGGGGTGGCTCTGGGCCAGCCACTGGTTCGCCACTTCGCCTACCCCACAGTGTGGTCGTGAGGCTAAAACGGAGAGAAAGAGGAATGTGCTAGTGCTCCTTGCCAGAAAAGAGGAGATAAATGCAGGAACCAAGTAAACGCAGTCTGCCTCTGAGCACGTGCGAACTGCTGCAGGAAGGCTGGTCAGCCAAACAGAGTGGAAACTGAGCACTGCAAGCAAGCCCAAGCCGGGTGAATCCAGGCTGGCCCCTTCACATCTCTTTCAACTCTGCTGCACAGGCAGTCCCCAAGTGACGAACATCCGAGTTATAAACAACTCACACTTATGAACAAACTGCCACACAGCCTCTTAATTTTGAAAAAATACTACAGAAAATCATCACCACCACTGTGAGGGGGAGGCCTCCAAAGAATCACCGTATGGAGAGAAGCAGCCACAGGGAGAGGGTGGCCTCCCGAGCAGCGTGCCTTCCTGCCCCACCCACCAGGAGGGGGAAGTGCCTCTGGCATTTCCTGGCTGCAAAGAGCAGGCACCGTTGGGTGGGGTGGGGCCTACAAATATCTGTGCTTTCTCCACTTTCACAGGACTCCTACACCCCCATCCCCGGGAATGTGGAAGGCCCACTATACGTGATCTGACTTGCATACACATTCGACTTAAAGACCAACTTCCATTTCCTCAGCAATGGAACCCGTTCAAAACCCGGGGACTGCCTGCACCAGCTCAGCTCTGAGCGAAGCATCTGTTCATGCTCAGCTAGCTGTTGCCCTCCTCTGAGCCGCGGTGAAAAACATGATTAAGGAATCTGCAGCCCTTCTCCTTGCCCCCAGACACACACCCGTGGTGAGGAACGACGTGCATCCCCGAGTCCCGCATCACTTCCGTTAGCTTTCCTCTGCAGCTAAAGGTGCTTGTCTTGATTTTAAACATTTCAAGAAGGGAACATGGGGGATGGTGAGCTGTCCTTCTGCTTGCTAGGTAGCCAAGAAAACAGCAAGGTAACACTGGGACATTTTCTAATGGGATATTTCCTAATGTTGACACCACCTTTTGCTAGTCAAGCCACAAATGCACTTCCAGGTTCCTGCTCTCAGCCACTGCCTCCCTGGCAGAAGCAGTTCTCCAGGCAGCTTGTCCATGCAGTGGTTGAACTGCCAAAGAGCAGCAGTGTGCTCGCCACAGCAAGCAAAATGCAGAAGCTTGAACACTAGCTATATTTTCTACCCCCCTTTTCAAGCACTTTCCTGCGAGCTCTTCCATTCCTGAAAAGCTTCAATCGTCCATATGAAAACACAACAGGGCATCCCTTTAGTGTTAATTTATTATGTTCTATTGTATTTCAATGTATTTTATTGGGTTGTAAGCCGCCCCAAGGCTTCGGCAAGGGACGGCATAGAAATGTTATAACAACAACAACAACAATCCCAAGAGCTCAAGAATGGGTAAGATGAAGGAACCAAGACTGTGAGCCAGGAGGGTCAAATCTCACCTTATGCAGACACGCTAAGCCTACACGCACTGACCAAATATGGAGGGACTGAAATGTCTATGAAAACCAAGCAGAGACAGAGTAAACCAGCTTAGGGCCATGTCTGAAGCGATCTCAGGCCAGTGACTACCCCTCTGCCTCAGCCTAACCCTAACTCTCTCTCCACCTGCAGTTCCGTGGATACTGACTTGCCTTGCACAGTGCTAGAAGAATGCACGTGAAACGATGGCCGCCCGGTTCACGCTTTGGCCACTGCACCAGCAGCCTCACCCAGGCCACTGCCGGGGGAGACCAAGCAGCAGCTTTCCAAGGTGCCCTTTCCCTGCCCTACTTTCTGAAGCCCTTCCTGCTGGGGACACCAGAGACTTTCTGCATCCACGCCAAGATACTCTGCCACTGTGCTAGAGACCTGCACAATTCTTCTTGTCAAGATTCACAGCAGTCCCGGACCCCACATGAACCCCATGAAGCACAATGGGTGACTCTGGGCCAATCACTGGCTCTCACCCTGACTCACTGCACAAGGTTGTTGTGAGGACAGAATTGAGAGGAAGAGGATTTTGTAGGACTCCTTGAGTCCCTTGAAAGGAAAAAAGGCGGGATATAACTATAACAAATAGATATGCAGATCAGAGGCTGAAGCAGCGGGGGCAGAGAATGCTAACAAGCCACAACTCATAACTGAGCTGACACTTGACTCTGTTCTGTTTTGAAAAATCACATGCAAGCACACCATTAGAATTCTCTGTAGGGTTCACCAAGAAGCAATAAGGAAACCACGGCTCTGTTTCACTTATCCCAAACAAGCTTCCTCACCCTTTTTATGAGTCTTGTTACAGTGGGAAGTTTTACCCTTTCCAGCCACCCTTTCCTTGAGAGCTCCAACAACTTGTTCAAGTGCCACACACAAAAAGGGCAGGGCAGCCACTGCCTTGCTCTACTTATGTTATTAAGCATCACAAAGGGCGACATAAAGGAATGAACCACCAAAGAGTTTGGCAAGGTTAAAATACAACAAAGGTTTACTCACCCTATGTCTTTTCTCCCTGAAGTTGTGTCTCTGCCACGTTTAGATCCAATCCTGCGCAGCTGGCTGGGCACCAAAGGTCAAAAGTGAACATACGAAGTCCCTAGTCCACTTTACCTCACTTTTTAAATAAAAAAAATGAAAAGAGCAAAAAAAAAAATCTTGGCAAATAGACTTTATATATGGCTTAGGGGGGAAATAGAACTTTTATTCCGAAGCTAGATTGTCAAGGTATGATTCTACTGCGACACATTTTCAGAACAGCTGTCCTCTCAGCCCCTGGCCAGACAAGAAACCCTCACAAATGCGGGGTGGGGGGGAGCCAGGAACTGCCTCGAGGGAACTTTTAACTTTTCTCCTTCTCTATCTTTAACAAGAGGCCAGCTTTCTTGGCATCCCGCTCTGATACTTGCAAAGATCTTGACATCCCAATCTGAAGATGGGAAAACTGGCAGCCAAGTACTTGAAAAAGCAAACTTTATCGGCATTGAGAGCAAGCCTGAAGGAATGTTTTGGAGGCCTACCAGATCCTGGGCTTTCTTCCGGGCCGGCTTCAGCATCCGGAAGGAGGGCGCTCTCGCCCTCTCCCCAAAAGCAGCAGAAAGCGGCTCAGACCTCGAGAGCAGGCAGTACCCCGGAAAGGCGAGGCTAGGCCGCCCGACGGAGGGGCCGCCCGGGGCGGGCGATGGCCCCCTCCCGGGCTTTCCCGGCCTGCCTGCATCCACCACAGGACCGCGCCTTGCCGGTCATTCCTGAACGGACAGCCCGTGCCTCCACGCTGCCCCGGGAGGCAGCCGACTCCGCTGGGCCTGCCAAGCCCGTCCGGCCGCTTCGCCTCCCCGCTCGCCCTCGGGCCCGGGGGGCGCCGGCAGGCCCGGTCCGCCGCCCGCGGCGAGGAGCCGGCGTGGGCCGGGCCCTCCTCCCCGAGCATGTCCCGGGCGCGGGCGGCGGCGGCGGGGCTCTGCGACCCTGCGCAGCCCCGCCGGGAGAGGGGCCGACAAGAGGGCCCCGGGACGCGTCCCCCGGCCGCCCCCGCCAGGGGGAGGGGCGGACTTCCTGCGGGCAACTTTTTAGGGGCGGCGCCTCCCCTCCCCTCCCCCTCCCCCTAGGAATGCGCCTTCCCCGCGGCCGGGCAGGGGCCGCCGCCTCCCCGCTCGTACAGGCTCCTGCCCCCGCCTCGCCCACCCCCCGCCGGCGCGCGCGCTCACTCGCCGCTCCGGGCCGCCATGCCGGGCCATCCGCGCCGCTCCGGGGACGACCGAGCTGGGCCGCGGCTAGAGCAAGACGCACATCCGGGCACCCGGCACCTCCCTCCGGCGGAGGCGGGGCCCGCTTCCGGCACCCGCAAGCGGCTTCCTGCCTGGCGCTTCGACGCCGCCGGCGCCATCTTTCGTGAGGGAAGCATGAGGCTAGAAGGCGGCGCCCGCTAGGTGGCGGCCGCGGCCGCCGCGGCCATCTTTGCTACGGGCGTACAGCCGGCTTCTCCTCAGCCCCCTTCGGTAGAGGGAGCCGGGCGTCCTCTGTTGGCAGCGCAGGGCGGTGGGAGGCGGAGTGGCCTTCTTCCAGCAGGCTGAGGGCCTTTCTCCGGGAGATAAAGGGTAGGTGTGTCTCTGAGCACGTGCAGAGCAGTACAGCAGGCATGCTTGACTGCCAGTGCCACTCTCCTTGTTCAAAAGGAAGAAGCCATTAGGAAAATGCCCCCACTATGTCAGAGGACAGCAGGAGAGTGTTGGTAGTCCTTCTAGTCTATACAAAGGTGCACTTGCCCCCCCCCCCCCCCCCCCCCCGGAGATTAATTCCTATAAGCCCCAGGAAGGGCACTGAAGACAGAACAGTCTGACGGGAATCTGTCACACCAGGTATTCTGGGGGAGTAATACACCTCAAAAGGAGGCCCTTACCTACCAGATTGCTGCACAAGGTTTGGGACATTTTGCTGGGGTAAACCCAGCAAGCTGCCAAAGCAAGCAAGCTTTGGTCTTACATTCACACAAGCAAACACAACAGTTAAAAAGGAAAGGAAAATTTACTTGGCAGAAAACAGCAGGCACAAACTTTTAACCCAATGTTATCTAGGTAGCAAATATTCCTATTGTACCCCGATCTTGCTGTATGTTTCTAAAGATATAAAGAACTATCTGTCTGGCAGAGAAAGATGCTAACAAGCTGGAGCAGGCAGCGGGGGTGGGGAGATCCATTGCCTGTATGGCAATGTACTGTATGGGCAAGAAGCCATCCACAGGCCTGTGTCCAGAGCTGGCCTCTCTCTTCCAGTTATGTTCAAAGCATGTTCAACTCTGCATCCTAAGTGTCTGATCTTTAGACTATACCTCTCTGTGGGTGTGTTTATAGGAAAAGTGAGTTTCCCAGATTTAGGCAAATTGTTGGAGTGGTGCTTGATTGCTTCTTGATGACCTTAACTATTGTTTCTGTGGGAAAAAGTTGAGTTGTGTTTCTTAGGTGCTATTCATAGGGTTGTTTTGCCTCATCTCTATAGGAGGAAATATCTTACCTTCCCCACCACAGCAAGAATTCCAGCATTCATTCTTATCTCACAAGATAGATCCTTCTTCCCACCCCATGGCATACTGGTGAGAAATTCCAGAAAATAGGACTGTTGCCTTGAAGGAATCAGCACTCTACAGCTATGTGTATTTGACCTTTTTAAATAAATGATTCTAGAGCAATTAAGTAGTCCCAGTTAGAGAACAGAGATTATTGCTAATTCCAGAAATAGCAGCTTTTTAAAACTGTCAGTCCTTAAGCAGAAATCCAAGAAAACCTATTAGGTTACAGATGAATGCTAATTTATAGGAAATATACGGCCTTCTTCCACTGTTCTATATAATAGACGCATTCATTGCAAAACATACAGATGCATGCATTTTCTGAAAAGCACAGAGGATTCACAGAAAATGGGGAAGGACAGGCAGCTGAATTGAAAAGGAAAAACTGAAGTCATGTCCGGTGTTGTTACGTGCCACCAAGTCATCTCTGACTTTCAGCAACCTTCCAGAATGTCCTGTTCTTAACAGCCCTGCTCAGCTTTTATAAACTTGTGGCTGTGACTTCCTTTATGGAGTCAATCCATCTTTTTCTTCTTCTAACTTCTACTTTCTCTAGCATTACCTTTTCCAATGAGTTTTGCCTTCTTATGATGTGCCCAAAGTACAGCAGGTTCAGTTTCATTTATTTTTGTTTTCAGGAAAAGTTCTGGCTTGATTTGATTTACAATCCATTTGTGTGTCCTTCTGGCAGTCCAAGGTGCTTGCAAAGCATTCCCCCAACACCCATTTTCTTCCTGTCAGCTTTCTTAGCCCTGCTTAAAGTAAAACTAATGAGACTTGAGTTGGAGTGGATACACCCCATTATTTATTTGAAATGATGCTCTGTGGAGGAAAATTAGTTAACACACTATGCCCCTTAACAGCTGTATATATAAAATTGTCTATTATGTTAATATTTGTGATGGAGAAAATAACATACTAGGATATCAAAATTGGGGGGGGGTGGAGCCGCCATTACTACTATTGCATTTTAAAGGCATTTAAAGCTTTATTCCTTTAACTTAAAAGATTAAGTCAACTACTTTTTACCCTTTAAAATGATGAAAGAAAACCATTGAATAGATGTATTGCTTACCAAAGAAGGGTGACACAGAAGCAAGAAATATTTGGTTATTATATACTCTTCGGGTATTGTTCTGCCCACCCTGCACTCTTTCCTTTCTTCCTCCTGTAAGCAAAATACAGTTAAGGTGAGGGGAAAATTGGGTAAAGAGATGAAGTGGAATGTTTTGTGTTCCCAGCGAGAAGCACTTACAGTCCAAATAGCTATGGAAAACCTACCCATGTTTACTCAAGAATAGGGCCCACCAGTTTCAGCAGAATTTACTCCCAGATAAATAATGGGCCCATAGGATTGTAGAGCAGCTCACAAACCTCGAGAATGATGCAGAGGCCTTGTATTCCCACATGCTGCAATCCTGGGCGTATCTACTCAGAAGTGAATCTCATTTTGTTAAATAGAACTCGCTCCCAGATAAATGTTATTTGCTTGCTTTCCTGACCTGAAACTCTGCAGGGTTGCGTGACTGCAATTCCCAGGCGCTCATATTGGCTGGGGCATTCTGGGAGTTGAGTCTTACAATGGGAGGGGTGGGGAGACCAGGCTGGGATTGCAGTTCGAAAGGGCTCAGGTAGAGAAAGGTGAGAGAGAAGAGGCGGTGTCCTCCTGTACCGGTTTAGGCAGCAAAAACAGAAAGACCCGTGACTCCTAGGGGGACGTGCTGGGAGTTGTGGGCCTCCTGGTTTCGGCGGCCCGACCTGGGACAGGAGAGGGCCGGTGGGCGAGCGGCTCACGCTCGGAATGCATCGCCCAGCCCCGAGCCGCCGGCGGAGAGACATTCCTGCCGGGCCGGAAGTGGGGCGGTCGCCCCGGAAGTGAAGGCCGGTAACCAGGAAGCGTCCCTCTGCGGGACCTCGGCGCGTAGGAGTGCCATTTTCTCGGCGTCCGGCCCGGCGATGGGCTCCTCGAAGCGGCACCGGGAACGGGGCGAGGCCTCGGAGGACCCCGCGCCGCCGCCCTCCTCCTCCTCCGGCGGCGGCGGCGGCGGCGGCGGCGCCGCGTCCTCCTCCTCGTCCTCCTCCCGCCACCGGGAGCACAAGAAGCACAAGCACCGGAGCAGCGGCGGAGGGAGCGGGAGCGAGCGGCGGAGCAAGCGCAGCCGGAGCCGCGGCGAGCGCAGCAGCCGGCGGGGCGGCGGCGAGGAGGCGTCCTCCTCTTCGCGGAGCAGCCGCGCGGCCGCCGCCGCGAGCCAAGAGGCCGAAACGGGCAGGCGGATCAAGCGGGAGAAGCGCGACGACGGATACGAGGCCGCGCAGAACTCAGGTGCAGGAAGGAGAGGCGGGGAGGGGGTTAGGCCGGTGCTGCTCAGGGGCAGCCGGTTGAGGGCCGGCTCGAGCGTCGGGCAGCTGCCGAGGAGGCTACGTGCGCGATGCCTGTCGCGTGCTTTTGAGTCCGCCCTCCTCGCGTAGCGTGCCTACCTCGCAGAGCTGTTGTGAAGGTGAACGGGCGCGGGAGCTTTTCAGGTCCTCCTATATTCCTGCAAGATTCGCAGAGCCGCCATCCGTTTTACCATAGGGACGTGTCCACCTTGAGGAAAGATGGACAGAGGTGTATACATCACTGGGTGGGCAGGTGGAGCACGCTCCTCCACACACTTACCGTGTGTAAGTGTGTGTGTCTCACGGAATTCTCAAAGGAGAAGCCTGTAGCTCTTCCCATGCGAAATGTTCTGGGTTCCTTCCCCACTAAGGAGTGGGAAAGACCTCTGTCTCAAGCCCTGGAAACGTGTTGCAGGTAGTTCTGAGCTCAGTGGGCCAGCACCATCTGTTAAGTTGCCAAGGGACTGCACATGTGCTGCAGCAGCCCTGTCTTTCATTGGTTTAAAAACCATAAGAGTGGCTGTTGGTTTATTTTTATTAGAACCCTTTTAATATCTTAGAAAAGGAAGGAAAAGGGGGGTGACCATAGGAGAGGATCTTATGGGGGTGGGAGACCACAGTATTGCCAGTAAATGATTCAGAAGGCCCCGTTTGGGCTGAATTGGATGCAGTAGCAGCCCCGCTCCCTGTGTGAAGCACCCCATGTTTGTCTCACTGCATGTCAGGGAACAAGGCACCCGGTTGCATTTATCTACAGAGTTGACACACTACTTGTCATGGCCCTGGGTGCTTGTGCTGCTGCCATATGGGGGAAACTTACTGGGCATGTGCAGATTGTTTAGATGTGGGAGAAAGTGCTTAGCTGTGACTGTCTTCATCCCTGTTCTAGCGCCGAGTCTTTTTATATTCCAAAGACCCCTCTGCTCCTGAGAAGTGCCTTGGCCAGGTACCACTGTTGGGTTCCAGCCAGCTCAGATCACTTTTCCACCTTAAAGCAAATGACGTGATTAGTGAAGTGGCTGGGGCTGCATGTTGCGCAGGCAGGGCCAACATATGTACATGTGTTCATGCCCACGGTGGTAATTGCAATGGCTACCCTCTCCCCATGCCATGCCCAAAGGAGGTTTGACGCTCCCACTTCCCCAGAGCTCAGGGAGGGCTCCCACTGAGAAGGAGTGCTAGCTCGTGGGGGAGCAGCCCTCTGCCGCTGCTTTGGGGAACGGCAAGAGAAGCTTGTGGGCGGGGCAGCTCTGGGGCACTTGAGGCCCCTTCAGCCCACTGCCTTCTTCCCTTGCCTTTCCCCAGCCAAGAGAGCTTTTGGGAGAGACTTCTGTAGGCTTCACTGGGCTGAATGGGGAGACCTGCCAGGCCACATCCGGCCTGTGAGACAGAGGTTCGCCACCTCATCTTAGGCCTTAGAAAAAGTAATCCCACATCCTTATTCCCCTCTCTTTTCTGCTGCCTTATTATCTGAAACCTGATTGTGTCCATATTAATGTCTCTTATTGTCATCTCTCTTAGAGGCTTATTTTCAGACAGAAGGGTAATACAGATATATTTAAAATAACCATCTCCCACCCTCTGTTACTAAGTCAGATGGATGAGCAGTGATTATTAGCTGCAGACCTTAGTTTTTATGGAAACCCTGGCCTGTGTGATAAGCTCTCTAGATTGTAGCACAGATCTAAAGATAAGCTTGTATATAATACTGTAGTATAGCAAGGCTGTCAACTTGAAAGGGGAGATCTGACTGTGGTGCACACCAGATTCTGCACAGGATTGCAAAAATGGAAGAGCACTCACAGCTTAAGTTCCAGCTTCTTTTTCACATCAAGCCCATTGTAAATATTTCTTTATTTGTTTCTAAACAGCTTCTGGCTCAAAGTCCACCTCAGGAGATGCTTCCCTCAGCATTGAGGAGACAAAGTGAGTGAAAGAGAGATCCAGAGGCTGGGATCTTCAGGTTCCCTGCTCAAACTTGTGGCCATTCACCACAAGGTTTAATCGCTGCCAATGCCCCAGAGATCCCATGCAGAAGTAAATCACTGACATTGGTGAAATTAAGAGCACTTAGCTCTGCATTGGACCAAGCTGGGCTCTTGGGGACCTTTGTGAAGGGCTGTGTTGGGGTTCAGCCTTGGGGGGTGCCGGGTTGGCCTCGACCTTTCCTGGGGATCTGGGAAAGTGTCTTTCTTGCATGGTGGCTTTGCCCCACATGCTGCAGGGTTGGATTCCTCCAGCACAGCCATGGGCACTCCAGGTAACTGCGTGTTCCTCTTCCTGACAGCAAGCTCCGAGCCAAACTTGGGCTGAAGCCCCTGGAGATAAACACCATCAAAAAGGGTAAGTTCACCTCCTCTCGTCTGTTCCGAGAAGCCCCTGGAGGCGCTGGCCGTTGCAGGACCAGCTCTGGGCTGCTTCCCTGGGGCAACATCTACCCAAGAGGGCTGTTATGGGGGTGGGTTCAAGGGTGCCTCCTGCCCGCCTCTTGCCGCTCCGTTGGTTTCCTGTGCATGTTGTGGCTGGGAGGGAGCTGAGCGCGTGTCATGCGGAGGCTGCGGGTGCACAGAGGGGTTTCTCTGACCTTCCTAGCTGAGCCTTTCCAAATGTAACCCCAGATGGAATGAAGGATGAATTCAGCATGATTCGCTCATGGTGTTTCCTCTGCCTTTTCAGTTGCTGTCTTAGAGGCTTGTTCTTTCTGAACTGGCAGAAAACCTGTTTCTGGGCTATACCACTTTGGACTGCCTAAGTTTTACATCTCCTTACAAAATGTACAATATCTTTCATACAGAAAGCAAACATTTTCAGGAGAGGGATTTTTACTGTGCCTGCTTCCTATCACGCTGGTTTCCTATGCATCGGGAATGCAAATATTATGTCTGTATCGTTCATATATAAAAATCCCACCTACAATCCAGAGATAAGCCTGGTGTTTCTGCCAAAGCAGCCCTCGGGGATGAGGCTCCATCCTTGCCCAGCTCCCAGCCCTGCAGAACTTGTCTGTGCCGTCCGCCTTGCTCACAGCTTCCCTGCCGCACCTTCTGCCACAGGACTGCTTGCCTGATCGCCTAGGAGAAATGGTGGCAGTTCTGGACTTTGCTCCAGAGGCCGGAGCTGCCCTGTGGGCCCCACAACTGGAGCCGGGGTGGGAGTTGCCACGCACTGCCCCCTGTGTCCGCTTGCGTAGTCCCAGTCTCTCTCCCCGCATTGCAGCAGAGACCTCTCAGTTGACCAGCTCCTGGACGACCCTTTTTTCCGTTCCCTTCTGGCCCAACAGAAACGGGCAGCAAGGAGGATCCGGTGGCAGCCGAGGTGATCAACCCGATCGTGCTGAAGCAGCGTGAGGAGATCCGGGAGAAGTTGGCTGCTGCCAAGGAGAAGCGTCTCCTCAACCAGAAGCTGGGGTATGGCATCCAGCTGCTCCACCTGCGGCACCTGGCCAGCTCTCGTGAGCAATGCCTTCTGCACGCTGGGGCGGAGTGGCCTGCCCATCAGTTAAACTGACTTCTGTGTTTGGGAGGACTTGTCCCACAAAGTAGACTGTGAAGCCATGGGGTAGTAACCAAGCTTATTTTCCCTTGCTCTTCTGCTTCTCGTCTCCGTGCCTTTGCCGCAAAATGCCTTTGCGGGGTTGATCTTGGGCCCACGGGTCTCCCTGTCTTGGGGCACCCTGGGGTGACCGTCTGAAAGCTCTTCCTGCTTTCCTGCCCCCAGAAAGATCAAGTCACTGGGTGAAGATGACCCCTGGCTGGATGACACGGCCGCCTGGATCGAGAGGAGCCGGAAGCTGCAGCAAGAGAAGGAGATGGCTGAGAAGCGGGTGGGTGCTGGGACGGGAGGCCCACGAGGCCAGCCCTGCGGCAGGGTGCCGGCGCTGCACGGGGCCTGTCCTGACTCGCGTGGGGGGCTGACTGGGCAGCGCCTTCCCCCATGGCTGGGTGAGGCAGATGGAGGGTGCTCAGTCCGCGGGAGCGGCTGCCTCCCCCAAGCGTTCTCCCCCCATCGCACGCACGTTCTCCCTTTGCCGCACCCCCATCTCATCGGTGTGTCCTTTCCACCCCAAATCAGGCCAAGCTCTTGGAGGAGATGGACCAGGAGTTTGGCATCAGCAGCCTCGTGGAGGAGGAATTTGGGCAGAAGAAGGAGGTAAAGCAGTGCCCTCCCGACTGCTGCCGGGGGCTGGGCTGTCTCGGCAGCGTTGCTCTGTGCTGCCAGCCGGCATCGCTTTGCCAGCGTGCCGATCCGTCTGTGGCAAGCGGAAGTGGGTCCCCCTGTGCCCACCAAGTGTGCTGCCCGGGGGAGCCTGGAGGGGACCTAGCACTGGGCAGCGTGGGAGGCGCCAGGGCGCCCGGGCAGCGGCACTCAGGCAAGCCCAGCGGTGCCAGGTGGTGCAGCGGGTGGGAGGGAGGAGCTGCTGAGGCCGCCGCGGCGCAGTCCCCCCTCCAGCCGTTTCCACAGCAGTGGGAAGGCTCTCTGGCCCCTGTGCCGCTGCCAGAGGAGAGCCATAAGCAGTGGAAGTGCCTCCTCTTTTGTGCTGCTCACAGCTCCCTGCTCATGCCAGGGCCTGGCTTGGCCTGGCCTGAAGACTAGGCAGCAGCAGCCTTGCTTAAGCCGGGCCTCTTTGCCTGGCCTGGCCCACTTGGGAGCCCTGGAGCAAGGCAGGGTACCACGTGCCTGCCCTGGCATGAGCAGCGAGGGTCAGATGGAGCCCTGGTCCCCGGGCAGCCCTTTCTCCCTCCCTGAAAATTATGCCATTTCGTGGTGATCGTCTTGTGTGGTCCCTCAGCAGAGTACATGGAAATGCGTTTTCAGTGGCCAAGGGGGAAGTCTTACCTGCAAGTTCCATTTTTGGAAGAGCGGTGGCTTTGCTTATCCTGAGCCGAGTGCTGGGCTGCCCTCCCAAGTAGCTCTCTTGACTGTTGACTTTCTTGCACTGCTTGCACTGCCCCTCCAGTGTCTTCAGTCCCATAAGCCGTTGCGATTGACACAGCGGTACTCCTGGAAAGCACTTCCTGGCACGCTTCTCCCTCCCTGGGGTGGGGTGCCTCCATTGCCAGGCTGCCTTGGGACCTGCATCGCTCACTGCTTCTTTCAGGAGAGCTACGGTTCACGAGACCTGAAGGGCCTGACGGTGGAGCACACCATCGATTCTTTCCGGGAAGGGGAGACAGTCATCCTGACCCTCAAAGACAAAGGTAGGGGTGGAGCGTCTGTCGCCCTCTTCCTCTGGAGGCAGCCTGTGGGGCGCAGCTCCCTGTCCCCTAGTGGTGCGCCCTGTCCCCACGTCCCGCTGCCGTTGGGCATTTCCAGGAGTTGTGAAACAAGGAACAGAACTGGCTTTTGTCTTTAATTATTTCAATTTAACATTTCAGCAAAGCAAAACAAGATTGCCAGTTAGCTTATACACTGTGAAATGCAGCATCACTAGCTGGCATCCGTAGATTTTGACCAATTGAATCGCCAGGCCAAAAGTATCACTTGTACCAAAGCTGGAACAGGTGCCTGGAGTTTCAAGATAGAGCAATAAAAAGTCATCAACAAAAAGAATAATTTTAACTTCTGAGAAATCAAGTATAGACCCATGAATGCTACTATTCTGTCCAATGGCACCTGCCAGGGATTCAGAATGTAAAATATCAGTCGAGAAAGTGGGCACCCCATCTGGTACCTCTCCCAAGTGAAAAGAAAGCTGAAAAAGACCATTGGTCAAAATTCCAACTCCTGCAATGGAACGTGAAATCTTGCCCATTCACATGGTCTACAGGAAGTCAAGTTACTCAAGGCAGTGGAGCAGATTTCCAGGGGATCTTGTTGAGGGCCTTTCCGCGTCCAAAGAAGCAGCGCTCTGTTCTGTCACTGTGTAAAGAGATCTGAATTCCAGCCCTTCAGGGTGATTTACTGAGCAGAACTGATCTGCTCAAAGCAGCGTTGGGATAACTTGTTGCGGTCTCACCAGCCGTGATTGCAGTTAATGACCTAGTATCCACATTCATGAAATAGATTGCTGGTTGGCACAGAAATTGGGCTCTTTGTCAGGTGCCATCAGTAACGTAATGTAAGCGTCAGTTAGAAACATAGAAACAGAGCGAGTCAGAAGGGGCCTCCCAGGCCATCCAGTCCGACCTCCGGCACCAGCCGGCTCCGCTCACGGCATGCCCACCATGTGGACGTCCAGCTTGTCCTTGAACACCCGCACCGATGGGGCCTCAACGACCTCTCGTGGAAGCCCATTCCACACCCTCGGGGTCCTGACTGTCTGGAAGGACATCCTGGCATCTAAATTAACTTTAACTTTTAAACTGTTAACTTTTTCCTGACATCTAAAAGTTAACAAGGCATGGAAGTCCAGTTCAGAAACACGATAAAGAGGCACTGCTGCAATGAACAGGTTGGAAAACTTCTACTGCTCAGTTGGACATCTGCCTGGACCACAGGATTTCCCAGGTGTTTGTACTGCATTCACCTTGTTCTTCCATGTGCGAAGGAGCCAAGAGAAATTGCACTTGTGAGGAATGTGAGACAATCAGCATGAGGAGGAGAAATGCCTTTTTCTTGCTCTCTGTGTGCTATGCCATTCACAATAAAGCTTTTCAAATTGCAAGTTTGTGTATATAGGAAGGCTGTCTATGATATCATTTAATCTTTATCAGCTGAAATAAGATTTTGAGGTTTTGCCTTCTGAAATGATGCGCCATCGTCTTATTCGTACTTACGTAAGATTTTCCACTTCCCAGTAAAATGATGCAGTTAGACAGCGCTCTTTAGAGATTTGCTGTATTAAAAAAAAAAAAGCCTTACCTAAAAGGTAGGGGAAAAAAACACTGGTCTGTCTCTCAGTAACACACATTTTTGCTACGTAAGCCTCCCCCACCCAATAATTCATGCATAAATTTCATCCACAGCTGTTGAATGGGTTTCTCATAAGAAAATGCCCTGATTTTCGGGTGCTCTCTTCTGCTCGCTCCAGCTGGGCAGGTGGGCGTGCAGCGATGCCGTGAGCTCAGACTGCCTGTTCCCGTCCTTTTAGGTGTGTTGGAGGAGGAGGGAGGCGACGTCCTGGTGAATGTCAACCTAGTAGACACAGAGAAGGCCAAGAAGAACGTGGAGCTGCGCAAGAAGAAACCAGACTGCAGGCCCTACGAGGAGGAGGAGAGCGTGGACGACATGGTGGTCGTAAGGGAGCATCCACGCCTGGGTCTCTGGGGCGGCCCGTGGGGAGCGCAGAGCGTCTGAGCGAGGATGAGAAAATCGCGCAGGCTGTGGGCAAGGGGGACGGAAGTCGGGCAGCCGTGCTGAAATGGGGGGGGGGGGATTGAGGACAGATGTGAAGGAGGGCCACCTGCTCCGTGCACCATGTGCCACGCCAAAAGCAGGTGAAATGGGATGCCGTGGCCTGGCACGGGCTCCGGTGGCGCCCAGGAAGCCCCGGACACCATCGCTGCCCTGCCGCGGCTGCCGCCTGGGCTTGGGCTGAGGCGGCGTGGGGCAGCTTGGGCCTCCTGAAAGCTCGCAGGCCCCGTGGAGGCTGGGCGCCCCACAGCAGGCGGCCCTCCCTCCGGGAGGGATCGATCCCATGCCCCCCTGCGCCCAGCACCCGGTGCCTCTGGCCAGCTGCTTTCCATCCGAGGCTGTGGGGGCTGGAGGCACGCCGAGCGGGAGCCCTTTCCACGTGGGCGTGGGCTCCCTCTGCGCACTGCTGAGCCCGCCCTCTCTGCTGTGCCGCCTCCGCCCAGCTCAAGCACAAGGGCATCCTGTCCAAGTACGACGAGGAGATCGAAGGGGAGAAGAAGAAGTCCTTCAGGCTGGACTCCGCGGGGATGGCCGACGGGTCTTGGGAGCGGGAGCTGCAGCAGATTCGGGACAGCCTGCACAGTCGGGCCCAGACCCTGGATGTGCCCAGCCTCCGCCTGGCCTCGGAGTACTTCACCCCGGAAGAGATGGTACGGTGAGGCCCTGGGGCTCCACTGCCCCTCCGCTGGGCGGGGTGTGCCCGGCAGCCGGATCCTCCGGCCCTTTGGTGTCTGGGGGGCTCCAGCCGGGAGCTGGTGGCCCCCTGGCCCGGGCTGCCCTGGCCCGGGAGGGGAGGGCACAGAGCTTGATCCCTGGCGGCCGGAGGGGTGCGAGCTGCGGCGGCAGGGAGAAGGCTGGGAGGGAAGGGCAGCCAGCCCGTTGGAGGCATGGTGGGCAGGCGGCCCCTCTCGAGCCCCCCTGCCGCTGGCCCGCGGCATCCCCCCGCGAGGGGTCTGGTGGGAGAGCCACCCCACGCCGGCCTCGCCTGCCCATCTCTGACACTCCCCGTGCCGCTGCAGAGCGCCACGTTCAAGAAGACGAAGCGGCGCGTGAAGAAGATCCGCAAGAAGGAGAAGCCGGTGAAGGCCGACGATCTTCTGCCGCTGCCCAGCGACAGAGGCGGCGGGGACTTTGGCTCCAGGTGCGGAGTGGCGGAGGGGGCGGGGAAGGCCCCCCACACCGTTGGCGACGCTCGCACCCCACACGCCTCCTCGCTGGGGTTGCTTGGCGGCTGCAACCGAAGTCATCCTGTGCTGCCCCTGCTGACCTAGGCCAGTCCGTGCTGGCAGGCATTCAGAGGTGGGGGGACTCTGGCCTTGGTCTGCTGGGCTCCCCTGTCTGACCCACAGAGCCCCACAAGGAATACTCCAGTGATATGGGGTCTTTGTACGCACCGTGCCCCCCGAGTTGGGAGCGTGCGTGGACTTTCCTTTTGTGGCTGATCTGAGATTGCAGTTCACAAGGGAGGAAGCTGGGCAGGTGCACCTGAATTGGGGCCTGCCCACAATCCACTCTGTGGAGCAGGAGGGGGCCAGCCCCCCATCGAGGCGGCTGCTTGACCCACACCAAGGTCCTTTCGTGAGGAGGCGGCACGGGCGGCCCCACTGGAGCCTCTGTCGCGGCAGCCGTGCTGTGGAGTGAGGCGGGGAGGCAGTCGGGTGTGCTGCAGGCCGTCCTTCGGCCATCAAACAAGGGGGGGGTCATTTGCCCTCCCCCTCAAAGGGCTCCCCTCACCCAGACCTGCCTCCTGGGCAGTTCAACATGCTTTGCCCTGCATTCTACCTCTCTGTGTGGCTCTCCAGGGCCCGTGTTCGGGGGAGAAGGAAGACTGCCCCAGAGGAGGAGGAAGGGGAGGAAAATGAGGAGGGGTACCCCGAGCACAGCAGAAACGGGGGCACGGAGCAGCTGCCCCCGTCGGACGACATCCGGGTGGAAAGGATGGACATCAGCAGTGAGGATGGTGAGTGGGCAGGGCCTCGTGCCAAGGGGAGCCGATTGCTGGTGGGGTCTTGCTGGGCGGGTGGCAGCCCTCCCTGCCTCGACCGGGATCCCCACGGTTGTGAGGCTTGTCGTGCAGGGAGGCAGGGAAAGCCACAGCTGAAGTGCAGCAAGGCAACACTTGTTCCTCCCCTCCCCTCCCCTCCCCTCCCCGCCAGAGGATGGCCTGGAGGGCCCAGACCACCCAGCTGTCCTGGAGGAAGATGAGGCCGAGCAGGAGCTCCAGAAGCAGCTGGAGAAGGGGCGGAAACTGAGGCAGATCCAGCAGCTGAAGGATAGTGGGGAAAAGGTGAGGGGGTGCGATTCGTGAGGCTGGAGGCTCCCCAAAGGGGCCGTGTTCTGGAGAAGGTGGAGGGGTGGAGACCCACGGGGGCGTGGAGCAGCTCCTGTGGCGGCCTCCAGTGGTCTTGGACCCCAGTCCTGAGGCTGTGGGGCCTGCGTGGGCCCCCTCCCCTGCAGGTCATCGAGATTGTGAAGAAGCTGGAGACCGGCCGGAGCCAGGAGGATGATGAGGAGCTGGAGAGGAAGGGGGCCATTGTCTTCAATGCCACCTCCGAATTCTGCCGCACGCTGGGCGAGATCCCCACCTACGGACTGGCCGGCAACCGCGAGGATCAGGAAGAGCTCATGGTCTGTCCGAGGCGTTCCGGGCCGAGTTCGAATGCTCCTGAATGAGGGCTTCCCTGTGGGAATTCCATGGCACCCTGCAGCAGTGGGCTTCCACACCCCAGGCTGCTGGGCGTTCTCCCGGGAGCAGGCCCTGGCGCAGCCCAGGCCCTTCAAGCCACGCCTGTGGAGCCCCTGGGTCGGGCGATCGCTGCAGGCACCAGCGCCGTCTGGGGGGGGGGGGGGGGGAACGCCAGTTTGCTTTGCAGAACTGCCTCCCTGTTGGGGGGGGTAGTCATCCTCGGGGGCGTATGGTTGGCCTGGAGGGAGAGGGGGGCGCAGAACCTGAACCAGATGGGTGCCTCCTGCCTAGCCGAACTCCGGCCTGCCCACAGGGCGGGTGCTTTGCCGCTGACAGCTCTGTCTCCTGGCAGGACTTTGAGAGAGATGAGGAGAGATCGGCCAACGGGGGCTCCGACTCGGATGGGGAGGAGAACATTGGGTGGAGCACGGTCAACCTGGATGAGGAGAAGCAGCAGCAGGACGTGAGTTGGCCCGTGCCGCCCACGGGGAGGCTTGGGTGGGGGCCTGTGGGCGGGCCCCCTGCGGAGTGCCGGGGGCCGCTGCCCTCCTGCTGGAGGAACCGCGGGGCTGAGCTCGCTCTCCCTCCCTCTGGCTGCAGTTCTCAGCGTCATCCACCACCATCTTGGACGAAGAGCCCATTGTCAACCGGGGCCTGGCCGCTGCCCTGATGCTCTGCCAAAACAAGGGTAAGGGCCCGGGGGAGGGGGCGGATCCGCCCAGGCCTTCCTGCCAGCGGCCCGGCTGCTGCGTCGGCCTTCCTCGGGGGTGCCCGGGGGAGGGCGCACGTCTCGAATCCCGGGGCTGCGGGCGCTCCCGTTCCCAGCACGTGCGCGCCACCGCCGGGCTGTGCTCCTCCCCGCAGGCCTGCTGGAGACCACGGTGCAGAAGGTGGCGCGGGTGAAGGCCCCCAACAAGTCCCTGCCCTCAGCCGTCTACTGCATCGAGGACAAGATGTGAGTGTCTCCGCGCGGAGAGCAGGGGCCAGGCCCCGCAGGCTGCTGCGAGAGCGTGGCTCCAACTGGGCCTGCGCTCCTTGGCTGAGCTGCCCTCCCAGAACTGCCGCTGCCCCCGAGTGGAGAGCCGTGTCTGTCCTTCCCCGAGGGAAGCCTGCCGTGCCGGTGGTGTCGCCCGCTTGAAGGGCAGGAGGTCCCTGCTCGTGCCCGAATGTGCTCGCTGCTTCGCAACGGTCGGCCTTGTGGCGACCCAGCCCTCTTGTCGCAGCCGCTGTGCAGCCAGCACGTGGGCCTGCCGCTCGTGGCCTGAGCCGGCGGAGGGGAGCGGGCAGGGCCGAGCGGGGCGTGCGGTTCTCCGGGGCCAGCAGGGCTTAGACCGTGGTGTCCTTGCGCCCCCAGGGCCATCGATGACAAGTACAGCCGGCGGGAGGAGTACCGTGGCTTCACGCAGGACTTCAAGGAGAAGGATGGGTACAAGCCAGACGTAAAAATAGAGTATGTGGACGAGACGGGCCGCAAGCTCACCCCCAAGGAGGTACGAGTCTTGGGGCCAGCCGGCCGCTGCCAAAACACAGTGTGGATTAAGGGTGCAGCTCCACCCGTCTTCCAGAGCGAGATGCGGTGCTCTTCCCTGGGTACTTGCCTGGCAAAGATCAAGCAGCCAGTTGAATAGAGCAGATAACGAGAGAGAGAAATGCACTTTATTGGGCTTTTAAACAATCTGCATGTGTTCCAGCAGCCAAAAGGAATTTGCCCCCTGCAGTTCTGACTGTAATTAAAATAGTGTTTTTTATTGTACTATATTTTTATGATACACTGCTATGTAGGTATTGGGGGCACTTCCTTAGCTGCCCAAAATGTGCTTAGTTGCCAAGTGCTGAGAGTCTTTGAGCTTAGCAGTCTGCCCCGTTCTCCTTGCCCCAGGCATTCCGGCAGCTCTCTCACCGCTTCCACGGCAAGGGCTCCGGCAAGATGAAGACGGAACGGCGCATGAAGAAGCTGGACGAGGAGGCGGTGAGTGTGCAGGGAAGGGCCCTGTTCCGGGGAATCGGCGCTTGCCCTGTCCCTGCCACCGGCGCGGCTGGCGTGCTCGCAGAAGTCCTCGTTGCGTTTCAGAGCACCCAAGAGCATTCCTAGCCTGCTCGCACTGGTGACCTTCGCACTCCCCTGTTGGCCCTGAGCTCAGGGCCCTCCAGCCTTTGGTCAGCCCTTGAAGTCCCCCTCTGTGGGGCCTTGAGTGGGGAGCTGGGCTGGCCAGAAGGGCTCTGATGGAAGGGCTCTCCTCTCCGCAGCTCTTGAAGAAGATGAGCTCCAGCGACACCCCGCTGGGCACCGTGGCGCTGCTGCAGGAGAAGCAGAAGGCCCAGAAGACGCCCTACATTGTGCTCAGCGGCAGTGGCAAGAGCATGAATGCGTAAGCGGGGCGGGGGCTGGGGGCGGGGGCGGCCCTGCAGGCTTGCGTGCCGGACTCCGCAGCCCACTCTCCGGCTGGCCGCTGCGATCCCCGTCCTTGTGTAGGAGCGCCACGCGGCCGCTGGGCCTCTGGGTTAGCCACTGAGAGCCGGTTGCATCTGTTGGGGCATGCCTGGAAACCCGCAAGGGGCGGCATGTCCTGCCACGGTGCCTCTCGATGGCAGGCCTGAGGGGCTGCATCCCGCTTCACGGCTTTGGCCCTGGGCTGGGCGAGCCGCTTGGGTGGCTGAGACGTTGACCCAGCATGACAGTTCCTCTTCTCAGCCTCGCCCCTCACCTTCCAACCGTTCCTTCGCATCAGCTGGAAAAGGGGGGCGTTACTTGGTCTTTCTGGTTTCCTGGCCCAGTCTTGGTGAATTGTTGTTTTTTTTTTCTTCTCCTCACAGAAACACCATCACCAAGTGAAATTCCCGGTTCCCACGCTGGCAAACGCCTGCCGCTCCTGCTGGGGTTGGATGGTGCGGTTCTGTGGGTGACCTGCATCCTTTGCTCCTCTCAGGGTTCCTGTTCAGTGTGGACCTGGGCCTGCTTTGTACATAGTTCTGGAACTGAGAATTTTAGCACCAAGTGTCTCCTTTTGTATCTATATGTGAAACCAAATAGCTTGAGTAAAACGTAGATGTTTCCTCACTCACTGCCCGTTCCTTCCTTCAACTGCCTGCAGCACAAACAAGACTTTGAAACCCTTTTGGTGGCTGGTCAGGGGCTAACAAGCCAGTCTGTGTGCAGATTCTCTGGACTGCCTTCAGAATGAGATGGGCAGGTTCGCACAACACAACAAACAACTGTAAACCCTGTCACGTTGCCTGAACCCCCCCAGACAGAAACAACCATCTACTACAGTTTCAGGGGCTCCCCAGGCTGCAGGCCAGAACACGCCACTGACAGCTGCCGATGGGTGCGGGCGTCGGGGCACGTCCGTTCCGCCCACCTGCGGCCCTCAGGCTCTCCTTTGGGTCGGAGGAGGCGGTCGGCTGGCTGGTGCTGGGCAGAATGCGCGGCTCAGCTCGCCCTCCAACAGAAGTCGCAAGAATCCACTGGGAGCCAGGCCTGGTTGGGGGCTGCGGCCTGTGAAGGGGGTGCCAGACCGGGGACGCCTCGCTGGCAAGCTGGCGCAAGAAGGGTGGCCCGGCCCGGCCCGGCCCAGCCCAGGCCTTGCTCAGCTGTGGACGCAGCAGAGGGGCTTCCCTATGACACCTGGAGGACAGAGAAGCTGGCTGCTGGGAGGAGAGTTTCTGTGCTGAGCCTGCTTGTCTTTCAGGCACTTCCGTGCCAAAATCATGCCGGGTGGAAACGGCATGGCATTACTTGTGATGTGTGGTCAGCTCCAGTGCCCTCCTAGGACAGGTTCTCAGTGTGGTGTCAGCTGGATTGCCCTGGGCTGCAGGGAGCGGCTCCCACGACTGGGCACAGCTCCTTCCTCCCGTTTGCATTTCGTTTCGAGCCCACCAACTGCAAAAACCTTTCTGGATGGCTTAGAACAGGTTCATAATACTATAAAAATTCCACCTTTTGCCAAAGCTACACAATACGTGATGCTAAACAGACCCGCAAAGGATTTCTGATGTGAGCGCACTGACCCAGCTGTTTACTAACCCAAGTGTCTTAAATGCAGTGAGGGAAAAGGGTCGGGTCTGTCGGAGTCTTGCAGGCAGCGAGTTCCAGCAATCAGAAATGGTGCCGCCTGGTCTGGGTGTCGTAGGGCATCTGGAGCACACTTTGAGTGCGCACTCCGTGCAGGCAGGAGGGGCTGGGCTCAGTCACCAGCACCAGTAAGCCTGGGAAAGGCGTTTGCTGCAAACCTTGAGAGCGGCTGCCAGTCCGTGCTGAGCGCGCAGGACCAGGGATCCACACTGGTGCAAGGTTGGTGCGTGGAGGAGCGGAGATGGGGAACGCGAGGAAGGGGCTTGCGCGAGCGCCCTCTACTGGGCTGAGCAGAGGGCAAGCGGCCGGCTGAGCCACGGTAGAGTTGAGGTTTCGGCCTTCAACTGCCCAACAGCGGCAACAAATAAAAAGCTTTTTGTCCTAGTTCGCTGAAAGAATGATTGAAGGGGGCGGGAGGGGGGCACAAGATTTTTGTGTGAAAGGGTCAACAGACTTTATTTTGGAATGAGTCACAAATTCCTGGGCTGAGCATGTACCCAGAAGCCCCCATTTTCCTTCCTCTCACCTGGTTCTAGATCCTGGTTCTTGGGGTCGAGTCAAAAATGAAGACCTTGCCCTGTATCCATTACGCCGAGCTGACCGCTACTTTTCCCCATCCAGGACGTTAGAGCAACGAGGTTTTGTCCTGTCTGTGAGCATCTGGCGCAGCACTGCCAATTCAAACAACTGACCGGATTTGCAGTCACTCCTCCTGGTCAGTCATCCAAATAAGTGATGCAGCGGCAGCTGTGTCCCAGCAGAGCACAGCAGAGCACCGTGCGCCCCCCCCCGCCGCGCTGCCCCCCGCCCCCTTCCCTGCAACTGATCAATCCCTCCCGGCCCCCGCAATTCCGAGCTCCACTGCAGCAGAGGCGTTTCTTGGCTGCCTGGGCACCAACATCCAGGCCAGGCGTGGCTGCAGCTGAGTCAGTCTCTGACACCGCAGGGGCGCCCGGGGCACCTGCTATTCAAATGAGCAGCCAGGGGCCTTCAAGAGTGCAGTCAATTCAGGGATTCACTCTCTTCTACGCCTTTCTTGAAGTTGATTGAAATGCTTCTTCTGAATACAAAACAGCACCCAAGGGGCAAAGGCAGAAGGGCAAGTGCAGTAAGCCATGGGAAGAGCAGGACATGGAGAGAATTGGGATCAAAAGCGCCAAGCCTTATGAGCAAGCTAGTAAGTACGCTAACTGTACTTCCAGTGTTTGTCAGAAACGCAACGTAGTCCCATTCCCAGGACTGTGACAGGCTATAAGGAAATGCCAGTTTGGAATGGTCAGGGATTTTGGCGCTCTTGTGCCTATAAATAGCCACAACATTTAGGCAGGAACAGTTCCACCTGTAAGTCAATTCCTCGGTTTGGAGCACATTTTTATTACATAAGGCAAAAAGTTTGGGGAAGCAGAGCAGAGTACAAGCGGCAGCAGCCCAGGCGAGGTCACAGCTCTCTTCAAAACAATCGCCTTGGCTGCTGAAAGGCTGGGCTCCTTGCCTGCAACAGCTGTGCCAACTGCTCAAGCACGGCTTGGCCTCCTTGTAGGAACCACAAAGGGGGCGGCAGCTTGTCCATACCAGCAGGAAAACGTGGCGGGTGGAGGCCCTTCCCTCCAAATCCCAAGTTTCAGTCAGCTCCTTGTGTTACTTCTCTTCCTCTTCTGAGGTGCTGCTGTCCTCGCTCTCCATGTAATCGTAATTTATCCGGTTTGTGTTCACAAACAAGTCTCTGTCGTCATCGGAGTCTTCCTCTGCAGCAGAATGAGTTGGGCTCCCTGCCCCTTCCCTGCCAGAGGAGAGGTACAAAGAGTGCCCTTAGGACTCGCTGAGCTGGTGGCTCATTGCAATACCTCTATTTAGGGTTCTTCTCTCCTACTTTTGAATCCTCCCAACTTCCCAAAGCAGGTACAATGACATGACTAAAGATACAAATAAATAACATATCTACTGTTAGGATAACCAACGACCTGCTCATCACCAAGAGTCAGTGTCAACAAAATTCTCTTCAGAGGGACAAAGCTGCGCCTCAAGCTGATTACAAGCACTGCAAAACTTGGAGGCCACCCCTGCTGCGAGTGCGAGGAGGCCTGTATTTCCAGAAGGTGCTGCTGCCATTCTGGGCCCAGGGAGTTAAGGACTTCAAAATGTGAACAGCAGCCCATGGAAGCAAAACTAGACCCTTAGTAACAACGGACGGCAAGTCCCGTGCTTTAAACCACGGATCTGGCAGGCAGAGATAGGTCAATGTCTAGTTTCCTGCTCAGTGGTAAGCACCAGGGTCATTTCTAGTTCAAAGGTCAGATGGCAACTTGTGCACACACAAGGAGCTACAAGTTAGTCACCAGAGCAACCTTCCTCCCCCTTAGTGTTGTAGGAGTGCAGCTCTCGTGCTCACCTCTCTTTAGTATTGCTGTGAGGTCCTGTCACGTCCCCCACGAAGGCTTCAGGCCTGCAGAAAAATCCAGAAGGCAGAAGGTTGACAGGCGGCAGTTTGCAAGGTCTCTTCAGCCACACAGCATGGGTCCCCCACATGGTCCCACGGATCCACATGCTCATGGGACAATGGGCAAGAAAGCTCTGGCAGTCCGGGACAGCTGCCCAAGGGCAGGTCACATGGGTTCAGCCTTGCCCTGTCAATGGAGACTCTCTTACTACCACTGTCGGCATAAGTGAAGGAAGGAAAATAGGCAGCCGTTCTCTCACACTCACACTTACCAATATCCTTCCTTTTTCAGATGGTGAACATGGTCTTTATAAAGGACAAAACTGATCTCTGCTTTTACTTTCTCTCCTTCCTCTATGGGGTCTACAAGCAGAAAGTCACCTGGCAGAGAGAGAGAAATATATTGGAGCAGAAACAAACTGTGCAGGTAGGTTAAAGGAAGAGACTTTCTTCCATGTGTAACCAGCACAGTAGCCCATCACTAACCTCTCTTGATCCAAATATTCTTGCGGAATTTTGTGGGCATGCTCACGAGAAACCGAGTCCCCTCAGGCGTCTCCACCTCATGGAGGTTGTTGCCTGGCGTCCCCAACACCTGAACAGGAAAGGCAAAAGTGTGCCTTTGAAACAATGCAGTAATTACTATAAGGCAGCACGGATTTCTCAAGAACAAAACCGGACAGACTAATCTGACCTCATGTTTTGATCTAATAACCTTCCTTGTGGATGGCAGGAATGCTGTGGGCATAATCTATCTTGACTTCAGCAAAGTTTTCAAGAAAGTGCATTCTGATCAGAAGACTAGCTAAAGTGAGCTAGACAGAACAAGCAGGTGGATCTACAGTTGGCCACAGAATCCGACTCAGAAGGTGCTCATCTCAAAGTGGCACCTTCTCAAACTGGGGAGAGGGGCTCAGTCCTGGGCCCAGTGATCTTCAACATTTGTACCAATGACTGGATAAGGAATGCTGATCAGATCTGTAGATGAAACAAAATTGGGTGGGATGGCTAATCCTGTGGAAGACAGAAACAAAATTCAGAGTGATCTTGATAGGCTGGAGCACTGGCATAAAAGCAGCAGAATGAAATTCAACAGAGACAAATGTCAAGTCCTGCACTGAGGAAAAGGGAATCAGTGCAGTCAGAAGACGAGGGACACGTGGCTCAACAAACTGCCAGTGAGAGGGATCTTGGAATTGCTGCAGATCATAAGCTGAATATGAGTCAACAATGTGATGTGGCTGCAAAAAAGTTCGATACGATTTCTGAGCTGCATAAACAGAAGCATAGCTTGTAAACTGCATGAGCTTCTGGTTCCCCTCTAATTAGACATCTGGAGTGTAGTGTCCACTTCTGGAATCTGCAGATAGCCTGGAAAGGGCTCCAGGGAGGGCAACAAGGAGGACTGAGGGACTGGAAACAAAGCCTGTGAGGAGAAATTGGAAGAAGTGGGCAAGGCTAGCCTCAAGAAGAGAAGCCTGGGAGTGGGGTAGGGTAGCATTTTCCACACACTTGAGCAGCCGTCACACAGAGGAGGGCCATGTTCTCTTCTCAATCATCCCAGACTGCAGGAGATGGAACAATGGGCTCAAGTCCCGGGAAGCCAGGTTCTGGCTAAACAGAACTTCCTAACTGTTGGAACAGTACAGTGATGGAACCAATGACCTGGGAAAGGGGGGCTCTCCCACATGGGAGGCATTCCACAGGCTTTAACGTGCAGTCCTGCACTGAGCAGGGGTTGGGCTTGATGGCCTTCCTGGTCCCTTCTAAGTCTACTATTGTGCAGTGCCATGACTCTGTAACACAGAGAGTTGACCAAGAAGCCTGTGGCAAGCCCAGATCCAGGCTGTACAGAACAGGCCTCCTCTCTCACCCGGACAATCCGCTGCCTCTCTGAAGGCACCACATATTCCTCCAGGACTTGTTTCACCACATGCTTGCGCTTGGTGGCTTGGGACATGCTCTTCTGCTGGCCCTAGATATCAGTCTCTGTACTGGGCCGTGCGTGATGCCACAAATCGTCCGAGAGAAGTATCCAGACTCTAGCAAGCTGCAAAGAGAGAAGCGGGCGGGGGGGGGGGGGCACCATGTTGCTTTAGAATTTCAAATACAAGAACAGTAAGAGGGGCTGGGAACCACATATTCTGAATTTTGTTCAATGGACAGCATCTTAGTATCTGATACCCCACTGGCTTAGACATTTATCAATGCAACCAGGCCACTGCAGGAATGTGCTTCTGTCTGGGAATGGAGAAGAGTCCCCTGCCCGCATACACTGGGTCCTAGACTAGACAATTTGATTTGTCAGCTTGGGCTCACAGGAATTCAGACCTGTTTCCAAGGACAGAGAGTGTCCAAGTTCAAAGGCTGTGGATCCAGTGCTGATTTCACTCTCTGGTACATTCAGAATTCTGAAAAAGCTGTGGAGGCGCAGAGAGAGAATACCTTAGACATAATACATTAGAGATGATAAATGAGAAAACTAGTAATTTATTTCAGCTTCAACTGAAGAGGCTTCCTATTGAAGGAAGCCTGAAGGAAGCAGCTTTTCTCAAAAAGCTGCTATTCAGGCAGCCTCTGGGGTCTGCCAGGGGCCACTGAAGGCCACCCCGCACCGGCTGCATCTTGTCTGGAGGAAGCGCCTCCCTCCCTCCCTCCCCACCCCCACCCCAGCCCACCCCAGCCCACCCCACCCCACAGACGGCGCCGCGGCAGATGCAACAACAGCCCTGCGAGGTAGGCTCAGTCCCAAGCTCCTCCTTGCGGGTGGAGAGGGGAAGCCACACTGCATGGAGACGAGCAGGAGGAAAGCGCCCGCCTCGCCTCCGCAGCGGGCAGCCGCGCCCCTCTCGACGGTACCTGCTCCGCCACCTCCTCCTACGCTCAGAGCACGAGAAGCGGGCGCTTCCGGCTTCCGGCGCCCTGGCGGCGACTTCCGTGCGCACCCTCTCACGGACCCTCCCGCTCCGCCCACCCTGCGTCGGACCGTTCCGCGCCCGCTGTGGGCCCATCTCCGCCCAGAGCGGCGTGGCGCCGGCGGTGTTTTTCCCAGCGGCCGGGATCCCCGCCGTTTTTCGTTCAGTCAACAGGGGAAGTGGCGCGGGGGCTTGCGGCACCCGCAGGAGCAGCTTGTGCGTTATGTCGTGAGCGGAGCCTGCTGGAGCCGAGGATCAGACTAGATGGCCCGGGAGGCCCCTCCCGACTCGCGCTGTTTCTATGTTTCTATGGCTGTGTGCTGTGATGTTTTCTTCTGCCCTCCTCATCCGCTTTTCCTCGTGTGTTGTGTCTTTCTTGAAATAGCAGTGCCTCCAGGCTGGGACTGTCCCTTTCAGTCGATTGATTTTAAGCTGCTCCAGGAGCCTTCCCTTTGGAGGCAGGAACAGGATTAAAAACAAAACTAATGAAATTATTTTAACGGACTATAGTCCACAGGTACGAAATTCCAGCTATTTTTTTTTAGGACAGCAAGTATTTAACGCGGCAAATGAATTAACATTCCACACGTGCTTCAACACATGTCACGTTCCAGTCCCTGGGGAACACCTTGAAAGGCGGGGGGGGGGTGAGTCTGGCAGGGGCCTCAATGCGAGGTCCAAGGCAGCCGCACCGCAGAGGCAAATTCCCCAGCAGAACCCCTCAAGCTACTTTTGGATGCGGCTCCCAGGAAAGGCACGCCTGGCCTGGCCTGGCCTGGCCTGGCCTGGCCTGGCCTGGCCTGGCAGGGGCTGCCCGGTCCAGCCCCCGCCAGCCCATCGGTGCGCCTGCGCTGCGGCTGCGCCAAGATGCCCTTCCAGGCGAGGGGCCCGAGCTGCGCGCGCCCTTCCAGGTGCAGCTGCGGGGCGTGCTGGGGGGGGGCGGTTCTGGTGCCGCTTCCTTTCAGCTCTCGCTCTGCCCCTGGCCTGCGAGAGCTGGCCTTGGATGCTGCACCACCTGTTCGGTTCATGCAGCCGCAAACATCCCATAAATGCAGCTGTAAGTTTAAAGCTGCTATTTTTTCCATTCTGTTTGCATTGCAACATCCTGGGTTATTGCCACAAAGGCACTGCAAAAGTTTGAAAACATTTGGTCGGAGCCGTGTGATGCACCCAGTAGCATTTCAGTTGTGTAACAATAGTTTATCTCATTTTTGTCGATTCACTTCCCCCCTTGATGTATTGACTGAGCCTGACTGCAAATAGGCTTGTTCTAGAAAGTTGGAGCATTTACTGGAATCTCTTTCCTTTCTTTTGGTCTGCTTCAGCCTCCGGGCCTGATGATTTACTGGGCTTCAAGATGAAAACTTCACATGTTGTCACTACTGTTCACCAAGATTCCCCGGCCTCCCTTCTGAAACATCAATTTAGGCAGCTACCTGCCCTGCCTTTTCTGCAGAAAACGAAGGACTCGGCCCACCTTTCCTGCCAGCTACTCCTCCTCCTCCCCTACATCTTTGATTCCGTTTCTGCCTGACAGACCAAGTGCTTCTAGCCGTTTTCTGGTGCATTTAACAAATCTTTGTGGGCCTTAATGCTGTTCTTAGTATATTCCCAACTATTTTTTTAACCTCCTTTATTGTGTGCTTGTATTTTTGTCCAAATGTGTGTTTTGTTTTGCTCTCATCAGGACAAAGCCCTTTTCCCAAGGAAGCCACTTTTTCCTCTATCAACGGCTTATCATGCTGGTGAACTTGTATGATTAAGTACTCCCTTTCCTCATTTGCCATATATCTTCTGGCTGAGTTTATTTTGGTTTTGTGTGATCGCTAAATGTTTTGGAGGTTTGACCTCGCCGACATGCTTCTTCAAATCCCTTTTATCCAATCTTCTCATTTTTGGGAATCTTCCTTTTTGAGCTCTGGATGCATTCAGGCTTCTTGGTAATTTGCACTTGCGTAAGAGAGTATTGTGTAAATTCAAGTTGATTTAACTGCACTCACATCTCCCGCGATGTCCTGAGCACTTAACACGGATCTTGTCTAGAGGCGTCCTTGGAATGCGGACACCATCGGCACTGAAGGGGGTACACGCCCCTTGAAAACGGGGGTTCACAGCTTCGAAGGTCTCATCTCGGAGAACGGATGCCCACGGATGGCGGTTCTGACCGTTCACACAGCTATAGCTGCCGAGTCAACCGGCTCGTTCCTGGATGGAGACACCCACCCGAGTCACCTCCCAGTTTTTTTTTTTTTTTTTTTTTTTTTTGGATTTATATCCTGCCTTTTTCCTACAAAGGGCTCAAGGCAGCTTACATCATTCTCCTCCTGCATCTTCTCCCCACAACAACATCCCTGTGAGGTAGGTTGGGCTGAGAGTCTGTGACTGGCCCAAAGTCACCCAGTTGGCTCCATGGCCGAGCGGGGACTCGAACCCAGGTCGTCTGAGTCCCAGTCCCAGGCTCTTAACCACTACGCCACACTGGCTTCAGATGCTTCAGCCAGAGTGTTGGACAGATTTGCTCAGGAAGGAGGTTTCAGTCTGGTGGGTGCAGGTTATTTGTTCTTAGTGGATATTATAATGCTTTCATTCAGTCTTTATTTTGCTGGTAACCATTTTCAGCATCATTTTTTGAGGAAAAATGAATGTACGTGTAATCTAAAGACAGAAGAGCATGAAGCCCATGAAGAGAATCACAAGTATGGCCAGTTCAGCAGCAGTAAGTACTTTGTCGCCCCGCCACCACTCACACACACACACACACACACACAGAGCACAGGAGAGAAAATGTCCTTTCCCATCTGCAAGCAAACAGTTGAGGTCACAAGAGGGATCTTTATTAGTGTGGAAAATACAGAAACACTAAATGATGCTGGTGCGGAAGCACAGCAAATCGAGCCGTCGGTCTTCTGGGAATCCACAGAACTAAACCCTCTTGCTCCAGCTTTTAGCCCGTTCGGATCACTCCGGCAGGAGCGGTGCTTCGAAGCCTGATGGGCACCAGAGTTGTTCTTGAGGAGGAGAGTGCCCCGCTCTGGGAACCCGGGCAGAGAACAAGCAGCAAAAACCCGTCTACCTCTGGCTTCTGTGATGTTTTTCCAGGGCTAGTTATGCCCTCAGGCTCAGAAAGCCTCGTCTATGTGAGCCACAGTTCCGCCAAAACCAAAGGTGGCACGCCAGAGGGGAAATGCGCCACGGGGCGCGATGGGCGTTGCGCTTGGGAGCAGCCGAATGGGAGACCGCAGCGGAGACGGGCCGCTTTCAAGCATCCCACCCAAGTGTGCTTTGTGAAAGGCTTGTGTCCTATTTTAGGATTTTAATGTTTGTGTCTCGTCCAGAGCATTTTGGCTACTGGGCGCGAAAGAAATGCAGTGAATGACTTCGGGGTGGAGAAAGAGCATGGACGTGCCGTGCGCGTACCATGCAACCCTGGAATCGTGGCTGCCCTGAGCAGAGAGGCAGCCGGGAAGAGTCCCGCCTCGGGGCCTCTGCACCTCACGTGCCTGTGGCCCTTTGGCCAAGGCTTCCAAAAGGAGGGCAGCTTCGCCTGACGGAGCCAAGGCTTCCCCCACCAGCGGTGCAGCCTCTGAGGGCAGCGGAGGCCAAGTGCGGGGGGGGGGGGAGCCATGGGCTTCCTCAGAGTCGCATTTCACTCACACCTGCAGGACAGGGACCAGGGACCTATCCAGCTGGTGCACAGAAGTGCGCATCTGTCCTAAGTACAAACGAATGTTCTAAGTAGCGTGAATGCAGGGGCTGCTTCGATCGCATCTGAGCATCAGTTCGTCCTGCGCTTGACTCGCGAGAGCTCGGTGGCTGGGAAGTGGCACCAAGGCCCGCGTTCTGGGGCTCCCTCCGCCCTGGCCAGGCCCTGAACTGGGCCTCTTCCTCGTCCTTCTCCGCCTGCTTCGTAACGCTCGGCTCAGCAGTGACCTTTTCCAGAGCAGAGCCGCACAAGGCTCGGCAGCTCCCCGTCACGCGTGGAGAAGCGGAGCGCACAGCGAGAGGCGAAGCCAGAAGAGAAGCTGCTCCAGCCGGAAGGGAGAGAGGCCCCCCTGGACTCCGGAAGGAGGACCTACCCCACGGCAAACTGCCCCCGAGCCGTGCCATGAGCGGCAGCCGGAGGACTTCCGCAGTGGGCGCAGGGCCTAGCTGGGCTCTGGACGCGCAGCATCTGGTCAAGTGGGCCAAGATCACGTCGAAGGAAGATGCCCCGATCCCGGTCTTCGTGCGGGAGGGAGACCGAGGGGCCCAGGGGCCTAATCCACCATGGCGGAGCTGCACATTGTGTTCATGCCGCAGGCGTGGCTCCCGCGGTACAGGTAATAGTAGCCCTGGAGGAGGCAGGGGGGTTGTGAGCAAGCAGCACAAGCCCCAGCTCGGGAGGCGGGCGGCAGCCGTGCCCCGGGGCTGGCCCCCCCTTGCTCGAGGGGCGCCGGGAGGGGGCAGTGGTGGTGGCACGTGGCTGCGCACCGGTGCGGCCGGGGGGGGGGGCCCGCGAGGCTTACCTTCTCTCCCCAGTCCTCGCCCCAGCTGTTCTTGATAGCCCAGAATGGGGTGTGCCCGCCTGCATGGGGGAGACAGAGCAGCCCCTCAGGAGCAAGCCATATAGAACCGGGAGGAGCCAGGGGGCGGCCACGGAAGCCCAGCCCAGCCTGCAGCTCGACCCAACCCACTGCCGAGAGCACTGAGCACGGTGGGGCCGGCCCCCTGCAGCTGCCCTTCTGCGCCCGTCTCCTCGGGAGGGTTTCTCGGGCAGCCCTGGCCAGGCGGCATCCCGGAGCACAGCACGCGGGCTCCGTCTGGCTACTCCAGAAGTCCTTCTTCATCAACCTACTTTCAAGCAACCCCTCCCTGAATGTCGAGCTGAATGTCACAAAGCATCTGTGCTTTGCAGAGGATTCTGGGAAACAGACATGGCGTCCGGCTTTACCCAGACGCCTCGGCAGGCCTGTTGAGCCCGCCCAGGGGAGCGGGGTGCCAATCCCGCTTCCAATCCTACGTGAGCGACTTCGCTGCCCCCCCCTCGCACCCCTGTGGTGCTGCACGCGCTTCACACTGACAAAGCAAGCGCACCGGTCCGGCGTTCCGAATGACGAGCGCTGGTTGGTGCTGGGTGCGTCTGCACACGCTCCCTTCGGAAACGAGGGGAGGAAGTCCTTCTAGCGGTTCACTGTTTTGCAAAAGCCTTCCATTTAGCATGTTCTTCAGTAAAATAAATGCACGACAATTGCAAATGCAATTATTAGACAAGTCTGCAAACTTCAGAGTTGCAGATCACGTCTTCCATGCCAGGAAAAACACGAGGCTAAAACACAGAGACGCCGCGGAGGAGGAAGCGAGCGTGGGAGAGAGATCAATAAGCGGAAGGTGACCCAGCAACCTCAGGGCAAGAGTGCTGAAGCCGCTGATCACGAGCAGTGTGCTTGTCAGCCGGTAAAGCGCTGGAGTGCTCAAACTGTTTTCCTTCCCTTCCCCTGGCCTAAATACACTATTTGAGGGAAGTACAGCCTACTGCCTTTTTTTACAAGTGGTTCCCTTACAACTTCTGGATAATATCACATTTAAGTCATATTTGATGTGCTTTCCTCAAATATCTCACACTGTTATATGTTGTGCACTGAGACAAAAAAATCAATATGAAGTGCAAAGCAACACAACGAAATGCACTGAAAACCCGGCTAGCGCGTTGCTTGCGCTTCTCCAAAGCATCGCCCTCTGGCTCCAGCCGCTCTGGCCGGCACTGCCCGTGCCGAGGGCGATGGGGCCTGCAGACGCAGCCGGAGGGCCACAGGCTGCCCAGGGCTTCCAAACGTTTTCTGGTCCTGACTGAAAAAATCCCTGTGCAAGTGGTCTTAACTTGCCCGGGAAAATTTTGCGGGTCAAGATTTCCCAGAAAACCCACATCACAGGCCCCATCTTGCAAGATCAGAGCGAGGGCCAGCTGGACGGGCGTCTGGGGAAGAAACCCTCCGCTGCCCGTTGGCCTGGCATCCATCCACAGACCAGCGATGCCTTTGGCCGCCTGTGCGGAAGAAGCCTTCTTGGGGCCGCATCCTTCAGCCTGCCTGTGCCGTGCCCTTCCCCCTGGGTCTTCTCCATTAGGCTCTCCCTACCGGGTGCCAGGAACAGAATCCCCCCCCCCCCCCCCCGCAGGGGAACCAAACACTGCTGCAATTTAGGGCCTCCTCTGGGGCATCTGGCAGGAACATTGGCATCTCCCCATGCATTTTAGCGGTCACTTGTCTTTAAGATGAACCACATCTGAAACATCTTATTTTGAAGATGACACCCTGAAGTTGGTCCTAATGCGGTGTGGTATTTGTGCTATCGATTCTGTACAGGCACCGCAGCCCGAGCAGGACAGGGCATTTCGGGGGGCTGCAGGTGGCGGGCAACGCAGCATTCCTGTGGCGGCGATAAGCAGGCGGGCGGAAGGCAGGCAGGCAGGCCTGAAGGCGAGCGCCGTCGATGTCCCTGAGCACAGGTCCGGCCGTGCCCGAGCGCTGCCAATCTGCCCGCGGCTCGGAAGGGCAGCAGAGGCAGAGACCCAGCACATGCCGGGCAGGGCGGGCGGGCTCCGCAGCGGGGCCCTCGGGAACGCCACCCCCGCCCGGCCTGAGCAAGCCACTCACGTGTGCCGTAGCCCACGAGCAGCACGGCGTGGTCAATCATCCAGGGATTGCAGAGCAGGAAGAAGGGGTGGGAGATGCCTCTCCTGTAGAACTGGAGGAGGAGGAGGAGGACGGCTCAGGGCGGACCGGGCTCCCGACCGACCGCCGGTACGAGCTCCTCCCACAGGCCTCCCCTCGCTGCCTCTGGGCCTTCAGGATGGCTTCACGGTCCACGAACAAGCGCACGGGAGCGGCAAAACCGCCAGAGCCGCAGCGCCCGCCCTCCGCAGCGCTGCCCTCGCCGCTCCACACGGCGTTTCCGGGCCAGCCTCCCTCCTGCGACTGGCGGCCAAAAAGCGCACTGGGGAACCTGAACCCGGGACCCAGCTGAGATGCTGAGGAACCCCGAAGGGGCTGGCACGGCCGCCTGCACCTCCCCGTGGCAGAAGCGGCCACAAAAGGTCTGGCGCGACGCGCCCTCCCGGGGCTCTGCGCCTCGGGGCCACCTCACCTGCATGGCGAAGGCGTTCAGGGCGATGGAGATGGGCCCGTTCTTGGCCAGCCAGGCAGCGATCTCTGCAGTGGAGAAAGTGGAAGGCCGTCACACATGCGCACGCCACGTGAGGCAGGCCTGTGAGCACGGGGCACGGGCAACGCTGCTGCGCACCCGCCAGAAGGTCGGCCTGAGACCGTCTTCCTTCTCCTCCCACTGTACCTGGAAAGGTAGAAGGGGCACCTGCCCTGGTTTGCCCTCCGCCCCCACACCTGCCTGGAGGGAGGGCCATTCTCTCTCCTCCAGGCTACCCAGCCGACAGTGAGCCGGGATACTCCACACAAACACCCCCGCGCCTCTCCTGCGTACCAGGTCTGTGCATAAACGCATCTTTTAAAACCCTTCACTGAAAGCCTCTGAGGGGGGAGCCTAACCGAGCCAGGTGCAAGCAGCCACCGCTGGACTACACCCTCCATGCCGACCACGGCAGAATCGGCACACGACCAAAGAGTCAACCGCTCCCCCACCAGGCCCCACCCCCAGAAAATGAAAGCGGCACCCCACCTTATTTGCTATTGTTCTTCCAGGCCGTGGCATTCAGCCAACCCGGGCATGTTTACCTTTAAAACAGCAACACCTGGCTTTCCTCCCCACTCTCACTGTACCCTGCGCTCGCCGCTAGCCAGTCGTGGTGGCATCCAGCAGCACAAGAGGGCAACCGCGGACCAAAGCAGGAGGCAGGGCAGCCCGGCGCTGCCTGACCGCACCCGCGATCCCGGCTTGTCACTAGTATGGCAACTAGCGAGCCCAGACAGCATCAAATTAGAGGCGATAGTGCTTTTTCCCTTATTATGTGTGTGTGTGTGTTTTTTTTACATCTACCCTGGCATTCTTCCACCGTAGTGTGCAAGGGGGCTAACGTGGCATCCCTGGGCCCAAAGACCACGCACAGGCCCCCACGCCATGATCCAGCGTTCCAGCCATCTCTCAGCACTCTGGGGAACCCACAACTCAATGCATCAACTGCCCCAGGGTCTCAGACACGCACCGTTCTCGTCCCGAGAGATTTCCACGGAGTTGTTGATGTAAACAGCCACTTTCTCCTTGGAGAACTCGCACTTCTGCTCAAAGCCCTCGTAGCTGTAATCCCGCTCGGTCTCCAGCCCACCTGTGGGAGGGAGAAGCAGCCGAAACGCTGATGAGGCTGGGGCCGAGTGACGCGGGGCGGGGGGGGGGGCTCTGGCTGTGCAGAAAGGGGCCTGGGAGCAGCCTGAAAGGGAGGCGGCGGCTTCCAAGCGAAGGGTAGCGCAACGCAGCCCCCCGCATGGTACAGTCCGAGCGGCAACGCAGGGCTGTGGCAGCCGGTCAAGAGTCCGGAGTCCGCAGTTCCGGAAGGGAAGCGCCTCCCTGCCAGAAGGCTCCCCGGACCGGCGGCCTCGCAGCCAGGGAGCAACTGTGACAGAGCCGCGGCCCAGAGGCCAGCTTCGGCACTAGAAACGCCCCCGTCCAGGCACGGGAGAAACCCAGCCTGAACCGTTCGGGGCAGAGCTGGGGAACGGCTCTGCGCTGGTTCAGGGGAGAGGTGCAAGAGCTCCGGGAGGGCTGCTGTTCAGAGGCGGCTGTCTCACACTCAAAGCGCCCCGTGCTCGATCTTTCAAGCAGCACCCGGCGTGGGTGCAGGCCGGACATCAGGCTCAGAAAGAAGCTGGCGGTCTCTCCCGCAGGACCCCAGAGGAGCTCACCGAGTCGCTCGATGGCCTCGTACGCGTTGGACGGCAGCCCCCCCTGGCAGGCCTTGTCGAGGGCATCGCAGTCCAGCAGCTCTGTGGAGGAGAGTGCCGCAGTCACCTGGCGCGGAGCGGGCCCAGGCCCCGGGCCCACACAAGCGGGCTCCTCTGTCTCCCCGCGGTGGCTCCCCTCCCGAGGGCCATGGCGGCCCGGCTCCGAGCGGGGCGGCCCGGCCCCAGCACAGCTGCCCCGCTCTCCTCCTCGAAGCAGGCCCCATCAGAGGCACCCGTGGCAGGCAACCCACATCCTCCCCTGCCAACGGCTGCCAGAGCCACATCCCCCCGGCCAGGCCAGCCCAGCCCGTCCCCAGGCGGGCCAGGAGGTGCCCGGGAGCTCTGCTTGCAGCCGGCCCCACACCTGCCGGACGGCTCACCTTGCTCCGAGAGCGAGAGCAAGGAGCCCTTGCGCAGGAACCACTGTCCTTCCACGTTGCCCGTGACCGAGAAGGCCCAGCAGGAGCCGCACGCGCCCTGCAGCGGGAGGAGAGGAGCCCCCGCGGTCAGCCTGGCCTGGCCTGCCCAGACGCAGCGGCTGCCCCACGGGAGAACTGGGGAACGGCCGCAGAAGCCTTCAGGCGCTCAGCAACCCGGGCCTCAAACACGCCCTCCTTTCCACGTGCCACGCTGAGGCACCACGGGCACGCGCAGAGCGCCCCTGACCGTCCCTGTCCTGCAGGCCTGAATCACACATGGCTGCCCGGCAAGCTGGTTCTTCCGCGGGGCAGGGAGGAAGGCTGACCTGGTCCTTGACGCCCGTGACGGCCCCGTGGTCCCGCCAGTCCCACTCCGCAGGGGCCGGGTCCCTGGGGAGGGCCGCCGGCTTCATTGGCCGGCCAGGCAGCTTGGCCAGCAGTGGGTTCAAATACGTCGTGCGGAATTCCTCCTCTGGGAAGAGACAAGCAGAAAACCCGCTAACTCGGAAGGAGGAAAGCGACGTTGCCAGGCCTGAGGAGGAGGTGGGGAACGGGCTCTTCCCGGGAGGCGCTGAGGTGGCTCCCGTCGGACCAGGCGCTGCGAGAGGAGGGGGCTTGCCCCCAGGCAGCCAGAACGTGCTCAGGAGCAGAAACGCTGCAGCGGCAGGACGACGGCCGCCTCCCGGCAGCTCTCCATCCGCGACACACGCGTGCGCGGGCCGCCCGGGTCTCCAGCGTGCGCTTCGCACACGGTGGGAGCTGCTCTGCTCCGGAAGCCTGGAGTGCCATTTCGCCCTGGTTGTTGACCTGCTATTTGTGAGATGTGCTTGCCTGCTTTCCTCTGTTCAGAGACCCCCAGGGCAGGCGGCATATCAAAACCCACACGGATCCAGGCAGAGCTTCAAGGCACCGGCAAATGGCAAAATCTGCCTGAGGTGAAACCGCCAAGCTAAGGCCGAGCTGCAACAGCAGGCCGGACACCTGGCCAAAGCAGTCGTCCTCTGCACGATCTCCCCGCACCCCCGGCCCGGCCCGGGTGACCCGCACGTGGGGCCCCAGCCAAGGAAGGGCAGGGCCTTGGCGGAGAGCCTCGGGAGCTGACTCAGGTGACACCCGGACCTTCTAACCGGAAGTGGCGGGGGCTGCCCCGAGCTCCGGAAGGAGGGCACGTCCCGGCACCCGAGCAGCCCATTCCGGGAGGTGCGGGTCACGCGCTGGGCTTAAAAACCCCACAGGAGTGGGTGGGCATACATGCCGTGGGGCTTCGGGCACCTTTGGCAACCTGAGCTGTCCTGGGCTTCGTCTCAGGGTGGCTGACGTGGGAGGAATGGGGGGTCAGAGGGGAAGAAAGGATTTGATGAGTCTGAGTAAAAGGCAGAGCCAGTCTGAGCCCCAAAACCCTCCCCATCTGCAGTTTGCTGAGCTAACCAAAGCGGATTCCACGGAAGGCGTTAAACCCATTCCTTCCCAGGGCCACCCTGCTGGCAGAGCCGCTCTCCTCCTGGTTCCCCCTGGCCCATCAACCAGAGTCGGTCTCAGCCTCAGTCTCCCCCCCCCCCACCCTCACACTCACTCACTCTAAGCCTTTCTAGCAGAAAGCTGCCTTTCATAGATTTTTAAGTAGCAGCTTGGCTGGAATTGCAAAACGGCTGCAGAGAAATTGTTCGCTGAGCTCTCTCACAGCAAGATGTGCTGCCTTGCTGTCAAAAGGCCGAGGGAGGAGCAACGAAAGGGAGTCGCTTCATTAAGGAGAAGAGGCAAAGCGACACAACCGGGTACACAATGGTAACCACTGGTAAGCCTGTCTGGAGAGAGCGCGCGCCTCGCCACGGCCCACCACTCAAAGGGCTATTTGAGGCAATGGGGAACTGTAACGCTTACAGTTTATGGCCCAAATGTATTTGAAGAGTGCTGGGCTGTAAAACTTCCACATTTTCTTACACAGAGTCAACGGTGTTTTTGCTTATCTGTTAACAGCCTGTAATTACTGTGCAATATATTTCTTATCTGGATAAGCAGGATAAAACCTGCTTTGCAGACGAAGAGTTTATACACATTGGCTTAAGCAAGAGATGTTGAATTTGGGGTTTTCTCTCAGAACGGGCCTCATCTGGCCTAAAAGGCACCAGCCTGAGGGCGCAAACTCCCCGGATGGCCACCGCCAGACAGGAGTCTCGGGAAGGCTCTTGTTGCGTGTTTGTTCTCACAGGAATTTTTGGGGTGCTCAGGCTGCAAGCCCAGCTCCAGTTCAGGGCCGCGCAGTAACATCACCGAGCGCAGAAACACTCTGGCCCATTGGCCATATCTGCTTTGCCGCCTAGAACAGGGCGCTCAGCCAGTGAGTGCTTTGCCTCACAGGGGCACCGTCCCTTGCTCTTGGCTACACTGGCTGGGGATGATGGGAATCAGGCCAAACATCCAAAGTCGTCCATCCTTAGCCTAGCAGCTCACTGAGCCCACATACCTCTGAGCCTAAAAGCCAATTCAGGGCTTGGGAAGAAATTTGGTATTTAGATGCAATATCTCCTATAGACCATTAAGCCTGGAAGTGTGAACAACAACCCATTGGTCAGAAAATACAGTCTTCTTTTAAATTATTTACATCTTGGAGTCATGTGCATTTTTATTACTAAGGATCTATTGTTTTAGCTCGCATATACTGTATTGCAAACCCATTTTCTGTTATTAAATACAAATTAAAAATAGATTCAGAGGCGTCTCCCCTTACTAATTCTTGTTCATACAAAACAAAGATTGAATTCACCCTGAAACAATTTCTGGGGTGCCCTTCATGTGAGCGAAGTTACCTAGCTCTGGGCATTAACTAGCGAAAGGCTTCTGCGCTACTGGGACTACAGGCTGATGCTGCTCAACACATTAAGACGTTCAGCAACCTCTTGTGAATCGGGTGAGAAACCGAGGGCACTGGCGGCTGTTTCTCCATTCTTACCCACCTGTCAGATCACTGAACTTCGTGACTCCATATTCTGCTGTGCCCTGATCCAGCTCCTGAATGATCCGGGCTTTTTCCAGATTCTCAGCAAATATTCCAAAGCGCCTCGTAGTTTCTGAATAGAACAAATCCAGGGACATTACAGCAAATGACGATTGTTTACAGTATTAAGCTCAAGCTTCTCCTTCTGCAACATGCTGAACACACAGAACATGATGCTGCTGGACTCTGACATGTGTGTGTGTGTGTGTGTGTGTGTGTGTGTGTGTGTGTGTGTGTGACAATTTCACAAGACAAAAGATACTGCTGGGGATGGCAGAAAAGGCTCAGCAGGAGACGACAGACTCCCCTGAGGAGGCCTGGCCCTGGCAGCACTGATCCAGATCGGTCCTCAGCCCGTCTCCTGCACTAGCCCATCAGGAGGAAATCCTAGGAAAAGGGGAACCCCCGGCTTTTCCTGGTTACCGCTGGGCTTGTTTTGGTAACTCCCTTTGCCCAACATTCACCTGTTTCATCCTTGTAGCTCTTCTTGTAGGTGTTCAGAAAATCCTTGAAAAGTGAGACCAGGTGGACAGAGGCATTCTGTGCAAAAAAAAAAAAAAAAGAATCCAGAGCTGAGAAGCTGTCATCCTGCAGCTCTGTCCCAGAGGGACTCTCAAAACCCAAAGAGCCAACACAGAGCCGCTTCTGGTTCCAGAGCAGAGTTTCTCCATAGGAGCTGCAAGGAAATGAAGACCCTGGGAAAGACAACAGCCCCTTTTGCCAAGGAAGAGGAGACCGCCTTGACTGGGGGGGGGGGTAGGTGTCTTAGTAAAGGAGAGCCAGAAAAAAGCAACACTCACCTGCAGAAACCTCTCCCCCTGGAAGGGCTCCTCAACTTCCAGAGCAGGTGCCCTGGGATGGAATACCTCCCACTGGCCCAGTGGTGCTGGCTGGGCTTCTTCGGATGGCTCTGCAAGGCAGGGAAAAAGCAGCTAATTTTCAAACCAAGCATATAGAAACAGAGTGAGCCAGGAGGGGTCTCCTGAGCCATCTAGTCTGATCTCCGGCTCCAGCCCGCTCTGCTCATGACATGCCTACCACGTATTTCAACTGTCACACAAATTCTAGAAATTGAGGCAGGAACGCCACGTCCTGCCATGCCCACTAGGTCGCCTTGCCAGGGTGCAGGATGCAAAGCGATCCCACCGCCTGACAGCCGGCACCCCAGCGATTCCTGCCACGTCCAAAACTTCCAGGGCAGTGGAGGAACCCGGGAGCCCCGTGCCTCTGACCTTCCAGCCCGTCTCGCCCGCCTCGAGCTCACCAAGCCTCTCAGACACCAGCCCTTTCCAAAATTGTTCTCAGCAGAGGAAAAGAGGCGAGGCCCAAATATTAATTACTCACATGGACACCCTCCCCGCAGCGCAGAGGAGCCTGCACGCCTCTGCAGTGTCCTTGCGCTGGCCCACTCGCACAGAGGGGGTCCCAGCCCGAACGCGGCTCTTCCACACCAAGGTTATTTTTACCCGCAGCAGGAGGACCGTGTGGCAGCAGTGGCTGATCAAGCCTTTTCCTCCTCTCACCTGTTTCAGACACTGCTTGCTTTCAGTCTTCGCCCATGGGCCTTCCCCTCCTACTGGGAGCACAAAGGAGCGCGGTTCTGGGCCTGCCTCCCTGGCTGCATGATGCGCTGCACAGCCCACGGAGACTCGACTTACCAGAAGGGGCGCACTCGTGCTTCAGCAGCTCCTTCCTGCCGGCCCAGGGCTGGCTCCAGACCTCAAAGTGACAGGACTGCAAGGAGACAGCGGGGCGAGTCAGGACCGCATGCAAAGCCCAGCCAGAGCAGGCGCAGAGCGCACTGGGCCACGGAGCCGCGCACTAGTGGAGCTGGAGGGGCTAGTGCAGGGCTCCCGGCGAAGCCACCCTGCTCAGGCGGCTGCCTCTTGAATGCCTCCAGGGTGGGAGAGCCCGATCCTGCCCAGGTAATTGGTTCCACTGCCACCCTGCCCCAACAGTCAGGAAGCGCTTCCTGCTGCCCAGTGGGAATGTGGCTTCCTGAAACTTGACCCTGTTATTCTGTATCCTGCACTCTGGGATGATCGAGAGGAGAGAGATCCTGGCCTCCTCGTTTGTGACAGAACTTCCAATTGATCTCCCCTCTGTCTTCCCTTCCCGAGGCCAAACATGCCCCGTTCTTTCAGTCTCTCCTCGCAGGGCTCTGTCTCCAGGCCCCGGGTCATCCACGTGGAGCTGCAAGATTCTTTTCTCCAAGTACGCACAGCAAAGGGCATTATCTGTCAGCAGACAGCAAGCCGAGCTGTCCTCCTCTGAGCAGAAGTTCACGCAAAGTGAGTCAGCTGAGGCCAAGTCACAAGATCCAATATGAGGTGAAGGAACTTGGATCCTCCGAGTGCATGCATGTGATTGGGAATGTTCCATAGGAACTGCAGCCTTTTGTTTAAAAGCCTGCGTCAACAGCAGTTACTGCTCTAACAGAAGCCATGGCGCTGTTCGCACCGCGAGGTTTCTAGAAGACCGGTCACTTGCGGTCTGTAGCCCTCCAGATGCGGTTGGACAGCACATCAGGTGCCTTGCCCAGCAGCCACAGCTGTCCTGCTTCTGAATGCATGCAGGGTTCGTACTCCGGGATCCACTGGGCTGATGCCACGTGGGCAAAAGCCGACAAGCGTCCGATCTCCATCTGCACCGCGGACAAGCAGAACGCGGCGATTGCGAGGGCTCGCTGGCCACAGTGCCTGCAGGCAGCGCACCCCATTATTGCCTCTGGCGACCAAGCAAGCAAGCGAAGGGGCTTTCTTTTCAACATTCTGTTTCAGGACTGCTGGTCGTCTGGGGATGAAATGGCACTTGAAGACTCCAGCCCAATTCAGCCATGATGTGAGGCAGAGATAGGAGTATCAGAAATTTGGATCAATGCATGTTTTATTAAGGGTGCATCTCGGTTGTGGGAATCCCTGGGGTAGCCCCAGCACTATAAAACATTTCCACTTCCTAGCAGACAAATCATACCCCCTTTTTAGCACAGAATCCAATTGCTGGCTCCACAAACAACGCCATGACCGAGTGTCGTGAGGCAGGGTTCTCCTCACTTCACACATCCAAGGCAACAGGCTGTCCCTTCGCTAAAGCTCTTGATTCACCAACGTACGCCCCATAAACAGAATGCAACCGAGCAAGCACTGAACCCGATCTAAACAGCGACTTCCGGAGACCCTCCTTCTGCAGGTCTGGCCCAATCCCTGTGGAAGGGCCTGCACAGAAGCGAGCTTGCCTTTCCTTGGCACACCCACCTCCCACAGGCTAGCCGCCTCTCCCGGTGCCACACCAGCTTCCCCTTCTCTCCCGCGCCCCATCTACAGCTTGGTTGTTCTCGGAGTCTGTTGGAGAACTTGGGAAGGCAGGCCTTGGGACAAGCACCTCGGCTTCTCTCATCTCTGCGCTGGGGAGGCCCACGCTTCCAGCTCCCTCCCCACTCAGAATCCGGCTTGGTGTGACCCAGAAGTGCGAGCCCCGCTTGTTCCCAACATGACAATTATGTCCACCCAGCCTTTTTCACAAGCACCTTTGCGAGCTTTAATGCACCCTCAGAGATGATAGTGGAACCACGTGAAACTGGGACGCCAGGAGGGCCACTGCACTGCCTGTCCCTGCCGACGAAGGCCCCTCCCCGGGGCTGCGTCTTACCACTTGCTCCGGCTTGCCTGGACCGGCACAGCGGGAAGCCTCCTGGCCCACGGCCTGGTCTCCGCTGCACCGCCTCCTCAGCAGGACGATGGCCAGGTGGTATTTGATGCCGTTCACCACCTGCAGAGGAGAAGGGACCCCTCAGGCAGGCCCAGACAGCACGAGAGCACGGCCAGGCCCAGTACGGGATGGAGAAGCAGAGCACCAGGGCAGGTGCTGGCAGGGAGCAGCTGGGCGGCCTGGAGAGCAGCGCGAGGGGCCTCCTGGCCGTGCTTCCCCCGCCACAGCCACGGCGGGGGTCTCCATGAGTCTCCTGTGCGCCTTGACTCTCGCTCATGTCCCCACACCCTTCCACCTCCTGAGCACAACTGAACCCCTAGACCATTTTCATGGACTGGGCTCGCTTTCTGTGATTCCCCCCAGCAGCAATCTCGGACCGTCGCCACCCTGCTCTCGTCTCCAGACTCCACCCAGCACCAGCACCAGCTCCCCGGTCCCAGCAATCTTCCCGTTCACGCCTGCTTCCCACGCCCCAGGCCTTGCAAGCACAAGAGCTGGGAAAGGGCCAAGAAAGGGCACCAAACAGGTTTTGTGGAAGCTGGAAGAGGGCAGGAATGACCCTGGTTCTGTGAGCAAGGAGGCAGCTGTCACAACGGGGAAAAACAATTGCTTTGATTTGCCATGAGCGTAATTCACAAACGAGAACCGTATGACGCTGAAGCGGAGTGCACACCCCGTGCCTGGCACACTGCTGGCACCTGGCCCTGTTCGCCAGCCACAGGGTGCTCTCCCCTGACTTTGAGCTTTCAGGGTTCTGAGAGGTGCTTGAAGGTTTAACAGTAAGGAAGGGGATTTTGCAGTCCCACTCGTTGCCCGTCTCACTCTTTGAGAAGGCCGGGTGCCGAGCCTTTGCACAAGCACAACCATAAGCCAACCTGGCACGATACTGGGGCTCAGGGTCACCTGTGGCCAGAACCTGATACAGCCAATGGAGCAGCCCAGCAAAATGAAAAGGTGAGCAGAGAAGATTGCAGGGTCACCACCTGCACACCAGTAAAAAATGGAAATGCGTCTTCAGAAAAATGGAAAAAGGAGCAAAATGGCTTGCATAAATTCACACACAGTGATTTGCACTCTAAATACGCTTAGAAATAGGTCCTATAATTCACATAGAAATGCAACGCATCTCACTGAGCTGAGGACTCCCGCTAGGGAACCTGTCTGCTTAGCAGTTGGAGAACAGACCCAGCTGAGCTGGCAACAATCAGCAGGTTACTTCAAGATCCCTGCACAATCTCGTAGGGTTACATTTCTTCCTGCAAGAAACCTGAGACAGCTCTTCCCCATTTTGTCCTCACAAGAACCCTGAGAAGGATGTCAGGCTGAAGCTGAGAGAGTGGCCAGAGGCCATCCAGGGAGGTCCAAGGCTACAGCCCAGGCCTCGAACTGGCTTCTTTAAGTTAGAACGGGAAGCCATCCAGCCTGCTCTCTGACAGAAGGGTCCCTTCTCTGCAAAGCAGGGTCCTGGTCATCCCTGCAGGGGGTCTTCCTAATGCGTATTGTTGATGGGTGTACAGAAACTGCTGCCGATGACTGGACCCCCCCCCCCCCGAAGATACAACCTGCTCTGGAGAGCCAACAGCAAAGTTCCGCCGCCTGTCAGCTCAGGGGAATGTGGCTCCCCACCCTTTTCGGCAGTGACCTAGTCCAGAGGAGAACTAATGCCACAAAGAGCTCAGATCACCATCAATTAGCCTCAACAAAGCAAACGTCAAGGTCATTCAGGATCTGAATTACCCCGGAGCCGACCTAGTTTGAGAGGGCAGGTGAAGGCAGGAGCCGCCGGGAAGAGCTTGTGCAATCTGCCTTTTTCGAGCTGCAGCTGGACAAGCGCGATGCGACCCGGCGCTGTTTCAGATAAGCGGGCTGATGAGAGGGCCCGAGCCTGTGCGAGTTTTTCTGTCCAAATCGGCGTAGGGGGCTTCTTAGGGGGCGGTAAGACCCCGGAGGGCCAAGCAGCGCCCTCGGGGGCGCACGCGCGGCTCCTCCGTGCCTTCTGGTCCTGCGGCCGGCGGAGTGAAGGACGGCAGGAGGGAAGGAAAGGAGGGCGGAGAAGCGGGCAAGCGCCCCCAGGCGCTCTGGGGAGGCCGCCTGCGCTTCGAGGGCCGGGCCGGGCCGGGCCGGGCCGGGGGGCATTTCTGCGTCGAAGGTCTCCTCTGCCCGGGACGCTGCGAGACGCCCGGAGCCCCGCGGCGGACGCGAATAGCCGGGGCAGGCGCCTCCTCCTCGACTCCCCGCAAGGAATATCCCGGCGAGGCCGTGAAGGCGGGCGCGGGTCCAGCCCGGCCGCGCGTGCGAGGGGGCTCCGGCGAGCCGCCTTCCCACCCGGCGCCCCGCGGCCCGACGTCCCCGGAGAGCGCGGCCGGTGCGCCCGCAGCCCCCTTCCCCCCAACGGCCCGCGGGCTCGGGCGGCGCGGAGCTGACGGCGCCGGCAGCCCGCTGCGCTCCCTCCCCAACGGACCCCCGGACCTTCGCCCCGCTGGACGGCCCCGCGCCCGCGCCCTGCACCTGCGTCTCGGCCGTGCGCAACGCCCAGAGGCCGCCGCCGCCGCCGCCGGCTGCGAAGGCGCGGGACAGCGCGAAGCGCGCCGCCGCGAGGGCCGCGCCGCTCCGCACGTCCGCCTCCACGGCGCCGCCCGGCATCGCGGCGAGGCTGGCGGGCAGCGCGAGCAGCAGGAGAGCGCAGAGCAGCCGCCGCACCGACGCCATCGCCGCCCGCTCCGACCGGCCGCCCGAGCGCGTCTCCCCCGCCGGGCGCAAGGAGGGCGGGACCGCGCTGCCCTCGCCCAGGCGGGGCGGCCCCACTGGCCCGCCCCGGCCCCGCCTTTCCCCTCTCGCCCCGGCAGAGCGGCGCCACTGGCTCCCGTACGGCGGCCTCGCCCCTCTGGCCCGGCGCGAACGAGGCGGTCGCTGTGCGGGAGGCGGCGAAGTCCTGCCCGCGTGACGCCGCGCACGGGAGCGCTCGGCGAAGCGGTCCCCGCCTCACGGCGTCCTCGCCCAGCCCGTGCTCTCTACGGCCTACAACTCCCATCGTCCCCGGCATCATGGCCTCTGTGTAGAGCTGGGTCAGGGGACGGCTGCCCCAGCCTTCAAGTAGGCCCCAGAGAGGCCACTGAGCCTTCGGCCACTTATCACCCGCTTTGCCTACCCGACGTTTGGTGGAGAAAAAAGGGTGGGGGAAACGATCACGAGCAGAACACACGCTAACAAGCCTTTCATGACCGGGTACAGAGAGGGGCTAGGTAATTCTTCTCCCTCCTGTAGTTATGTATGGGCTGAATCTGATGGGCTGAAGATTGTCTGTCAATGTCCCCTGATGCAACACAGGTGGCGATGCAATGCACAAGCGCTTCAGCGGGCTTTAAAAGGGGAGCCAGTGAATTCTGGGGAGAGGCTACTTCAATGGCTTGTCACGTTGTTGTTAGTTCTGAAGTCGCGTCCGACCCATCGTGACCCCATGGACAACATTCTTCCAGGGACAGGGACAACTTCCTGTGCTCCCCCATCCCCCAGAGTCCACGCAAGCTCACACCCACTGCCCCAGTGACTCCATCCAGCCACCCCATCCTCTGCCGTCCCCTTCTTCTTTTGCCATCTATTGTTCCCAGCATCAGGGTTTTCTCCAGGGAGTCCTTCCTTCTCATTAGGTGGCCAAAGTATTTGAGTTTCATCTTCAGGATCTGGCCTTCCAAAAAGCAGTCAGGGTTGATCTCCTCTAGGACTGACCGGTTTGATCGCCTTGCAGTCCAAGGGACTCGCAGGAGTTTCCTCCAGCACCACAATTCAAAGGCCTCAATCCTTTGGCGCTCTGCCTTCCTTATGGTCTAACTCTCACAGTCATATACTACAACTGGGAAAACCATAGCCTTGACTATACACACTTCTGTTGGCAGGGTGATGTCTCTGCTTTTTAGTATGCTGTCTAGATTTGCCACAGCTTTCCTCCCCAGGAGCAAGCGTCTTTTAATTTCTTGGCTGCAGTGATCTTGGAGCCCAGGAAAATAAAATCTGTCACTACCCCCATTTGGACTCACCACATGCGTGTGCGGGAGGTGCACTTGGTGGCGGCTTGCTCACACAGAGATCATTTTGGACTCGCTCAGAGAAAACAATCTCCGCGCGAGCAAACCGGCACCTCGCCCTGCGTTCCCCCTCACCAGCACCACCTTGGCGGCCCATGCTCACCGCCGGCACCTTTCAACTGGCCCCGCTGAAAAAGTTTGAGGACCCCTGATATAGATGATGCCCAACCATTTGTACAGATGTCTGGGCAGAAGGCCGAGTGTCCTAGCCCGGTTGTCGGGGACTGCTGCTCATTCTAAGGACTGGGCCAGAATGCTCAGCCTACTCCCATGGATATTTGAAGCAAGTAATGTCTGTCTGAATTGGACAGAGCAGAGAACTGTCCTGTCCTGTCCTGTCCCTGAGAGGAACAACCCCCGAATTCCTTGTCCACTCAGTTATTCAGGGAGGTGCTGCACTGCTATTACACCTTCCCAGAAGTGGGCAGCTTCAATTCCCCCTGCCCCCCATGCCTTCCCTGGATAGGTAAGCCCAACTTTCAAGTATGGCCCCTTCCAAGCTGCCACACGACCTCCCCCAGCAGTCACCCCAATTCATGTTCAAGCAACACTGAACATCAACACAACCCATTTTTATTGTTCTAAAAACTTTGCAATGATTCTTTGTTCTTCTCATTAGGCCAGTTGGCATAAAACTTATGTGGAGGATCAAAAAGTGGAAACAAGTTAGAAAATTTGTACTTAATATCTTGCTTTTAGAATTAATAGATAAACCTTAAGCCAGGTGGGCTCAAGCCAAGGGAGCTGAGAATAGCCCCTTATGTCTATAGGCAATACAGTTTTGGAGTCAGGTGGCTCAAGAGTCAACAGGGACCTCTAAGTCGGATAAAAGACAACCACCTCTATAAAGCTCAAAATGTAATGGTTTCTCCTTTTCAACTCCCTCCACAAAATCCAAAGAGGTTCAAGCTACATTAAAGAGGCATTAATGATTTGTTTCTCTGGACTCAAAAGCGAGCCCTTGTAGATGCTGTCAGGTCTGCAGGGAATACACAGTGGGAGGAAAGGGAAGGTTCAATCTCTAGCTAACAGAAGCCATAACAGCATCCACCAAGCCGTGGTCAATGGCCCCTACAAGAAGGCGTCACACCACTCCCTCAGGCAGCCGTAACAGTCTCTGGATTGCTTGGCGTTGGCACCGCAAGTGTCCTTCAGCCACTCGCGGAAGAGGTCTTCATCCTTCTTCAGCACTAAGAATTGCCCAAGTACTACATAAGCCTGGAGGAAAGAGAAGGGGGAGACAGAGGGTTCAGCGACAGCCTTACAATACCAAGCTGCCCATTAGCAGGCCGGATGTGCTAGAACCAAAGAGCCACACAGGTTACAGTAGCTAACTGACCTTCAGTCTTTCCCCTTTTGGTTTTTCAGACAGATTTATTATTAAAGGTTTCAGCCTCCTTGGTGCAGTTAAAACAAAGAGATATCATAGCCGGTCCCTCTGCACCCTGATTTGCTCAGGAAAATTCTCGTGCAAAGACCTGCAATGTGGCAATCGCCTCTTTCCGCTGTCGCATTCAGCACAGCACACACGTCTGCTCAGGTGACCTTTTAACCAGATGCGTTTCTTTATCGTGTGCTTTCAGACTGTGCTATAATCAGGAGCCAATATTAGCCTTAAATGCACCGTGGCAACCTTAAAATTGAGGCAAATCTCCTTGAACTTACAGATCTGGGGACATATCCAGAGAACCTCGGGGTTATGGGGTGGCACAGAAATGGAATTAAATGACTGAATAAAACCCGGCTTTCTTGAGGAGACCCGGCAAAGCAGAGATTCTACTGTCACAAAAGGAACACAGCACCCATCTCAGGTTTGTCCCCCACCCCATAAGATGCTATCCTTTTCCTACTCCATAGCCCAGGAGATACCTTGTCAAAGCCTTTGTCTTCCAGCTTCTTGCCAAGCACATCTCCAATGCCCGCTAACGTGCCCACGGGCTTCTCCCCCATTGGCTCGGCCACGAAGTCTCGGTGCTTCTGGCTGGTGGTCATGGTGGCTGCTGCACTGCCTGCGAAGTAAGGCAAGAGGTCAAGCAAGCTCCGTAACCAGGAGAGTGGGAAGAGATGCTCACAAAATGCGCAAGGCGCCCACAGCCCGCCTCAGGCAGGGGCTCTGGAGCAGCGTGCCTGACCTTCTCTGGACTGCAGGTAGCAACCCAATCATACGCCATCTCAGAAAAAAGGACAGGGGCAAGAACATTTTCACTTCTAAAGGAAAGGCAGGAAGGAAAAGTAAAAGCTGTAGGACGAAAGCTGCATATTTTGGCATAATTTTAACTCTTTGGCAACTCTTACTGCATTTTGGTTTCTTGCGCAGTGACCCTTGGGTAGCGATGGCCAGTCAGGATAGGGTGCAATGGAAATAAACATGGCTGGCTGCCAAGGTGACAGGAAAGGAGGAGAGTTTCTCCCCAAAATCCTTGTTCACCCAAAATATCCCAGGGCGTGGGGAGCACTCTTCACCACCAGGGTCATGATCTGTGGGTCTTCAGTCCATCACAGCAACTATCTATAGCTTTCAGAGAAGGGAATTGCTCCAAGATAGCAGCAGGTGGCGTTACTCTGCACTACTGCATAAGGCACTGTGGAAATGAAGACCAGCTAAATAAGGCAACACCACCACCGCCGGAATAGTTGTCAATGAATGCCAAAAGCAAAAGAGGAAAAACGAGCAAAGTGGCGCTCTGTGGTGGTGGTCTGCTTATTTTTGTCTGTCTTTTAAAGAATCTTCACAAAAATCAGTTCAAATCCTTAATACAGCAATTTATTATTTGCAGTGGTTTGCCTTTGAAGACTCCAAATAAAAATGAACCCGCCTAACAAGGACAGATTTCTGACCCAGCTCGAATAGACCGGCTTGTGTGCTGTTCTGTGCAGAGCCCCAGGACCAGCCTCAGTGCAAGTGGCAAATCCACATACACAAATATGACTCTGCCTCGTACATCTGGGTGGAGGGGAAGAGGAGGAGGAGACGGGAACCACCCACCTGCTGCCTCTATGGCCCGCCTCATAATCAAGCACACTTCCATCAGGGTTTGACCAATGCACAAGGGTGCCCAGGCGGACAAGAAGGGAGGAAGGCGAGGGCAGGGGGTCTGCGCCCATCCGTGTGCTCCTTTTGCCACAAAGCCCTGCCCGCCCAACCCCAGCAGGCCTTCGTTTCCTAGCGGGGACTGACTGTAGTGCAGTGATGGACCCCATGTTTGACACACAGAAGGCCCTGTGCTCAGTCCCCATCACCTCCAGGTAGGGGCCAAGAAAGAAATCCTAGAGAGCCACTGCTGGCAATGTCAACAGCACTGGGTCAGATGAAGGAGGCAGGAGCGGGTGCGACAGTTCAAGGCCGCTCTCTCTGGCCCTGCGTTTGAACTCGCAGCTGCCATGCTTAGCTCAGTCCTTGTTTTAAGGGCAGAAGCAAGTTTCCACCTCCTCCTCCTAGCAGCCGGCTATTTGCACCAAAAGGCACCTGCAACATCAACTGGCATTGCCAGGCGCCACCACCAGTCCCAGGCACATGAACACAGTTCCCTGTCAAAGGTCAGCATTGCCATAGCTCTTTCTAGAGCCTCCTTTTGGGACTTCTCTGACTAGAGGACAAGCCAGCAGGTAGCTGTGGCTGGCAAAGTACTTTTCTCTCAAAGCAAGACATGTAACATTTGCACCTATATACGTAAGAAGTGTATGCAGCCAAACATAACTGGGCGTGCTGTTTTCGTTCACTTAGCAGGATGCTTAATTCAAACCAGGCCTGTCCTCACAAGCATGTTACCAGCCTGAGACCGTAGGAGCCTAAATCTCTCAACCCCACCTTATACTTCCCACCTTCCTGCTCTTATTGGCATCCATTCCCAAGTGGATGGCATCCATCCACTTCACCACACCCAGCCATTTTGTTTCAACATATGGTTTGCACAGATGAGGCAACCCAAGCCAAAAACAGGATTTGGGGATATGAAACATGGAACAAGTCAAGGATAAGAAAAGCTCGGGATGAGCAAGTACGTTGGAATTGAAGGAAAACACCCCAGAGTCTGAAATGCAAACAGTAGTTCAAGAGAGATTGACTCTGCTTTTTCTACAGTGTTTTCCATTAATAAAAGTGCATTGCTTCATAAGATTAACTAGTAATATCAATGGGTGCAAATTTCATTGAAACAGGGCAGTTTCAAAGTTCTAACAACTTGTGCAAAGGCTCTAAGATCTCACCCTTTCCACCCTTTTGCTCTTTGGACAGAGTAAAACATGTTAGCCTGTACTCTTCTGGTTCGAATTCGAGGCCCCAGTCATAACCTATAAAGCCCTACACAGCACAGGACCACAATACCAGCCAGAGCACCTCTTCCAACTCAATCTACCCGGACTCTGTTCTCAAACTCTGGTGCCAACAACAAACTTCCTCCAGGTGCCAACCACTCAAGAGGCTTGGAGGGTGACAACTGGTGAATGGCCTTTTCTCTGGTGGAACAACCTCCCGGCTGTGCCTTGTCTGGTGCCAGATTAACCGTCTTTTTGGCATCAGGATGAGAAAGCCCTCTTTGCCTTTAAACACTTCCCTGGTCATTCAGGGCCTGACACAATTATCCAGGTACCTTTCTTTTATTTTTGGCTGGTTCTTTTTTATTGTCTAGTAATGTTCTTTTATGCTATTTTAATTAATTTTTAATTCTTGTTAACGTTTTTCATCTATTGCATTTTATTATTTTTATACGTTGTTGCAAACCACCCTTCAGCCACTGGCAGTATAGAAATGAAATAATAATTCAGCTCCTTAATCTTCTTCTTGAACAGGGTGGTAGAACTATATGCTGTTAATCATTGTATCTTAAAATAGTTGCATGTACTCTGAATTTTCTTGAATTCAATATTCAGTCCGTATTAACTGTGCAATCTTACTGTTGCCTCATAATTGACCTATCCAAGGAGCCCAACAAGGTATACACGATCCTCCTCTCCATTTTGTCCTCCCAAAAAGCATGTGAAGTAGCATAGGTTGAGTTATCAGCCACTGGGTTCTCATGACAACCCACCACAGGTAACTATTTCCTGCAAAGGGGCTTATTTGGGTGCACCAAGCCACCCTTACCACCCATGGCTTGTTATGGGGTTCTTCAACCCATGATGGATTGTGCTGTCCAAATCCAGGAGACTGGTACCAGCAGAAGGTGCAAAAGATCACCTAGTGAGATGCTCAGTAAGAGCAGCAAACCCCTGAACAAACTTTGCAATCTTATGTGTGCTGCTGACCTACTTATGTCCAGATAGTCACTGTTTGGCACCTTTTAAAATTCCTCTTGACATCTGTATGGAACTTCAAAAAAAAAAAAAAAAAGCACAAATGGGATACTTTGTGTGGCAGGTTCATCCCTACATAATTATGTGTGTATGTCTTTGCATTTTAAAATTATTTTTGTTAATGTAATTCTATGATTGCTTACAAACACCAGAGTACACTATGTGTACTGCTGCTTGATCTGTGTAGTTACCTTATAAGTTTCAACTTTAAAAGTGAAGTGGAATAAGTAACAGACTGATAGGGTACAAATGCATATATGTCACGGACAGTTGCTGGCTGGCAATCGAAAAGTGAAGGGGAAAGAGCAGTGAAAGTAGGTGCACCAGAAAGGGTAGTTGTATCACCTCCTATATAGTGCGGTTGTCTAGCTCTGAAATGCTGAACTGGCTTTTTTCACTGTCCTCTGAATTTCCTGCTATTACAAACAGGGTAGATAATAACACTAAGCTATTAACTGGAGGGAAAAGTGCAGAGGAGGAAGAAAGCAAGGCTGACCACAACTGTCTGCCAGGCTCACCATTTTTTAGGCGTAAAAATCCTCTGCACTTACTTATTCATTACCACTTTTTTGCACTTGCTGTATTCAGACTAGATGGCCCGGGAGGCCCCTTCTGACTCGCTCTGTTTCTATTCTAGGGCCACCTTATCCACCCTAAAAGAAAGGTAAGAACGAAGTTTAACAGACAAAACCCCTGCCGGGTGGGCCAAACACAAAAGGCGGCCCATGCGGTGGTGTGCTGGCTGGAGCACTCCGAACGCTGCGGCAGACACGGGGAGATGCGGGTTCTGGCCCGCACTAGGCCTTGACCCTCCCCGGGGAACGCTCAGCCAGCCACTGGCTCTCCACCTGCCCTGCCAGGGCGCGCAGCAGCAGGCGCAGAGGGAGACTGTGTGGGCGGCCTCGCCCTCCTTGCGAGAGGGAAGACAGGCGGGACACAGGCTTGCCTAGTAACTCAGCATGAGGCGAGGAAAGAAGGGGCACAAGACGCCGGGCCCTAGTTTACGCCTCGCCGCGCTCAGGGAAGTTTCGGGAAAGGGCCGAAAGCCGCCGCCGCCGCCGCCCGCACAGCGCCCCAACCTCCCTCCGCTCGCCGCCACTCACCCGCGCTCGCCTCAACCGTCGCTCCCGCGCTGCGGAGCTTCCGCTTCCGGAGCGCGAGGGCAGCGCGGTGCTGAGGACGTTCTACGCTTTGGCCGGTTTTCTATGGCTGTCGGAGAAGTTCATCAGCACTCCAAGGGCGCTCTAGGCTCATGGGAGGCTGTCTATGGTGGCTGAACTTGAAGGCGGGGAGAAAGCGATAGAAACTGAAAAATAAAGAAGTATTAAAAAACAAAATAAAATCAGAAAAGTATGGCAGGGATGAGAGATAAGTATACAGCAGCCTTCCTCTAACTTGGTTTAGTCCACACGAGTCGGACCACAGAAAGCTGCATCAACACTACCCAACTGCTGGCAACTCTGTTGGGGAAGACAGAACCTGTTGCTCTGCATAACTGAAGAGCAGAACATGGCCTGCCTCTGCTCTGCAGAAGCCACCTCCCACCGTTTGGTGCTCTCAGGAAATATTGGACTACAATTGTCATCATACGCTGCCAGCATGTTCATTGTCCAGAGCAGATGGAGGACAGCAGATTGGGGATGCATCAAATGTCACCACACCAGGATTCTTTGGTATGTGCTGTTGGTCCGTGTTCTGTCTCCAGGGGCTTAGATGAAATGGAGATGGCGAATTGGAACACAACGAAGGTGTGGTTTTGCAACCAAATCTTGCATTGTTTATAATACATATTCATATATTATGAATTATATCCTCTGTGATGCCTACTATCCTTGGATTCTACAATGGGGAATCAGACTTTCTCCAATCTTGACAAACAAAGATAGCTGCACTGAATATAAGCAGCAGCTTAAAATCCATACTGATGTAACACCTTTATTATGCTAACCGTCACCAAAATAATGCAAGCTTTTGTGATCTCCACATTTCTTCATCAGGCAGGATGTTACAGAAAGCAGGTTTGGAAGGCATGATTATGTTGCTACCAAATGGCAAAAAGGCCAATAGTTACTCTTAGAAGTTTGGACATGACTGTGCCCCAGGCCTGTGGTTTTAGATGTAGTTCCAAGCTGGATGAGAACTTAAAAAGAAATGAACTGGTGGTAGTTTCACCTGAAGGCAACAGACGATTGTTACAGGGTGGACACGGAGGGTGCAATCCAGTGCATCTTTGGACAGAAAAAAAGCCCTCCAACTTGCACCATTCCTTGGTTGTGACATGCTAGGAGTTATAGGACTCTTTCTGTATGTAAACATACATGGAATAGTGCCCTGAATAAATCTATTTATTTATGGGGCTTGGGAGTTGTAGCGTGGGCTGGATGTCAGTTGCACGCATCAGTTGGTTATGGCAGTGCTTGTAGCTGTGGTACACTCCCCATGAAAAGTGTTTGTAGTTTTCAAAAGCAATGAAATTCTTACTGCATGAAGTGGAGGTGCTTCTCCTCCATGAAGAAAAGTGGCAGAGGAGTTACTGCAAAGTAATTCCAACTAAAGAAAGACCATGGATTGTTCAGATTCACTGAAGGAATTGTTCTATTTAAGGTTGTTGGGATGAGAAATTTATGGGCGAACTTTGCTTCCTGTGGCCCTCAAATAAATCTTATTGTTTCTCTTTACACTTGCATACACAGAAATGAATTAGCACATGCAATTAGTATAGAAGTTGATCTCCTATGGACCTGGGCCACAGATCTCTGAACCGCCGGCAACGTCCAGAACTGTGGTCCAGCAGGTGGGCAGCGACGCATCCTCCTCGCCAGAGCCACCCCGGGCAGGAGCGGGCGGCGCGGGGCTCGGCCGCTGTCACGTGACGTGTCCTGGCGAGGAGCTTCCGCCCTTCCTCAGTCACGTGGCGGCTTCGGAGCGACCAATAGGAGCGCCTGCCCCTGCTGCGCTGCCGCCAGCCCTGGGAGCCGCCCGGCCCGGTGGGCTCGGCGCAGGTGACTTCGCGGCGGCGCCGCCTCCCCCGGCCGCGCAAGGGGTGCTGCCCCGCGGCGGCGCAGCGGCGGCGCGGGCCTTCCGGGGCCCGGCGCCCCTTCCCGCCCGAGACCGGCTCCGGCTGCGGCTCCCAGGGGCTCCTGAGCGGGGCGGGAGGAGGCCGCGGGCTCGCCGCAGCCGGGCGGGGGCAGGGCGCGGGCTTGCGCGGGCTCCGAGGGAGCGCCGGAGGTGCTGGGCCGGGTTCGCCCGGGGAAGGCGTGCGCCCGCGGGCTGCGGCGCGTGAGAGCCGCGGCAGGCCCGAAGGGTTGGCACGGGAGGGAGGTCAGGTTTCTTTTCGGTCGCTGCACAAAGCGGAATTTCGGTTGCACTGCCAGAGAAAGCTCTTGATGGCCGCAGGCTTTGGACAGTGGGATTGACCCCCCGGGCAGGCCCAAGCTGCCCCTCACTGGAGGCCTTTGCAGGAGGCTGGAGCGCCCGGGGTCGCCTGAGCTCCGCCTCCGCCCGTCAGGCCGTGCAGGGGTCCCCTCTGAGGAAGGCCGTGGCTCCGTGAGACCTCGGGCCCCTGTTGAAGCCGCGCTCTGGCTCTCTCCGTGCGTGCCAGCCGGGGGCCTCCACCATGTCTGAGCGGGAGGAGCGCCGCTTCGTGGAGATCCCGCGCGAGTCGGTGCGGCTGATGGCGGAGAGCGCCGGCGTGGAGCTGACGGATGAGGTGGCTGCCCTGCTGGCCGAAGATGTCTGCTACCGCCTGCGGGAAGCCACCCAGGTGAGGGAAGTTTTCCGTGGGCACAGCCCTGGGGCGCTGAGAAGCGGGGAGCCCACGCCGGGCCGCTGTGGCCTGGAAAAGGGAGCCCTGCCTCCCTGCCAGAGAACTTCGGCGCCAGGCCCCTACCGAGCCGATGCTCCAGGGCTTCACGCATTCTGCTCCCCGTTTGCAGAACAGTTCTCAGTTCATGAAGCACACCAAGCGCCGGAAGCTGACGGTGGAAGATTTCAACCGAGCCCTGCGGTGGAGCAACGTGGAGGTGGGCCGTGGTGCTGTGCGTGCGTGTGTGTGGGGGGAGGCCCGGCCCACAGGACCCTGCCTCGAGCCTCTTCCGCCTGGACAGCGGCTGGGCCCAGAACCAGGCCCAGTGGCACATCAGGAGGCAGCAGAGCACAGCTTTTGCCTAGACTCCGTGCTTGATTAAAGGCCCAGACTTCACTGATTAATTAGGTTTCAAACAGCAAACAGTTGTTTCTGTCATGGGAATGTTCCGTTACTGGGGAGGTTTTTGGTTCTGACACGTTACTGCAACATAGAACAGCGAAGCAGATGTTACAAGCTGCCCTTCATCCCCTTTCCACTAGCAAACGCTGTCATGTATCAGGCTATAAGGACGATTGTGTGCTTCCTTCAGGAGCCTCACAGAAGGTTGTCTCTTGTGCAGATGCAGTCAGTGAAAGCCCAGTGAAAAATCGTTCACTCCCTGAGTGTTGCATGCATGACAAATGTATAGAATAACTTCGGTCTTCATGCTATTTTGGCACAAAAGAATATAAGACACTGTTGAATCTCTTGTGAATGCAACAGGATAAGGATAAAATTCCATGTAAAATAGGGCCACTGAGCAGCCAGCTGGGAAGGTTCCTGAACAGGCCAGTGGCCCTCCTGGGCGGAGGAGGGGGCCTCCCCTCAAGGGCGCTGTCGGTGTCTCGTCCTTGCAGGCCGTGTGCGGCTACGGTTCGCAGGACCCCCTCCCGTTCCGTTCCATCAAGGAAGGTGAGCTGTACTTCCAGGAGGATCGCGAGGTCAACCTGGTGGAGCTGGCGTTAGCGACCAACATCCCCAAGGGCTGCGCGGAAACAGCCGTGAGAGGTCGGTGCGGCCATGGCGCGGCAGGGACCGGCGGGCTCGCGGTGGCGGGCCCCACGTGCTGCTCCAGTTCAGCCCTGACTCCTGCCTGTTCCTTGCTTTCTAGTTCATGTCTCATACCTAGATGGGAAGGGGAACTTGGAACCACAAGGATCGGGTAAGAAGGGTTTCTTTATTTTATTTTATTATTTATCATTTATTTATTAAAACCTTTCTATGCCGCCCCATTCGCCGAAGCCTCGGGGCGGCTCACAACATAAAATACAAGAAATAACAATATAAAATAAGACGCCCTGGCCAGATAAAATAAGCAAATAATATTAACAATTAAAATGACGCTTAAATAAAAAGGTCTTTGCCTGGCGCCGAGAAACAACGACGGCGCCAGGCGGACCTCTCTGGGGAGCGCATTCCATAGATTGGGCGCCACTGCAGAGAAAGCCCTCCTCCGGGTACTTACCCTCCTAATTTCCTTCACGGAGGCTTCCCGGAGAAGGGCCTCTCCCACAGATCTCAGGGGTCGGGCGGGCATATATGGATGTAAGTACTCCTTCAGGTAGCCAGGACCCAAGCCGTTTAGGGCTTTATAGGTCATCACCAACACCTTGAATTGGGCCCGGACTTCAATGGGAAGCCAGTGAAGCTGACGGAGGACTGGAGTCATGTGAACATAACATTATTTCCCATATTTCCCCCCTGCTTTTGCTCTGTATGGAGAGGACTCTTTGTAAGATGACGATAAAGTGAAGTCAGTAAAAGCAGACAGACGCACATCTGAAACAGATCTGGCAGGGCGGGTCCTCCCTTGGTGCCTGAGCAATAAACCTTTGTGCATGGGGGGGCCTCTTTGGAGCCACTGCGGAAGAGGCCGTGTCCCTGGCCATCACCTGCCTGCCTGCCCTCGGAAGGCCAGGGCTGGGCCTCGGTTGTCCCCAGCTGGCCTTCCAGGTGGGGCCGCAACTCCGATTGTTCCCAGCCCACATCGCCTTCCTGGGAGTGGCAGCCCGAGAGCTCTGGAGGGTGGCAGGTTGGGGAAGCTGATCTGAGTGCGTGAGCCCCTCCCTGCCAGTCCACAGCGGCTCGCGCAACTCGTGGCCCAGGGCCAGATCCACCGGCATCCAACACAGCCAGAGAGCGAGCTTGTTTTAAAAAGTTGCTGGCTGCCCTCGGATTTCTGTGCAGTTGCTCAGAAAAAGGGTTGGGCTGCTGGATCCCTTCTGGCTGCTTGGATGGGACCCCACACACGTTGGCAGACTGATCAGTGGCATTTCTGTACAGCCACGGCTGAAGCTTTCTGGGTGGATCAGAACAAGAAAAACCAGAACATGCACAGACATGCAATAAAATCCTTGTAAAAATTTAAAACCACAGTCTGAAGCCAGCGTGAAAACCAGCAGCACTGGGCGGATTGAAACTCACAACAGCAGCTCTGCAAAGCCGGAGTGTTTGGGGCCTGGGATGGGGCCTGCCTGCCGAGCTCCTGCCCTCCGGGGCTCCCCTGCCCTGCAGGGACCCCTCCCAGCATCGCCGCCTCTCTTCCCCTTCCAGTGCCCAGCGCCGTTTCTGTGCTGACGGAGGACCTGCTGAAGTATTACCAGCATGTGACCCGGGCTGTTCTGGGGGACGACCCTCAGCTGATGAAGGTATGTGGGGGGCGGGCAAGTGGGCAGCGGAGGGCAGACTCAAGCTGCCACCCCCATGGCAGGAAACAGGATTCGGAATGCAAGAAACCGGGGGGGGGGGCTCCTAAAAAGCCGTGGGAGAGCTGCACGCGACCGGGGCAGCCGCGCCAGCGCCCTCCGACCTCTCGCTTTTGCCGCCTGCACTGGTGAAATTGGAGGGTGACGCAGCGGCTGGCAGGCTGGGCTTGTGGCTGGTCGGTTGCATTTCCGTTGCTTTGCTGGGTTTATTCCATGCCGGCGTTACGGGAACAGAGCCCTTCCCGGGCTGCCTTTCCGCACAAGGTAAGAGCCGCGTTGTGCCTAGGAAAGCAGTGTGGCGTTCCAGGCCTCCAGTCAGGTGTGGCACCGCTCTGGGCTCTGCAGCGGGATCGGGGCTGAGCGCAGCAGCGCCCGTGGGAGCTGTGCAGGGTTGCGGCATGCCTCCCCAGGCGCCCCCACAGCAGTCGGGGGGTGCTTGTGCCGCCCCGGCTCTTCGGCTCCGCTGTGACGGATCTCACCCGGCGGGGGCCTTCTCCTGCAGGTTGCCCTCCAGGACCTGCAGACCAACTCGAAGATCGCTGCCCTCCTGCCCTATTTTGTCTACATCGTGAGTGGGGTGAGTCCCCCGCCTCCCTTCCCCAGCCACCGCTTTTCAGCACGCTAAACACGGCCCATCCAGGCCACGGCAGCGGCCCCCCTCAGAACAGCTGCCGGGCACCAGGGCTGGCCAGGGCTCCTTCAGCCCGCTCCAGTGGGCAGTGGCGCTTGGGCAGGGGTCTTCCCATCATCTGCCACAGCAGCCCCTCTGAACTGGAGTCCATGGGAGGGCAGGTGGGCTGCCCCTGAGCTCGGCCTGCTTCAGCTGCCGTGGCCCAATGTGGGCGTCTGTCTGTGGCAGCGTGGCAGGGGCTCGCAGTGGCCTCCTCCAGACAACAGCATTGACAGGTCCCAGGAAACAGGGCAAGGAAAGGCAGTCCCAGTGGATTTTCTCTCTCGCTTTAGCTGCCATTCCTTGGCGAGCCTCTGCCCAGTCCCCTTCCCAGGCATTCGGAAGCCCCAGAGGCAGAAGAGCAGTCCGGCGTGCCTGTGTGGCTCAGCGCCACATCCAAAGGCAGGGCGGGCGGTGTGTCTCCCGGGCTGTTTCTGGGTGGTTTGCTCCCTGCCTGGGTTTGGGGGGTGTGGGAAGCCATCCTGGCAAGAGTAATCAAACCACAACCGGCCCAAGACGTCTCGCATCTCTGGGGAAATGCACTTCCTCCCTGAACTGGAGCTCCAGGGGCAGGGAAGGGCGGTGTGAGCTGGCGTGCCGTCAGCCAAGGGGCCGTTCCAGGCCGTGTCCCTGTGGGTCTCGGCTGCGCTGCAGCACGGCTTTCCCCGAGTCTGGCCTGCCCTGTGGTCCGCCTTCCCTTGGGGGCGTTTCCAAAGGGGGGACGTCACCCCCGCCTTCCCCAGCAGGGCCTGGGCTCTGGCTTGGTCTGGGTCGGCTTCCGCTGCCCTCGGACGGTGCATTTCCCCCTGGGCTCTCCGCCAGGTCAAGTCGGTGAGCCACGACCTGGAGCAGCTGAACCGCCTGCTGCACGTGGCCAAGAGCCTGATCCAGAACCCTTACGTGTGCCTGGGCTCCTACGTCAAGAGCCTCATCGCCAGTGTCATGTACTGTGTCCTGGAGCCCTTGGCTGCCTCCATCAACCCGCTGAACGACCACTGGACCCTGCGCGACTACGCGGCGATGCTCCTCGGACACATCTTCTGGTCCGTATCCTCCCCGCACCTTGTGGGAAGGGGCAGAGGAGCCCCTTGCGCTGGCTTCCATCCCGGCTGGGTAGCCAAGGGCCACTGCACCCGGAAGAGGCTCGGTGGGGGGCGTGGAGCTCCTCTCTGGCGTGGCATCGAGGGTCTCAGCTGAAGGGATGGTGGCTGGGATCAGGCAGAAGCATGGAACCGCCTTCTGCCCAAGGGCCACATTCTGATTCGGAGAAGCTCTCAGGAGTCGCGTTCCAGCGATGGCTGAGCCAAAGGCAAAGGGGGAAGGAAACAAACAGAGATGGTTCTCACTGCCAGAAGCAAAGCTGTAGGGCAGACACGGCAGCCCTTGAGAAGGGGCGGCGCTGCTCGGGGCCAGGAAGCAGCCAGACGAGAGGCGGCCGGGGGCGAGGCCAGAGAAATGGTGCGACCCTCTGAGGGGCCGTGGAGGGCAAGATCGGGGCCCTGGGAGGGGCCACGCGGCTTCCTGGGACTGAAGACCTGGCAGCAAAAATCCAAGGGAAGCTTTCTGCAGCGTGTGCAGCGAGCTCCAGGGATGTTCCCCTGCAGGCTGAGACAGGCTGACGGGCAGGAGAACTGTGCAGCAGTGGCCGCCACCCCAGCACCCCATCCCGCTGCAAGGCCGGCCCGGCACAGGGCTGCAGCTGGGCGGCCGAGCTGCCACGTCGTGTGCAGGGAGCTGCCTCTGCCGGGCGGGATGGACGGTGCCAAGCCGGACCGGTTGGTGGTCCGCCCGGCAAAAGGCAGCTTCCCGCTTCCTCTGAGCGCTGGGGCACCTGGCCGGCTGCTGTCCTCTGGGCCAGCAGGATGATCCCTGCGTCTGAGCAGATCAGTGTCACTCAGTTTCAGGGCAGGACAAATCGCTGGACGGTTTGTGGTCCTTCTGCCTGACCGTACAGTGTGCAGTTGGGGTGATTTGCACAGACACTCGGAAATGCTTCCCAGCTTGGCCCTTCTCCACGGTGGGCTGGATTGCATTCCTCTTCCTCTTCCTCTTCCTCTTCCACCCCTCAGGACGCGCGGTGACCTGGTGAGCGGGCTGTACCAGCAGATCCTGCTGTCGCTGCAGAAGGTGCTGGCCGACCCTGTCCGCCCGCTCTGCTCCCACTACGGGGCGGTCGTGGGGCTGCACGCCTTGGGATGGAAGGTGAGGACGGGGCTCTCGGCTGGCCGGCCCTCGGCGCCCCCAGCCGGGAGGCGTGCGCTGACCTGCCCCCCCCCCCCGTCTCTGCCAGGCTGTGGAGCGCGTGCTGTACCCCCACCTCTCCGCCTACTGGTCGAACCTGCAGGCCGTGCTGGACGACTACTCCGTCTCCAACGCCCAGGTGAAGGCCGACGGGCACAAGGTGTACGGGGCCATCCTGGTGAGTCTCCCCCCACGGGCAGCACCGTCCTCCTGCTGCGGGGGAACCGGGGCCGCCGAGCTTGGGCTGCCGAGCCTGCAAAATTGGGGCGCTTCCTTAGGTGGCCCATCAAGCAGCGCACCTCAGAAAATGCGTGCACACTTCAGACATACGCGGCATGACTGGGTAGCCTGTGCGACTGTCGAATCAAAGAGCGGAGCTGGCAGTGCCAGGGGGCCATCCAGTCAAAGCATCCCCGACCCGGGGCCACCCCATCCGGCCGCCCCTGCAGTGGGGAGCCCGCCACCTCCTGGGCCATGGGCCTCGTTGCCTTACTGCTCCGACAGCCGGGATCGTTTCCTGAGATCTAGCCAGAGTGTGGCTTCCGGCATTGCGCTTGTCCTTCCACGTTGTTGCCGGGATGATTGCGAAGAGGCCCTTGCGGCAGCCGCTGGCCAAGGAACCACAAACTAACCCTGGGACCACCTTTCTGAGAAGCAGAAGGAAAGCTCGGCCTCCCCGGCCAGGTGGCTCCACGTGGGTTGCACTGCGAGTTCCACCATTCCCGGCCGGTGTGACGTGGCCCGGTTTGGGCGGCTGCGCCACGTCTGCAGGACCGGCCCCCCTCCAGCGGGCCTCCGCCGAGAGAGGCCGGTGGCCCCGAGGTGAGATGGGAGCTCGGCGCAGGCTCCTGCCTCTGGATCCCGCCTCTTGCACATCTGGGCCAGCTTCTCTCAGCCTGGTGCTCTCCAGACGTTTCGGACTTCCGCTCCCATCAGCCTGAGCCAGTCAGAGTCAGGAATTCTGGGATTTGTAGTCCAAGACGTCTGGAGGGCACCACGTTGGGGGACAGTGATGGGGGTAAATGAGAATTTTAAAGGAACTTGGGTGTGTTACCCTGGGATAACCGATTCTGGAAGGAGACAACCTGAATCGATGGGCCCTTTTGCGTAGTGCCCTTTCTGAGGTTGCTGCTTTGGCTTTTGCTCCTGCGCCAGGCGCTATGTCACGCAACGGGCAGAAACGATGCAAGAACGAAACGCACACAGCAGCGCCGCTCACAGCCTGCTCTGGCCCCAAAATGGGAGCAGCGGCTCTGGGATGACCCACACCCTGCAGGAGCGCTTCCCCGTCCCGCGGCTGACCTTTCCCGTAGGAGAGGACGGCGCTCGCCGGAGCTCTCCCCGCCCACACGCCCCTGCTGGAGCGCTTGGGGCACGCCGAAGGCCTCCGATGTGGGTGCTCTCCTTCTGGCCTGGGGGAAGCGTGCAGAAAGCGTGGCAGCCCCGCCTGACATGCCTCCCCCCTACAGGTGGCGGTGGAGCAGCTCCTGAAGATGAAGGCGCTGTCCATTTCGGCCCCGGCCCCGGCCGAGGGCTCCGGCGGGGAGGGGCGCCTGCAGGAGGGCTGTCCCTGGCTGAGCCCCCTCCAGGACCCCCAGGTGGAGTTCGGCTTCGGCATAGCCAGCCACCTGCTGCAGCTGGGCAGCGGGGGGCCCCAGGCAGGCGTGGGCCTTGCCACCAACCCCCCGGCCCTCTCCCTGAGCGAGATCTACCAGGAGCTGTACTGCTTCTTCGGGGACAGCCTGGCCGTCCGCTTCGGCACGGGCTCGGCCCTGCGCCCCGCGGAGCCCCTGCCAGCCAGCCCCCCCAAGGTGGCCGACGCCAAAAAGGAGCAGACGGCCTTCGGGACCGCGGGGGACGCGGTGCGCAAGATGCCCCAGCTGACCGCCAACGCCACCATCAGCCCCCGGGAGGAGGAGAGCCCGCGCGGGGACTTTGCCGCCAGCCGGCCCGCCCTGCACCGCCCAGCCAGCCTGGCCCGCTGCCGGAGCGCCTCCCGCCAGCCGGGGCACCGGCCGGGCATCCGTGATGTCTTCCAGAAGAGCCGCTTCTCCCCGCAGGGGGCGCCCTGCTTCAGCTTCGTGATCGCCGGGCGGCAGGTGGACCGGCGCTGCCAGGGCCGCCTCTTCCAGACCGCCTTCCTCCAGCACCACGGCCCCAGCCACGTCTCCCGCTACGCCCAGAAGCTGCCCATGATCGGCCGGACCAGCAAGCCGGTCAAGCGATGGGCCCACTCGGAGTACTCGCTCCACCTGCCCCTCTGAGGGCCTGCGGGCACGGCCCCCGCGGGTCCGGCCAGCCGGCCAGCCCCTGCCACGCGAGGCGAGGGTGGACATGGCGGTCGGCTCCCGGAGGCCCCCAGGCCGGGGAGCAGGAGGGTCGCTGCCCCTTGGCCTCCCTCTTCCTGGCCCGGGCCCTGCAGGGACGGAGGGCCTTTCGGGACGCCCTGGCGCTGCGCTCCCCCTGCTAGCCAAAGGTACGGCAGGCGCCCTCAGGAGCACCTTGAATTCCCGGCTTGGCTGTGGGGCCTGCCCTGGCCGAGCGTCTCCCTTTTGCAGAGCGAGGGCACTTTGGGGCTGTGTGAGGAGCCTCCTTTTGGGGGGAAGAGCTCTGTACAGGGGGCTGGGGGGGTCAGTCAGGCCATTATTTAAATGTGGGGGGGGCTGGTAACATGGTGTGGCAACGCAGGGGGAAGGGGCGGTGCTCCAGGCCTTGTGTACCAGTCAGTGCGCTACAGGGACATTCGGCCTTTTCTGATCTTTCCGCCGAGGCCACTGAATTCCCTACCTTTCTTTTCAGTGTGCGATTCCGTCCAAAACAAGGTGCCTCTCCCCCACCCCCCCCGGAAAAAAAAAGCAAACCTTATTTCCTTGCTCCTGCTTAAAGCCTGATTTCAGTGTGTTGGATGGAGTTTCACAAAGCAAGTGATAAACATCAGGTTAATATTTAATCTGGAAAGCATTGCTTTTGCTTTTGGTAGCTTCCTAAAGAGGGGGTGGGTGGGCGGGGTGAGTGAGATGTGCAGGGATGCTGTTTGTAGAAAAATAAAGACTTGAACTGAAATGGTGGAGGCGGTCTTGCCAAAGCGCTGCTTTTCTCGGCTCCCCAGAGTGCTTTCTCTTGCCCCTCAAGAGGCCCGGGCAAGCGACCGGTCCTCCCTTGCGCTGGCACAGCCTCTGGCCGCCTCCTCGGAGCCCCATGCGCCTCGGCCACCTGGGGGCGGGGGCTGCACTCCAACGTGCCTCGAACAGCCACTTGCCCCCCCCCCCCCGTGCGGCCACAGCCCTCCCGCAAGCAACAAGGCTTTGCCACTCGGTGCGGCCTTCCTGAGGCCCCGGTGGGCCCCCGTGATGCTGGGAGCGCCAGGAGAAGGGCTGCAAGGCCTCTCCTCTCGGGCTTGAGGCTTGAAGGCGGCCTGCCTGGCCTGACGGCCAAAAGGCCTCTGACTCCCCGTCGCATCTGGACCCTCAGCGGCTGATCCGCGTGTGTCTGGCCCAGGTGGGGGCAAGGCGATGGCCACCGCAGCCTGTTGTCCTGCCGCGGTCTCCAAAAATGACATCTGTTCATCACCGCTGAGGGGTTTCCGTTGGTTCACGCGAGGGTATGCCAAGGGGCACCCGGCCAGCGCGTTCCCCTCGTGCGAGAGCCTTGCATGGCCTTCCTGGGAGAGAGCAAAGGACACATTGCTCCCGTCCTCCAGTGCCCCCTGCTGGGGGCGGCACAGCAGAGGCAGCCGGTCACGTGCCCGCGGGGACCCCGTGGAGGGTGCGTGGCGCCCACCGGTGTCCGTGGTCAACGCCCGGCAATGGGAGTAGTGGGCTCTGCCGGATGGAGGGCGCGCCCTCCACGAAGCGCCCACGCAGCTGCCGCGCTGTTTCCCGCACTGGCGGGTTAGCCCGGGTTCTCCGGCTGGCGGCCGCGCGTGGGCTGCTTCCCACGGCCCCGAAGGCAGCGCTGCTGCCGCACGGGCCAGGCCCGCCCCGGCCCCACGGCCTGACCGGGGCCCAAGCGTCCAGGCGGCTGCCGGCTCCGGAGCCACCTTTTCCGCCGCGACCAGGCGCAGCTCCGCGCAGCCCGTGCGAGCTCCGGCCCTCCGAGCTCCGCGTGCACGGTTAGTTGCCGGGAGAGCTGCCCCGCAGCGGCGGCGGGGATCGCAGCTCCTTCCGGGGGGCCGCCCTGCGAGGAGGCAGCGCCCTGCGGGCTCCCCGGCCCACCGAGCGCTTCTCGCCGCGTGCCGAGGGGGCCGCCGCTAACGGGCGGGCCGGCGGGGCGGGGCGAGGGGAGGCGACGCGGGGCGGCCGCCTGCCTGCCTGCCTGCCTGCCAAAGTGCGCCCTGCCCGCTTCCAGGAGGGGAAGATGGCGCGCCTGTCCGCCTTTCAGCTGGCCGGGCTGGGGCTCAGCGCCGCCGCGTTCCTGTGCGGGATCATCTGCGCCTCCGCGCTCACCGTCACCCAAGTAAGCCGCCGGGACGGGGCGGGCGGGCGAGTGCGGAAAGCGCCAACCGCCGTCGGTCCCGTCCGCCACGGGAAGGCGGCGCACCTTCGCACGTAGCCCGGCGCCGCGGCTCGGGAGGGCGAGAGGGCGCCTGGAGACAGCCGGGACCACGCCTGGGCGTGGGCGCCCCACCGGGAAAGCGGGGCCGCGGGACACCCAGGGCGCCGGAGCCGCGCTGCTCCCGGGGCCCGGGGGCGTGCGCTTGAGCCGCGCTGCGTGGTATCGGCGAGGCGCAGGGCTCGAGCAGGGCTTCCTCGCACGGCCCCCGCGCCCCCCCCCCGGCGTGCTCAGGGTCGGGAACGAGGGCTGCCAGCTCGGAGGGCGCCCCTCGAGCTCAGCCGCGCCTGCCCGCACCGCCGGCCACGACAGTGCCCGCTGCGCGCCTGGGCCCCCTTGCAGAAGGCGAGCGTCGCGGCAAGTTCGCAGCCCTCCTGGGCTAAGTTCCCAGCCCTCATGGGCCTAACTGCCGGACCGCCAGGCGCTGCCGTGAGCGAAGCCACGGGAAAGGTTTGCGCTGCTGGCGGCCCTTCCTGCCCAGCAGCGAGCGGAGCTCTCGCCCCGCGCCGGGAGTCCCGGCGCAGCCGCGCCTGAGCGGCCTGAAGAGTCGCCCGCGCCCCCCGGCGCAGAGCGGTCGTGGGCGTGGGGCTGCGCATGACGCGCGTCAGCTGAGGCCCCAGCGGAGCGGCCGCGGCCTCGAGCGGTTGGCGGTTCCCCGTCGGAGGCGCACGCGCTTCCTTCCCCTTCTGGGGACCTTTCATCCGGCAGCCTCGCGGGCGCTCAGTCCGCAGGGGCGGCGGGATCGGCGCTTCCATGCGGGACTCACGAGGATCTGCCGCAAGATCTCCATTCCTGCCCGAGCACGGCATCCAGGCGGCGGCGGCGGCGGCGGGGCGGGGGGTCTCTCTCCTGGGGTGCGTTCGGGCTGAAATAGCGGGAGGAGCCCGGGCAAGGAAGCGCCGGGGCAGGCGTGGATCAGCACCGCAGCGCCATCAAGAGCGAGCATGTGCGAAGCGACGCGCTGTTTCGTTCTGTTTAAGCACAACCGGATTCTGCACATTCCCATCCCAGTACGTGGTAGAGGAGCCAGCAGGACTCTTTGCAAGTTCCAGAAAAGGTTTTTTCGGGGGATCTTGCAATTTGCACACATGGTGGTGTAATTAAGCAACAAATGTTTATGGGAGACCTCGGGCCAGTGTGCACAATCACAGGTCTGTTGGCCTGCATGCAGAGTGCGGCCTCCTCCTCGTCACACCCCCGGCTTGTCAGTTCCCTTCCCCAGAAATGGAGGTTGAAATCCAGAGGCCGTGTGCCAGACAGAGAATCGGACTCTGCTGACGAGAGAGAATTTGCCGCCATGGGGCCAGCGGAGAGGTGGACTTGCGATTGTGCGCACTGGTGCACGCTCGCCATTGAAAAGAGTGGTGATGCGATTTGTGCATATTTCAAGACCCCGCAGAACCGCTGGGTGCAAATTGTGCGCTCTCTGAAAATGGAGCGGGCTCTGGAACCCGCCCGTGCCGGCGTCGCAATCCCAACCCAGAAGCTGCTGGAAGAGAAACCTCCAGGGAAGGGCTTGATGTGGCGCAAGCAGTTCTATTTGGAGGGGAGGGCGCTCAGGAGGCTGCCAGCAAGCAGGGCCGTGGCCAGCGGGGCCAGGGTCGTGCGGGGCACCCTGTCTCGAAGCAGCCTGCCCGGCCGTGGCGGTGGCCAGAGGAGGTGTGCCCGGGGGCGCAACAGAGCCTTTGAGCATTGGTCCCTCTCTGCGGAGGTCCTGCTGGGTAAGGTCAGACTGGCACCAGCGTTGCTTAGGTCCAGCTCTGCTGGGGACCTCTCGATCTAAGGAAGCGCCTCCTGAAGGAGCAGCCATTGCATGGGTGCGATTTGATGTTAGATGCTCCCTTCTTTCGTGTTTTATTTTGATGGCTTTTCCTGCTCCCCATGTGGGAGCTCCTCGTGTTGAGCCAAAGAGCAGTTTACATGTTTGCGCACAAGTCGGTGGTGGGCTCGGAGGAGGGGTGAGGGGCAGGCAGTCCCACCGAGGCCCCCAGAGGATGGCTGCAGGCCCAGGGGAGAAATGGGACGGGGGAGCTTTGCCTGGTGGCGTGGCAGGTGGGCCACGGGGGGGCCTGGAGCACTGGGCGGAGAGTGCCGGTGTTCAGAGGGGGCCATGATGGAAAGCTGCCGGGGGCAGCGGCCGTGCTGGGTTGGAGGGCGGCACACGGCCCTTGGCCGTGCCGAGGGGCTGCCAGAGGTGGAGCTGCCGCCTCTGATCGCTGTGCCTGAGCAGCCACCCCGGCCTCGCTCACACCAGGCCAGCTGCTATCCTGGGCCATCCTGGAAGAAGGGGGCGATGAGGAGGAACTGGAGGCAGGCCCCAGCCTGGCGGAGAGCCCCCTTCCCACGGATGCTTGACCTCTGCCAGCTGTCCCCGGAAGCAGCCTGCCAGCAGGTTGCAGTGGAGCGAGGAGAGCCGCACTGGGGCCGTTCCCCCAGCCCTGCTGAAAGGCCCCGCCATGCCTTCCTCTTCGCGCCCCGTTGCCTGTGATTCTCCTAGGCACAGCCTCAAATGCCCGGCACGCAGCCGCCCCCCGCCCCAGCTGCTGTGGCAAGACCCCCGCCCACCCCCATGTGCCGTCCTCGTTCTCTTCCCCAGCGAGCCGGAGCCACCCTGCTTCTCGCTCTTTTCCAGGGGGAATTTGGCAGCCAGTGCATCCTGTACGGGTCAGTCCGCTATAACGGGACGCTGAGCTTGAGCCGCGTCAGCCACAGCTCCCTCTGCTACTTCGTCTCGGCCACCTCGGTGCTCGCCTCCATCCTCTCCTTCGCGGTTCTTTTCCAAGGGATTTACCACGGCTGCTTTGGCGACGGACAGTCGTGAGTGGGGAAGGCAGGGACGGAGCGAGGGGTGGCTCGGCCCCAGGGCGGGTGGGGGGGACTCCTGAGCACCTCGTCTCTCCGCAGGGAGCACACCTGGTTCAAGGGCTCCGTGGCGATCGCCGCCGCCGTCCTCTTCTTCCTGCTCGTCTCGGGCTGCATCCTCCGCGTTGGCATGGACACCCTGTGCGCAGCCATCGTGCAGTCCTCAGCTGCAGCCAGGCAAGTCCGGGGAGGCGGGTCTGTTCTCGTTCCACATCAGGTCCGAGCACGGAAACGGATGGATTTGTCGCCCGTCGCCCACCCTCTCTGTGCCGCTCATGCCTGCGCGGCATTTTGGGCCAGTCCTTTCCCCGCTTGCCTTCTCCCGCCTTACCCTGCTGGTTGTTGGTTGTTGATAGCGCGGGTTTAGGAACGCCTCCTCCGCTGCCTACCTTGCCGGGACCTGGCCAGGAGAGGCACCCACAGCCCACCCCTGGGATGGGGCCACAGCCGCCTGCCGGGCACCTGCCCGCAAGGAGGGTGCGCTGCACAGCCCCCCCAGCGGCCCTCTTGGCCCCCGTGGCCTGACCACTGGCCGCCCTGCCCTTCTCTCCCCGTGCAGTTGCCAGGAAGCCCAGCGCCGCCCTTGGGTCCACCCTTACCGTGCGGAAAAGTTCTACGACAACCTCTACACCGCGGAGGTAAGTGGTCCTTAAGCATCTTGTCTCCGGCTTCAGCCTTTGTGCCGCCCGTCCCGAGATCCTCTCCGGACCGGCCGGTTGCACCGTGGCTCAGCCACAGGGACCTGCAGACCCTCCCTCAGTCCTGTTCTGTAGACCGGCGAAAGGGATCGCTCTGGGGTTAGCAGATCCCACGAGCGGATCGTGCTTTCGGCCCCTGCGTGTGGCTCCTCCTGCCACAGGGACTAGGGATGGCCACCCCGTGTCGAAGGCTTGGACCAGGCGCTGGAGGAGAAGGCCCGATGGCCACAGGTCCCAGTGGCACCGGAGGCAGGGGGCTGTGTGCATCGGTGCCGGGGGGCACGGCCGGGAGGGCTGCTGCAGGCGTGTGCTTCTCCTGGGTGCCTGCTGGGCAGCTGGCTGGCGGCCGCTGCAGGGCCTAGGCGGCCCCCGGGCCCAGTCCGGCGGGGCTTTTCATGCCTCCTCAGGGAACGCAAGGCGGTTCTTTGCATCCGATGGCGATGTTGGTGCGCCACCTGGACCGCGGGTTCCCAACCTCAGCCGGGCCGCCCGTGGCTTGCATGCCCAAGGGAGAAACCGCGGCCCTCCTGTTGCCTCAGCTGGTCGTTCCACACAACCGTTTCTGCCCGGGTAATGCTTGGAATGGTTGGTTCAAGGGCAGCAACACCTTGGCTTGTTTCAGGAGCCATGATGGGTGGGCACGTCATCCACACCTGAGCTACTGTGCCTATCATGGGGACATGTGTTTCCCATCAGGAAGCCCCCCCCCCCCCCCCCGCTGCCAGAGCCAGCTGCCACCAGGGAGGGGCTGACAAGGTGGAGGGGCCGCCGCTGGCTTCGGGCCGGGGCCTGGACGGTGAGCTCCACAAGCTTCCCCAAGTTTTTCCTTGGAGAGCGTGCAAAGCAATCTCCAGCTTAATAGCGCATCACTGGCCCTTCACACTGAGGGGCGTCACTGGTCTGCCTCCCCTTCTGGGACTTACAAACAGATGCAACTTGTTAGCATTTTCCAGTTAAACGTTTCAGTCAAGCTTTTGTGGATGCACATTTGCACAGTTTTGAAGAGGCGATAATCAGACAAGCAGGAAGGCAGAAGTGTGAGAAATGGCAGCGAGGATGGAAAAAAACAGTCCCAGTCGCCAGTGAAAAAAGTTCCGTTGAGCCCCGGAGCAGGGGTCCTCAACTTTTGCAACAGGGGGCCAGTGAAAGGTGCTGGCAGGGCACGCAGGCCGGTGAGGAGGCGGGGCACGCGGGGCGAGGCAGCTGCTCACTCACACGGAGATTGTTTTCTCCGAGTGAATCCGAAACGATCTCCCCGCAAGCAAGCCACTGCCTCGCCGCGCGCCTGTGTGTGCCTGCGTGCGCGAGCGGAGCAAGCCTAAAACCTCTGAGGCGGGCCGGATCTGTGGGCATGGCGGGCTGGATCCGGCCCACGGGCCGTACTTTGAGGACCCCTGCCCTAGAAGAACACCCGTTGGTCACGCAGAGGGCAGGGAAGCAGCCTGCCCCGGGACTGGTCCTCCCGCTCCGCTGCCCTTTCTGCAGCTCTGAAGCAGCGTAGCTCACCTGGGCAGAGCCCTGCTGGCCACGCTCCGTGTTGACTCCAAGGAGCCTCCAGGAGCATCGTTTCTGAGTCCGGGTCGTCTTCAGCGTGGTCCAAAGGGTGGCTGTCACGAGAAAGCAATGCTGGGAGGGATCTTGGCCCATGAGAACTCGTGCTGCTTTTCAAAGGATTTCTCTGAGCTGGCTCCCCATGGTTTTTTCCAAGGGATTTATGCAGGCATGGATCGGGATGCCCCTTTGGAAAACCCATGTCCAAAAAGAATAAAAGAAGAAACCCTCGAAAGGGACTCCAAGTCCTGGCAGCTAGCCAAGTGGGGAATCGCACTCTTCAGGTCTCCTGAGCACCGAGATTATCAGGGAAGGATGGGGAAACGAGGGGGCCCTGATGAGGCAGGTCTTACAACCCCCTTTGTGCAGGACAGACTGCTTGTGGCTTTGCTTTCTCTTGACAGCTGACCTTTGGACAGGCTTGGAGGGCGGCAACTGGGGGAAAGGCCTGTTTGGTGGCAGCCCCCATCCTTGGAACAGCCTGCTTGCTGCAGCTGCTGGGCACCAAATTTGCCATCTTTTCTGCACTGGGTTGAGGCGGGCCTCTTTGCAGAGGCCATTAAAGTCCTCCCGGGTCAGCCAGGTGCCTTTTTCTTACTCTTGGCCTGGTCTTTTTATTGCCTTTTCATCTTTTTTAATGTCATTTTAAATTAATTTCAGTTCTGATGTTTTTATCTACTGCAATTTGTTTTTAAACTTTGTTGTAAACTGTCCACAGAGCTTCAGCTACAGGCAATATAGAAATTAAAATAATACTGATGATGGCGTTCTTGGCAGCTTCCCTGGACCAGCTTCTCTGGTCTCTGAAACGAGAAGGGGTAAAGGGGCAGAGCCACAGCGGGTGCAAAAGCGATTGTGGCCGGGTGGGCAAGGTACGTCCTGCCCTGGGGTCAGCCGGGGGGCCCGCGAGTGGCCCCGAGGCAGGGCGAGGGATGACCCAAGGAGCCGGGCCCTGTGTTGGGTGCCCCGTGGGGTGCTTCACAGAGAGTGCGCCCTGTGGGGTCCCCGTGTGGGCTGGGTTGTGCTGACGGTGCCAGCTTGCCCATGGACCACCCGCAGCTGGTGGTTGAGAATTAGAGGGCGTTAGAACAGGGGTCCTCAACGGGGGGCCAAGTTGAAAGGTGGTGGCGACAGGCGCAGGCCGGTGAGGCAGTGGTGGGTGCGCACGCGGCAGCGGCTCGCTGGCTCAGGGATCTCCCGGCGAGTCCGAAAGCATCTCCGAGTGAGCAAGGCACCGCCTCGCTGCCCACGCGGCAAGGCCAAAACCTCTGAGGCAGGCTGGATAAATGGGCATGGGGGGCCGGATCCGGCCCGTGGGCCGTAGTTTGAGGACCCGTGCATTAGAATCCGGGGAGGAAGCTGCTCCAGGCGGGCGACGGTGCGCTGCGGCATTGGCCCTGCTCTGCTGGCTGAGCCCTTCGGCGCGCGCGCACGCTCCTCACCAGCTGCTCCTCTCCGGCTTTAGGCAGCTGCCTGGGTGAACTTCTTCTTCTGGTGCCTGATGGTGGTTCTGCTCGTCCTGGAGCGCTTCATCAAGTCCTCCTCCCAGCCCCTGCGGAGCAGCAGCGCGAGGACGGATGAGGCAGCGCCCATCATTGGAGGGGGGCCGCGCGGGCCCTGATGATGGGTCCGGAGGAGGAGAGAGTGTCCTGGCGGCCCGCGGGCCCCTTCGCGGGCCCCCTGCGCGTCTCTTCCCTGCGAGCGACTTGGGGAGGCCTGCCTCTCTCTCTCCCTTGGGGCGTCCAAGAGAGCGAGCTCCCCCAGTGGAGCAGCCGTCCAGCTCCGTCGGCCGAGAACTTTCTAAAGGGAGGGTCTGGGACTCAGTCTGGAACAGCCCTGGGAATTGCTGCCGCTTCGTCATGAGATCTGTCGCTTTCCCCCAAGCCCAAGCCGGCCAATTTCCTGCAAGAGGACAATGGGTGCAGCTCGCAGCCCAAGATCGGGGGACTGGCAGCTCTTCCTTCATGGAAGCGATCGCCGCATGTCCTGAGCAGGGACCGGGCAGCCCGTGCGCGCTGCTCATGCGGAGCCCCGGATAGCCCGCCGGCTCTGCAAGGAGCCCCTCGCCACAGCCCGCACCCCTGGCCTGGGCGCCTGCTGGTCGGAGGGTCCCTCCCCACGTGCTTTAGTCCTGGTTGCCCTTTCAGGCCAAGGAGGGACTCTGAACCTGAGCAAATACAGAAGGGTCCTTCCCCCCACGGAGTACCATCGCTTTATTAGCCCGAACTAAGGCGACGGGGAGGTACGGGGGGGGTGCTTTGGGGTGGGAGGAAACGGGGCAAGGTGTGGTGGGGATGTGGGCCCCTTTGGACGGAGTCGCCAGAAGGATTCTGGGAGGGGCATGTTGAATTCTCCAGTCCTCGCTGAAGCGAGAGGCGCAGCGAGGCCCGGAGGCCAAGCGCTCTGTTCAGCTCGCACTTGGCTGAATGAGGCCTCTGGAAGGCCCCCAGCAGCCCAGCCCATCACGCAGAGGCGATGGTGGGGCTCGCGTGGACGTGGCCCGTGGGCACGCCTGCTCCTTGCAGCTCCCCCAAAGACGCCGCGCAGCCTCCACCAGAGGAGGCAGCCAGTGGGCGGGGGGCACGCCCAGCAGCCCCCTGGACTTTGGGCAGGCAAGGGCAAGCCTGTGTCTGGGCCAGTTTGCGGGGGGGGGGGCGTGTTGATGCCACCCGCTTCAGCCCCTCCGCCACTCCGTCTGCCCTTCGTTGCTGCCAGGCTTCTCATCACCCAGTCCTCCGGGGGCCCCTTCTGCCCCAGCCCCTGCGGCGACCCTTGGCGGGCGCCTCTCAAGACCACGTCCCGGAGCACGTGGGAGCACTGTGCGTTCAGGCCGCCCTCCAGAGAGAGGACCCTGCAGAAGTGAAAGCCGCACGCGTTGCCCGCGGCTCCGGGGCACCGGCAGGGAAGCGCTCGCTCCGAGGCACCCATGGCAGTGCTGGACTTCCCCCCCCCCCCCCCACCGCCCGCTGAGCACGTGGCACGTGCGGCTGAGCACGGCGGTCCTTTGCTGTGGTCTGCGGCCCCACCTGAAGCACCCCTTTTATGTTCTAAGCGTTCAGATGGAAAGAGAGCGTTGCCCTGGGTTTCTCCTGCAGAATTGGACCAAGTCAGGCGAACACACGGAGCACAAGCCCTTGCCGGCTTGCTTGGACTGAGTCCCAGTGTCTCCTGGCCTGACTTCAGGGTCACTGCGTTTCCCCACTGGAGCGGTCCCACCACGGGACGTCTGTCGGGATGGCCGCTTGTGCTAAAGGTTTCCCTTCCCGTAACAGGATGATGAAATACCGAGGCAGGTATTGGTGAGTGCGCAAAGGGGGAATGCCCACAGGGCGCCCTCTGCAGCACATGGCGCTCCTCCCCCAGGCCAGGAGCGAAGCCGAAGGAGGCGGACACGGACTCCGGATTCCATCCCGTCTCCCGAGGTGCTGGCCAGTGCCAGGGCTGTGAAAAGCTGCCTGTGGGGAAAAGGATGGCGGGGAATGAAGGCCACCTAAATCCCCATTCATTCTGGAGGAGGCGGCAGCAAACACCCCCCATCCGAGGGAGGAGGCTGGGAATTCGCCAGAGCTGGGGTGCAGCCCCTGCGTACTTGCACAGCGATTAGACTACATGGGTGTCCACTGCCTTAGACCTCCATGGACACTGGGAACCATCCCTGAATGAGCTGGGAACAAGGAATAGCTCTTGCACAATATTCTGTCTCACACACGCACACTCAGCATGGGAGGTACTTGGCTCAGCAACGCTACAGGAGAAGGCTCTTGGAATTGCTGCAGATCACAGGATGAATGAGAAAGCATCGTTTATCGCTGCCTTAACATAAGAATCTCTTCCCAAAGCTGCTAAGGGCTCGGAGGAGGGCAGCGAGGGTGATGCGGGGACTGGAGGCAAAGTCCCGGAGGAGAGATGGGAGGAATGGGCCGGTTGGGCCTTGAGGAGGCTGAGGGGGGAGAGGATGGCACTGCGCAGGTCCTTGAAGGGCTGCCACCCGGAGGAGGACCAGGTCTCTTCTCCACCATCCCAGTGTGGGACAGAGGAACAGGCTCAAGGGACAGGAACCCAGGAAAAATCCCCTGGCGGTCTGAGCAGTCGGCGCTCGGTCCTTGAGGGGGAGGGGCGGGCTCGCCGTGCTGGAGGCGTGAGGCACCACCTGCCCGGGATGCTTGAACCGGGGCCCTGTGCTGAGCGCGGGGTCGGCCTCGATGGCCCTCTGGCACCTGCCAGCTCCCTGGTCTGCGATTCCACGGGTTTGAATGTTGGCCTGCTCCTTACAAGGACGCCGGTACCCGGAGGGAGATCGCTGCAATCATCAGGACAAGTGTCCACCTTGGTAAAATGGCAGAATATTTATTTATGAACTATGTTTCTATCCCGAGGAATTCAAGGTGCCTTCCCTAATTCTTCTGCTCTCAATCTAATCCTCAGAACAACAACCCTGTGAGGTAGTCTTGGCTGAGACTGTGACTGGCCAAAGGCCACCCAGGGAGCTTCCTGCCTGAGCGGGGACTTGAACCCGGATCTTCTGAGTCCCAGTCCTGCACTCTCAGCCGTTACACTGCACTGGCTCAGTGAGGACAAGTTACTTGTAAACCACCCGGATTGCTCTGGCTACAGGGCAGGATAGTGTTACCGGACTGAAACCAGTTAACAGCTGGGGCGAACCCTGGGTGGACCCCAGACCCAGAGCCAAAGAGAGCCTGAGACGAGACTTAGAGCTAATAGCAGTTTTATTCTGGTGCACTATAGAATAAGCAGAGACAAAGGGGAAATGCTTCCCAAATCAGAGTCTCGAAAGAGGTACAGAGAACATACATTATATACCCTATGTCATAACATGTTGTCCGGATACAAAGTAAATTCATTTCCCCATTATTCTTTGTTCTATTTGTTAGTTTACAGAAAACTCTGTATTTATCCAGAGACTCCCCTTTCTCCTGTGTCTGTTGATTATCTCTGAATTATTCACACCCCTCTATGTTTCTCACCTACCAGTAATTTATAATGCAATTTGCTACTTTTACTGAGGCTTCACCCGGATCCCAACTGGTCCCAGGCTCCAAAGATGCTTCTCATCGACCCTCTTTGACCTCCAGTCATCCTGCCCAGCAGTTCACACAGGGGTCCCCATGCCTCCCCGCTCCCTCCTGGACAGGAAGTGCAACGTGGCTGCAGATTTCTGGCTAAGTGGTTAGCCTAAGTGTTGTGAATGTGTTTCAGGTAACAATAGAAATCAAATGAGAAACAGGCCCACCGGTGCTTGAGGTGATGGAAGCTCGTGGTGGCTGGTGGAAAGGTGGGCGGTGATTGGCTCAGGCAAGGAAGGGTCTCTCGGCAGGGGGCCTTCTTGGCCTCATCTCTCCTAAGGCAGGGAAGGGGCCCGCTGGCGGGCATCCCTCTTCTTGCTGCTACAGGGCCATTTGGTGAAGACGCCAGCAGCGATGGTCACCTTGGCTGCAAGCAGGGCCGCAACAGTAACGCCAATGCCAAGGGAAGGATCCGCAGTAGCACCTGTGAAAAAGAGAGGCCGCGTCTCAGCCCCCACGAGGACAAGCTGCTTGCCAAGCGCATTTCTGGGCCTGGACCCGCCAGGTTTCTCGCTCAGCCTTGGCCTTGGCGCAGGGTCCGGGCAAGGAGAAGAGTCCCCAGGCCCCCTGGCCAGAAACGGGCCTGGTGGATCGGGGGCTGCGGGGAGCGGTGGGGGCTCCAGCTGTGGCCGGGGGGGCCCACCCTCAGCCCCGCATCGTTAGCACCTGTTTTCATGGACCATGTGAACCGCCTGCAGTGCTTTGGTGGTGGGGCGGGAACAGGTGCAGTGACTGAACAGACCTTCAGTGGGAAGGGGGCAGGTGATCGAGCCGGGCAGGAGCCCCCCCCGGAGGCGGGAAAGTTGAATGGGCCCCAGGGCTGGCTCTGCAGGATGGGGCTGGGGGGCCCAGGGGGGGCACACCAGCCGTGCTTCTTCCACCGATACCCTCGACGGGAGGGCGAGGTGGGGCGTTCTCGGAGCCTCCTGCTCCGACCGCTGCAGCGTGTCCTACGTGGGGCTGCCCCTGGAGGCGCCCCAGACACTGCCGCTGGCCCAAGACGGGGCGGCCAGAGGGCTGGTGGGGCCCGGCAGTCGGGCACTCGTCTCCCCAGCCCTTCACAAGGGAGGCCGCTCTAGGAATGAGCTCCATGGTGCACACTGCACAGAGCGGCCCGCTCCCTCCTAGAGAGTCCCGCAGAGGAGGCCGAAAGCGCAGCCGCCGCTTCCCAGGATGCCCTAGAATGGGGTTCCTTCTCTGTGGCACGAACCGTCCTTCTCTCCAGCCCCATTTCCCTTTTTGGGGGAACAAGCTGGAGGTCTGGGGGCCGCAAGCTGGCGCTGGGGGCCATCAGCAGGGCACGGGGAAGGGGATGTCGCACCCCAGTTAAATCCAGAGGTGGCCAGAGCACCGTCTGGTCTAGCACTGTTGGATGCGCTGCAGTCCCTGTGGCCTGAGGATGTGGCCGAGGAGCCCGGTCAAGCCGGCCCACCACACATGAGCGCGACCCTGGCCCCCCCGCGGCTCCCCAGCAGAGCTGCAGAAGGGACTGGCACCGGGGCCCGGGAGGCTGCCAACGCTTTTGTAAGAGGGGCTGCGATTGGGCCCCTCCTGGAAAAGGCCCCCTGGACCAGAGGATGTGGATGCAGCATCCCTGCCTGGGCAAGGCTTGAGCGGGTGGTGGTCGGGCATCTTGCATGCAACGGGCTATCCAGATCCGTGTCATTCAGGTTTCAGGCCTCTTCCTGGACCAGAGACTGCCTTGGTCACGCTGTGGAATGGCCCCTCTGGGAGAGAAATGGGGAGTGCGCCCCTCTGGGTTCTCCTGGGCCTCTCAGCAGCTTTTGACACCATTGACCATGGCTCCCTTCTGGACAGGTTGGTCAAGTCGGGAGTATGGGCACTGCTTTGCAGGAGTTCCGCTCCTCCTTGACTGGCCACATTTAGAAGGAGATGCCAGGGGATTGTTGCTCTGTGCCGTGGCGGCTATGCCGTGGGACTCTGCAGGGCTCAATTCTATCCCCCATGTTCTTTCACATTCACATGAAACCACTGGGGAGTCATCCGGAGGTACGGGCTGAGATGCCATCAATGTGCTGATGACACTGGGCATGTTCAGCCTTGAGAAGAGAAGACTGAGGGGGACATGGCATCCCTCTATAAGGACCCCAAAGGCTGCCACAAAGGAAGGCCAAGATCTCTTCTCGCTGATCCCAGAATGTAGGACACAGAATAGTCAAGTCAAGCTGTGACACCCCAGATTCAGGCTGGACATCAGGAAAATATCCCAGTGGGACCAGCCGCCTGGAGAGGTGGGGGGGCTCTCCCGCACTGGAGGCATTCAGAAAGAACCTGGGCAGCCCTCTGAGTGGGGTGGTGCAAACCAGCGTCCTGCACCAGGAGGGGGTTGGACCCGATGGCCTGCTGGCCCCTTCCAACTCTACACTTCTGTGAGTTCCCAGGCAGATAAAATGGATGGGATGAGACTCTTCTCCCTGCACTCCCTCTAGTTTGTTCACAAACACGTTTCGGATTACAGGCAAGCTGCCTTTACCACAGCAAGCAGATGAAGCTGCGCAAACACACCAGGTGGACGTGCAGACACAGAAGGCGAGCATCGGCCCAGGGCACACGCCACTGCTCTGGAGGACGCAGCTCGTGAAACATGCGTCCGAACTGCAGCGCACCAGCCCTCTCCCTGCTGCGCCACTTTGTTCTATCAGCGTATTATTGGATCTCATAGACCCATAAAACACAACAAGTGCACCCAAAGACACACACAATAAACATAAGCCAAACATATTGCCAACAGCTCCAGAATGTCCATACATTATGGCACAAATAACTGAGCTCATAAAATGTCACGCCCAACGATGGGGTCTCACCCAGTATTTCAGGAAGGCCCCTTCTGGGTACACACCTGAACGTGGCGAGGGGCTCTGGGAGCGTGAGAGAAGGCGAGGGCCATGCTGCCAGGAGGCCAGGCTCCCTCCCCGGGCCAGGGTCCTTGCAGGGACCCCAAGGTGGAACGGGCAAAGCGGGGGCCCCGCCGGGCTGGATGCACCCCCTCTTCAGGGGGAACGGGCACACCCGCAGAAGAGAATGGATCTCTCTAATGGGGGCGGGGGAGAGGATCCTTCGCAGAACGACAACAGAAGGGACGCTCAAGCACTCTGTGGCCCTCGGGGCAGGGAGATCAGTGGCAACCCACTCCGAGTCCTCCTTGCACTGAGAGCCCTGCGAAGCACGAGAAGGAAAGGCCAAATCGGAGATGGAAGGACTCCAGAAAGGGAGCTCAACCATGCATTTACAAGAGCCGAGCAGCTGCGCCGGCCGGGCCATTCTGGAGGGCACTCGTTCCTGCAGACTGAATCCACCCAGATCCCGTCGCGAGGTCGCCAACAAATATAGAAACAAAACGGGCCCGCAGAGTGGAAACAAGCCGTATCCTTTCCAGTCCCGGGAAAGGAGAGGCAAAAGAGCGCAGCAGCCATTGCACTAACTTCCTGCGCGAGCAAAGCGACGTTCACGGTGCCGCAGCAAAGAGGTTCCCCCTGCCTGGAGCAGGAGACGCCGGGCATCCAAGCTGGATTCTGGAGAGGAAGGGGCACTCAGAACCCCAGGCAAGGCAGGTTGGACGCGCAGACACCGAAGCGTTTCGGAAGAAGAGCGGTCTCTGCTTTGCGGACTGCAGCAAAGCCTCTGGCTGTGTGGATCACGAGAAGCCACGGGTGGTCCCGAAAGAGATCGCGGGCCACAGGCGCCACAGCGAGGGCAAAGCCTGTGGAGAGAGCGAGGGGTCCCCCACAGGCAAAGGCATCAGACACGGGTGGGTGCACTTTTCCTTGTTCGATCTGTTTGCGGAACGTATTATAAGAAAAGCTGGATTCGAATCCGAGGAAGGAGGAAAGTTGAAAGAAGACACATCGATAATTGAGGACACGCAGACGATGCCATCTTACTCGCAGGGATGACTCCAGATCAAAGTGAAAGAGGAAGTGCGAAAGCAGGATTGCAGCTGAACATTAATCAAACAAACATCATGGCTATGGAAGCATGACAGAACTTTACAGTCAACAATGAAGAAATTTGAATTGTGAACGATCTTGCATGCCTTGGCCCAGTCATCCCTTCAAAGGGAGGCTGCAGCCCAGAAGTTCGAACGGGACTTGGAAGGGCAGCAAGGAAGTAAGTAGAAAAGAGAATGTTTCACTGGAGACCAAGGCCAAGAGCATCCAGGCTCTCATTTTCCTGATTTCTGTGCATGGGCATGAGGAAAGCTGACGGGAAGAAAGTCGTGGTGCTGGGGACAGCTTTGTGAGTTCCCTGGTCAAACAGGAAGGCAAACAAGGGGATCCTGGCCCAAATCAGGACAGAACTTTCTCTGGACGCAAACATGACAAAGCTGAGACTGCCATACTTTGGAGATGTCGTGAGCAGGCAAGACTCCCTGGAGAAGACGACCAAGCCAGGGAAAGCCGAAGGCAGAGGAAGAGAAGGGAGACCAGAGAAGAGACGGTGGACTTCCTTCAGGAAGTGGGGCTCAGCAGGGCTCTCATGCGTAGGATGCTCTGGAGGACTTTCACTCGTTGTTGTTGCTAGTTGGGAGGTCGCACCCAACCCACCTGACCCCATGGACAACATTCCTCCAGGCCCTCCTGTCCTCCACCATCCCCTGGAGTCCACCTAAGCTCACACCAACTGCCTCAGTGACTCCATCTAGCCACCTCATCCTCTGCCGTCCCCTTCTTCTTTTGCCATCTATTGTTCCCAGCTAAGGCTCTTCTCCAGGGAGTCCTTCCTTCTCATTAGGTGGCCAAAGTATTTGAGTTTCATCTTCAGGATCTGGCCTTCTAAAGAGCAGTCAGGGTTGATCTCCTCTAGGACTGACCGGTTTGATCGCCTTGCAGTCCAAGGGACTCGCAGGAGTTTCCTCCAGCACCACAATTCAAAGGCCTCAATCCTTTGGCGCTCAGCCTTCCTTATGGTCCAACTTTCACAGCCATACGTTGCAACTGGGCCTTGACTATACGTACTTTTGTTGGCAGGGTGATGTCTCTGCTTTTTAGTATGCTGTCTAGATTTGCCATAGCTTCCCCCCCAGGAACAAGCGTCTTTTAATTTCTTGGCTGCAGTCCCCATCTGCAGTGATCTTGGAGGCCAGGAAAATAAAATCTGTCACTACCTCCATTTCTTCCCCATCTGTTTGCCAGGAAGTGATAGGACCGGATCCCATGATCTTAGTTTTCTTAATGTTGGGTTTCAAGCCAACTTTTGCACTCTCCTCCTTCACCTGTATCAAGAGGCTCTTTAGTTTCCTCTTCACTTTCTGCCATTAGAGTGGTATCATCTGCATATCTGAGGTTGTTGATATTTCTCCTGGCAATCTTAATTCCAGCTTGTGATTCATCTAGCCCTGCCTTTCTCACGATGTGCTCTGCGTATAGGTTAAATAGGCAGGGTGACAGTATACAGCTTTGCCGAACTCCTTTCTCAATTTTGAACCAGTCAGTTGTTCCATGTCCAGTTCTCAGTTGCTTCTTGACCCGCATGCAGGTTTCTCAAGAGACAAATACGATGGTCAGGTACTCCCATCTCTTTAAGAACTTGCCACAATTTGTTGTGATCCACACAATCAAAGGCTTTAGCATAGTCAATGAAGCAGAAGTAGATGATTTTCTGGAACTCCCTAGCTTTCTCCATGATCCAGCGTATGTTGGCAATTTGATCTCTAGTTCCTTTCCCTCTTCGAAATCCTGCCTGTACTTCTGGTAGTTCTCGGTCCACATACTGCTGGAGCCTAGCTTGTAGGATTTTGAGCATAACTTTGCTAGCACGTGAAATGAGTGCAGTGGTGCGGTAGTTTGAACATTCCTTGGCATTGCCCTTCTTTGGGATTGGAATGTAAACTGACCTTTTCCAATCCTGCGGCTACTGCTGAGTTTTCCAAATTTGCTGGCATATTGAGTGTAGCACTTTTACTGCATCGTCTTTTAAGATTTTGAATAGCTCAGCTGGAATACTGTCTTTGTTGTTGCTTTGTTGTTGCTCAGACTCCTACCTGAGTGGCCTAGTGCTTTCCCCTACTTTCTTCAACTTAAGCCTAAATTTTGCAACAAGAAGCTCATGATCTGAGCCACAGTCAGCTCCTGGTCTGGTTTGTACTGACTGTACAGAGCAGGGGTCCTCGAACTTTTCCATCAGGGGGCCAGTCGGAAGGCGCTGGCGGTGGGTGCAGGCTGCCAGGGCGGTGCCAGCTGGGGGGGGGGTGCGCTTGCGTGGGGCAGGGCGAGGCAGCCGCTTGCTCGAGTGAAGATAGCTTTCTCTGAGTGAGTCCAAAACGATCTCCCCGTGAGCAAGCTGCCACCGTGCACACACAAGGCAAGGCACCGGCTTGCTCGCGAAGAGATCATTTTCTCTGAGCAAATCCAAACTGATCTCTGCGCAAGCAAGCAGCACGCGCACACGCAGAGAGTGCAAAACCTCTGGGGAGAACCAGTTAAATGGGCATGGCGGGCCGGATCCAGCCCATGGGCCGTACTTTATTTATTTATTTATTTATTTATTTAATTTATTAAAACATTTCTATGCCGCCCCATTCGCCGAAGCCTCGGGGCGGCTCACAACATAAAATTAAAATATAATACATACAACAAATTAACAATATAAAATAAGTCACCCTGGCCAGATAAAATAAGCAAATAATATTAACAATTAAAATGATGTTTAAATAAAAAGGTCTTCGCCTGGCGCCAAAAAACAAATAACGACGGCGCCAGGCGGACCTCTCTGGGGAGCACATTCCATAGATTGGGCGCCACCACAGAGAAAGCCCTCCTCTGAGTACCTACCCTCCTAATTTCTTTCACGGAGGGTTCCCGGAGAAGGGCCTCTCCCGCAGATCTCAGGGGGCTTTGAGGACCCATGGTACAGAGCGTCTCCATCTTTGGCTGCAGAGCACATAGTCAATCTGATTTCTGTGATGACCATCTGGTGATGTCCATGTGTAGAATCGTCTCTTGGGTTGTTGGAAAAGAGTGTTTGCTATGACCATCGTGTTCTCTTGACAAAATTCTGCCAGCCTGTGCCCTGCTTCATTTTGTACTCCAAGGCCAAACTTGCCTGTTATTCCAGTTATCTCTTGGCTTCCTACTTTAGCACTCCAATCCCCCATGATGATACAGACATCATCTTTTGGTGTTATTTCTAGAAGGTTAATTTTAGAATTCTTGTAGGCCTTCATAGAACTGGTCAACTTCAGCCTCTTCAGCACCAGTGGTTGGGGCAGAAACTTGGACTCCTGTGATATTGAATGGTTTGCCTTGGATTCGAACTGAGATCATTCGGTCATTTTGGAGATTGTATCCCAGTACTGCTTTTCCTACTCTTTTATTGACTATGAAGGCTACTCCATTTCTTCTGAGGGATTCTTGCCCGCAGTAGTATACCTGATGGTCACCTGAATTAAATTCACCCATTCCTGTCCATTTTAGTTCACTGATTCCTAAGATGTCGATGTTCAGTCTTGTCATCTCTTGTTTGACCACGTCCAGCTTGCCTTGATTCATGGATCTTACATTCCAGGTTCCTATGGAGTATAGATCTTTGCTCTGTACAGTCAGTAAAAACCAGACCAGGAGCTGACTGTGGCTCAGATCATGAGCTTCTTGTTGCAAAATTTAGGCTTAAGTTGAAGAAAGTAGGGGAAAGCACTAGGTCACTCAGGTAGAAGTCTGAGCAACAACAAAGCTAGTGGAGGAGACAGTATTCCAGCTGAGCTATTCAAAATATTAAAGGACGACGCAGTAAAAGTGCTACAGACTTTCCTTTCACCACCAGATACATCGGCAACTGAGTGTCCTTTCGGCTTTGACCCAGTCGCTTCATTCTTTCTGGTGCTACTAGTACTAGCCCTCTGCTCTTCCCCAGGAGCATATTGGACACCTTCCGACCTGAGGGGCTCATCTTCCGGCATCATATCTCTTTGCCTTTTGGTACTGTCCGTGGGGTTTTCATGGCAAAGATACCAGAGCGGGTTGCCATTTCCTTCTCCAGTGGATCAGGTTTGTCAGAGCTCTCTGCTATGGCCTGTCCGTCTTGGGGGGGCCCTGCATGGCATATCTCAGCTTCATTGAGCTACGCAAGCCCCTTCGCCACCACAAGGCAGTGATCCATCATTGGGCTGCCACAAATTGGAGATGGCTTAAAGGCACACAGGAGCAACAGCATCGCAGAAGAATTTCATCTTCAGATGTACCTGCCCCACTTTCTCTCGGTCTGAGGCTCAAAGGAAGGTGCATGAAACGAGCGAACCGGACAGAGCCTCCCACAAGACGCAGGGTTCTCGGGAGCCTGCGGGCGCTGCTCCTCGGAAGGCCGGCTGGCCCTTCCCAGCCTGCCCCATCTGAGCGTGTGCGCGGCGCAGTGGGGCAGCCTGCTGGAGCGCAGCGGTGCGCCGGCTCCCGAGGGAGCAGAAGGCCGGCGGGGTGACCGTGGCGAGGCCCACCGGGGCCCCTCGGATGGTCTTTGGCCCACGGGCCGCCTTGGTCAGCAGCGTTGTGCTGTGGAGGAAGTCCCTCATGGGGCCGCCACCCCCCGCCACCCCGCATCACGGGGCTCGTTGTCGCACCCCCTCTTCCCGCCCCACCCCGCGGGATCAGGGTGGAATGGTGGCCAGGGACACTTTCGCGGAGGCTCACGTGCGACACGCCACCGAGCTTGGGAAGGGAACACGCCTCCCGCCCGACACGTGGGCCCAGGAACTGGCCCTCCCGCCCTCCTCCGGCCCTCCTGCAGGCGAGGGGGGCCCGCGGCACGCGCCTCACCCGGCTGTGCGCCGCCTCCCCTGCTCCGCAGCCGGTGCCTCTGGGCACGAGGCACAAGGCAGGGGGACAAACAAGACGAACGGGCTGGGGCTCACCATTCTCCCAGGCAGACTCCGTCACAGGCCTCGCCGTTGTGCACTCAGCTTGAGCTGATGGGCAGAGAGCAAGCGCGCAGGTCAGAAGGATGCAGGCGGCAGGCAAAGCCGTGCGGAGAGCTCCGAACTCCTCCGGCGACCCCAGTGCCGCTCCCCGCCAGGCAGATTTCTTGTCAGGGTGGGGTCTTCTCTGCCCACCTCATACAAGTGCAGTATGTGAGTGGGCTAAGAATTCAGCACCTGCACACTTTGAGCAATCCCTTAACAGTGCATGTTTCTAGTCCTCAGTGCTACACATGTGAGCAACTGCCTTGGGAAATCAAATTGGTCAGAGAGGGGGCTGAATAAGAGGGCCAGCGGAGCTATTTTGCCTTGCCTTTGATGTGAAGACGCAGAATAGTTTTTGGAAATGCCAACAGCAATGAGGTTCAGTTGCACTCCGTTTCTGCACCGCACACCCCTTCCAATGCTTTGTGCACGTTTCTACCCCCCACAGCGTCCTGCACATGCTCAGCCCTCTCCACGGCCACGTTGCAGCGGAGCCCCCGGCTGCATGGCTGCTCCCACCTTCCCAATCCCCCGTTTTCCTGGCCTGGCCCCCCAGCTGCACCCCCAGGCAACGCTGGTCTGATCAGCTGCGGAACGGGGCAGAGTGGGCCCTTCCGAGCCAGGCGGGGGCGCAGCCTTCCCTCCACGGTCTCTTTTGAGCACAGGAAAACTTACCGGTGCAAAGCTGTGCTAGGGATGCTGTCCTGGATGCGGGGCCGAGCGGGTTCCGTGCGGTGCAGGTGACGTTCAGATCGGGGTCCTGTGGCCCGTGCCGGATGAGGAGGGGATTCCCAGGGGCGGGAACACTGCTGCTGGTGGGGGCCCAGCTGAATTCCACACCTTCGTCCCGCTCCTGCGTGGAGCAGCTCAGCAGCCAAGTGCTGTTCTCGTGTCCCTCGCAGCGGAGAAGCAAGTCAGCCTCCGACAAACGCTCTGCGCATGGGGGCGGGGGGAGCATACAGAGAGCACACTAAGGCGCAGGAGAGCGAACGATTGCACAGAAGGGCCCAGTGCAGGAGCAGAGAGGCTCCAGCTCCTGCTCCGTCTCTGCCCCGCCCACTCGCTTCGCCAAAGGGCTTCCGGCCATCTAGTCTGACCCCGGCTCCAGCCGGCTCCACTCATGACATGCCTGCCGTGCTATGCACCTTCTGTCCAAACGCGCCTGGCAGCTCCCGCCATATGCCAGGCAGCACGCCAGACATTGCGTGGCTTTTTTGTCCGACCTGCCACGATTTCTCGTGGGCAGCACATGTAGGCAGCCGCAGGGCTGTTCCGAGGCTCGGCTCCAACCTTGGGAAGTCCGCAGCTCCAAACTCGGAGCACCTGACTCGCTGGTGGCATGGAAAGATGCAAATGCAACCGGGAGAGGGTGTGCCAGGGAATGGGGGGGGGGGGCGCCCTGGCAGTGCCTCTGCCTCCTTCCCTCCTGCCCCACAGCGCACGAGCGAGTGGGGGGGGGCTCTTTAGCCACCTCCGCCTCAGAGGGCGCCATCGATCCCGCTGCCAGGGCCGTGCGCATGTGCCGGGCGGTGGCCCTCCTGGCAGGCCCAAGCCAGCGGGGTGGTGGCCCGTGGGCAGAGGCTCCCCGTGGAGGCCGCGGAAGCTCCCAGAAAACGGTGCACTGCCCTGCCCGCCCCTCTGGAGGCCTTGCTGGCCCTATGGGGACTGGGAGAGGCGGGAGGGGAGCCCGAGGAAGGTTCCCCCGCCTCCCCTGCTAGCTGCAGCACTTACTGAAAACCCCCAGCTGGAAGGTCTGCCTCAGTGGTTCTTGCTGTCCCTGCAGCTGTGTTTGTGCTGTGTATAGCCCAGAGTCAGTTCGACGGAGCTCGTGGATGTGCAGCTGCTTGCAGTCCGCGGAGACATTCATTCGCTTGGAAAACGCTGGGATGATAATAGTGGCCTCGCACGGCGGTTTGGGTTTCAGATAGGCAAGAATTTCAGTTCCTTTTCTTCCAAGGCTCCTAGTCCAGGAAATCAGCGTAAATTCTTTCGCCGTCTCCACCTGGAAAGTTGCAGAGCCTCCCAGGACCGCCATGATGTTCCCCCCGGAAGTTTCTGAGGGAGCCAGAAATAGCACTGCTGTTACCACTGTTGTCTACCACACTTGTTGCTGATAGTAATACACTCCTGCAAGCAGTCAGTTCCAGTCATATGTGCAGAGCAGGGCTCGTGACGACTGCTCAGGGCATGCCAAGAGACACTGCTCTAGTCACTTACTAGATTTCTGTTTAAAGAACTCTGAGTGGCTTACCTAATTCTCTCCCTGATGCTCTGCATCTTTTTTTTTTTTTTTAGATTTTTATTAAAAATTTTAAACTAATACTAAAAACATCAATCATCAAATACATCGGACATACTGGGTCAGCCCCCTACTATATATCTTTTCACATTCTATAGTCATATTCAAATCCATTTATAATAACTTAAAAACTCCTTTAACTCTAAACCAAGTCCCGTTTCTCCAGCCAATAATAAAAAAGATCCCAAGTTTGATAGAAGTTGATATCTTCTTTCTCCTTCAGTGATAAAGTCAATCCATCAATTTCTGCATCACTGGTAAATTCAGTCTGACCATTTCAATAATTTCGTTGAAGGATAATTCTTCATTTTTCCAGTATTGAACAGATAGACTCCTTACCACAAAGATTACAAGTAAAATCAAATACATTTCTTATTTTCTAATGTTTCAATATAATACCTACTAAAAAAGAAATTTCCGGTTTAAGAAACTAGGAATTTTTGTACCACTTCCTCTACTCTGTATAATAAAAATACCCAATTTATGTTTAAACACACAACATCCATTTAACATCTTTAGAAACATCTTAGCTAATCTATTTGGCGACAACTACTACCTATAATAGATTTTATACAAATTTTCTTACTACTAAGTTGCTAGTGTTTCATCTAACTTAAACATCACTTAATCAAATGCTATTTCCTTATAAAAGCCCCACTCTTTATCATCTTTAACATATCTTGATTGTACCTGCCTCTTATGTCACCAACAAAGACCAGCTCCCTGTTCTTATATTTCTTAGCTCAATTTAGATCATATCTTATAATCCCTTCAGAATTCAATGCATTTAAATACAGAGAAGCTTCCATGGGTTAAAAAAAGAAAAGAAAAAAACCTTCTTAGTACAACTTTTCCTACACCAACATTAATAATTTTCTAGTATAGTAACTTAAGAACAAAAGAATCATGTAACTTAGCCTTTCCATACCACATATAAACATGCCAACCCATTTAAATCATTCCTTTTTAAGATAAGAAATCCTCTCATTTCTTCTTTACACCCCTGCCCCATCTCTCTTCCTTTGTTTTCAGTAGCTGTAGTGCTTGTTGTGAATCAGTATTCTTCAATGTCTGTATTTCTTGTTGCAAATCAATATTCACTATTTCTTGCTTTGTTTTCAGTAGGTGTAGCACTTGTTGTAAATCAATATTCATTTCCAATGACTATATTTCTTGCTGCAAATCAATCTTCACTGTTTCTTCTTCCTCACAATAATATGTAGTTAATTCGGGATCTATCCCTCCTTCTTTTTTTCCAGTAAGAAATGTTCCTTCTTTTGATAGCCAGAATCGATTCTCTCTCTCTAATATAACAAGTGAATCCCCTGATAGTTTATTTATTGGCTTTGCTAATTTTGTTTCTTTATCCACGATTTCAACTTTTTCATATGCTTGTTGTATTTTTGTATATTCTGTTCAATATTAGGTTGTACATCTACCAAAGCCTCCTTAAAAGAAATATCAAGTTTGTCAAAATATTCTTTTTGTTCAATTGAAAAGATTTCCTGTTGTATTAACATCGCCTCTTGGGATATTTGCAAAGCTGTTAAGGATTCCTGTATTGTCAGGAGTGTCGTCTTTAGCTCTTCCATAGTGGTAATAATTTTCACCAAAGATTACAAGACAGCAGCAGAAAAAATATAGGCTAGAGTAAAAATACTTGCTATAATCCAAATAGCCACCGGGTGGCATCAAAGAGCACTCTTTCTGTACCATCCTTTGTCCAACAGAGAAAATGACGTGTTTCAATTTGGCAAAAGTCCAGTTGTTTTTGGCAAGAGTCCAAGAAAAGGAGAGAGACAATGGCCAATCAGTGTAATTTTTATCTTCTATCACTTTATTTCAAAATAATTATTTTTTCTGATTCTTCGCCCTTGGGGAGGTTAGAGAAAAAAGGTCTTTCTCTCAAGCCTCAAACTTTCAAAAAGAACTTCCACTCCTCTCCCCCAAATCAGTTGCTGCTTAAAACTCCGTGGTGGGGGGGGGGGATTCCTCCCTCCAGCAAAGGGCTTCTCCTTTCTTCTTTATGCCAAATTAGAAGCTGTGTTGCTCTTTCACGGGCGATATAGAGAAAAAGCAAGATAAAAATGCTTACCCAGCAGACCGATGAACTTTCAGCTAATTAACTATGCTTATTATCCGGCTGTTGGTGGCTTGTAGGGAGCTTTATCTCTCCCCTGTGTTGTCCGATTGAGAAAAGCCCGGATCTCTTCCAATAAATACAGAGCCGCCGTGCCGCACAATTAGAAGAGAGCCCGGACAATCTATCTTTGCCCCGACGGAGCTTAGATGAGCCCTCCCACGGCTCTCTGTCGAACAAACATCAGCGTGATGGCGAGAGTGCCTGCCATTCACCGCCACTCCGCCATGACCCAAACCGGAAGTCTCCCCCTGCTGCTCTCCATCTTATTCCCAGAACAACAACCCTGTGAGGGAGGGTGGGCTGAGAGGCTGTGCCCGGCCCAAGTCACCCAGTCGGCCCCATGGCCAAGCAGGGGCTGGAACCCGGATCGCCTCAGTCCCGGCCCCCTGCTCTACGCCAGGACACACGTCCACACTCTGCTCCAACATGTCAGGACCCAAGCGTGGCTGCTGCCTTAAGAAGACGCCGTTCTTAGCTAGACTGAGAAGCTGCTGGAGGCTAATATTGTTAGTGAGGAAACGCCTGTGAAAAACTGAACCATGGTGTCCATTTGTTTCTGAAAGGGCGTATGTCACCAACGGATCCCCTGAGACTCCAGGCTGAAAAAACCCAGTGCCTTCAGTCTTGCCCCATACCGCTATCAGCAGCTGAGCATTTCACTGCATAGAAATGCCTAGAAATGCCCCTGCATCCTGTGCAAGTACTAATATTATTTAACCCTAATCCTGAAAAGACTCTCCCTGGAACCCACCTGTAGCTCAGGGCAAGGGCGGGTCATGTTTCACGTGATGCTGCATTTGGATTTCCCAGCTCACAACACCCCTGCTCATCATCCCTGAAGTAATGCATGCAGGAAAATTTCAGATAGGTCCTCTTGCTTATATGTGCCTTTGTGTTATAAAATCAAAGCTGCACTTCTTTCTCACAAAGCACCAGCTTTTCAAGCCAGGTCACTGTTTAGCGTGGCTGTTTCCTTGGCATTCTTAGCTAGACTGAGAAGCCTCATGAAATACCTGTGGCCTCATCAGCAGCAGAAACACTGAAACAAGGGTGTCCATTTGTTTCTGAAAGGGCCCCTAAACATCTAGTCCCACGCAGGCAAGCGCCTGCTGAGTGTGGTTGTCACACCAGGCTTCCCGAGTGCTTCCTCCACCGGACACATTCACTTGTTTAAGCAGGCAGACCCACCTGACCTGAACTGGCAAGCATTTGCCAGACTGACCGGTCAATCCGGCAACCAGTCATGCTTCCCATCCTATAGTTACCAGTATTTCCGACAGCTTATTTATTTATTTAAGTTTTTTGTATGCCATCACAATTACTAAAAAAGTCTCTGGGCGGCTTACAAAGAGCTAACATTATGTCATGCCTAAATGCATCAAGATGCTCTTGTACTAAGATTATCTGAAAACTTACACTCTGCACTGGTGTACGTGACTAGCAGGTTATGAAAGTGTCTGTATGATTTGGTAGTTCAGTTTGGCTCTACCTGGTAATGTATTATTGTTAGTGACTGCAGGTACTGGGCCACCGATCAATAAAGCCGCAGAGGTTCAAGCGGCTGATCTTTCCCACAGACCCGAGTGTTTATTTCCTCCTCACAAATTGAAACTGAGACTCTGTCAATGACCACAAAAGGGAACTGGAGGTGGAGAAAAAGGTCAGCAGCCATACTGGCAGAATTAGAGAAGGGAAAGCAACCTGTCCGGATCCAATTCCCCTTCTACGAATGTGTGGCGCAGCTCTGAAGATGGTGCAGAGCTCTGGCGGGGGCCCTGCAAAAGGGCATCGCGGAGCTGAGGAGGGGCAGGGAAGGCCACGGAAGCCTTCCGTGGTGGGGGCAGCGGCTGCCCTGCAAGGAACGGCTCGACAGCTGGCGCTGCTTGGCTTAGCCAAGTGGAGAGAAAGGGCAGGCCTGACGGAGGTGCTCGAGATCATGCCGGGTCTACAGAAGGAGACCCCCCCCCAAAGAAAAACCCTAGACCTCAAAGAGGTCACTTCATGGGGCTGGCTGGGCGGAGAGTCCGGATGCGTCCAGGGAAGGTCGTCTTCAGACAGCAGACTTGAGCTGTGGAACTCATTGTCACAAGAAGCTGCACCGGCCCCCAGTCCCGATAGCTTCAGAAGGGGATTGGACACCCGCATGGGGAGGACTAGCTGTGGCTGCTGGTCCAGGTAGCCGTGGGCAGCCTCCAGGGGCAGAGACAGGTGCCGGGGAGCATGGGCAAGAGAGTGCTGCGGCAGTTCGGCCCGGCTTGGGTGTTTCTCATGGTAGCCACAGTGCCACAGTGTGAAGGGAATGCTGGACTAGAGGCACCCTGGGCCCGATCCACCCGCCTTTAGGTACATTCTTCATGTCCACCATGTGGCGGGTGGGTGGGGGAGGGGAGGGGAGGGCCCAGCCTGTCCTTGTGGTGGCTGGGGCTGTCCGGGGTGCTCCCCACTGCAGCATTTCGGGGGGGGGGGGGAGCTGGCGTGCGCCCTCAGAGATGCACAGAGGAGCAGGGTCGGAGGTCCCAGCCCTGCCCCGTGTTGTTGCCTAACATCTCCAAGGATCAGTCGCATGGTATTTTCCCTCAGAAACCGCAAAGCCGCCAAATTGTGCAAGCAACGCAGATAACTTCCGCTACGCTTGTGGCGAGGTTACATTTGCGTCTCAAAGTGCACGCCACCTATACTTGGGATGCGAAAGAGGGGACCAGGACAAGCGCTGGGCCCCTCCCTCTGGCTGCTTTCCACGAGCACCTTCTCTGCCACTGGCTGAAGCAGAAGAAAAGGCCATGCCTTTCGCAGTCCCGATGGTGAGGAAGGAGCCCGCCAATCACAGCTGGAGTTTCTCGGGAACAGCAAGGCAGACGGCTATGAACAACACGTGGAAAATTTGCTCACGTCCCGTAAAGCACTTGGTGCAAACATGTCACTGAAAATTCACTTCTTACACTCACATTTGGACTCCTTCCCTTTGAACTGTGGGGCAGTGAGTGATGAGCGTGGGGAGAGAGTCCACCAGGACATCGCAGGCATGGAGAAAAGATCCCACGGGAAAGGGAGTCCGTCCATGCGTGCCGAGTACTGCTGGAATCTCTCCAGGAATGATCCTACTGCGGTTCACAAGAGAAAAGCCAAAAAGAGCAGTTTAGATACCGAATAAAGATGGAACCTTCTCGTTTAATCTGATGTTAGAGCTTGCCATGAAAATGCTACATGAAAAACCAATACATAAATGGAAAGTTATGTTACTGGTGTCAGTAAAAAGATAAATGGCACCATTCTCATTGCTATATCACATTTTGCAGAAAAGCTATGGAGCGTCATCGCACACCCACCTTGTAATTTTGAATTATTTTGATGCAATTTTGACCTGAAGCTGTATCTTGGAAACTGGAGCCAATTAATACTCAGGACTTAATTTTCCTTCATTAGTGACCTAATTCTGGTAAAATGTAGCTACTTTCATTTCCAAGGTTTTCTCCTTGTAGACCAGAGTGTGATGTAAGACACCAAAGACCAAAAAACCAAAACCAGTAAAAACAACTCGGCAAACAGCGGCTGCCATTTCACTGCCCCTCTGGAAATGCTTGCCTGAGAAAGGAAGGTGTCCCACAAACGCCCAGGCCAAAGTATCGCAGGCCCAAGCCTGGCCTCGGCTGGAAGGGCGCTGCAGAGGATGGAGCCAGCACACCAAGGACCCTGCCCCGACCTGCGTCGGACACCCAGGAGCATCCCTTCAGCTGTGCAGAAGGTCCACGACTCCAGGCCTGCAGCTCCAAGCAGGAGGAGCAGGAAGAGGGAAGCCACTCTGAGTTTGAAAGAGCACCTGCGCCTCAGGAGAAGGCACTTACGGCCCCCAGGAGCCCCCCGCCCAGTCGTCACGCCGTAGTTCTCTTCGAAACTTCCTCTGAGAAAGAGGTGCAAGCAAGACTTACCGGCTAGAAGACAAGCGATGAGCAAGAGGCAGTGTGTGCCGAGGCTCCTCATGGCTTCTCGGTTAGCCACGTTCCTCTCAAAGTGAGCCTCAGTTCCTGGAAGCGCCTTGCACGCCGCTGCAGCCCGCCCTCTCTGAGCACCGCTTCCTGGGGGGCAGGGGGGGCTGGATGTGCTCTACTTGAATTTCAGCAAGGCTCTACTTGTTGACAGCAAACCCCCCTTTTGTGTGTTCCAGCAGGGCTGGCCTGGTGAAAAGCAGAGCCGATCCCAGCCATCCCGCCAAGGCTTCCTGCAAAGTAAGCGGGCCCTGTCTCTGTGCGCCTTGTGGAGGTGGCGGGTGGCCACTTAGACGGCTGCACTGACTGCGTGTTGGTGGTTTGATGGGAGCAGAGCTCTTAGAAGGCAGGGGAGGGTGAACGAAAGCACTGGCTGGCTGAGGGATGCCCCGGCACCAGGGGGAGCAGGTATTTCATGCAGCAGGTTTATCGCGAAGAGGAGTTTGGGCCAAGGACATCCCTAACCCCCACCCTCTCCTCGCCCTGATCTTGAAAGACATGAATTGCTGGGAGGCAGGGGAGAGAGGGGGTCCCAGACTGGCGGCCTGGCATCACCCATCTTGGGGGAGAAGGGGCTGTCCTGCCCCCAACAGCTCTGAGGGTCCCTGCCTTCGACCGGACTCTAACTTTGCTGCAGGAGCTCTTCCTGGCCCGCTGTGGAGACGCCACTGGGAGGAGGCTGTGCTCGGCGACTGAGGAATGAGGAGTCCAGCGTCTGCGACGGGGCACCAGGCAGCTCTTGCATCCTTGCCACTGCCTCTCCCGCGTTCCCAGGGCCCCTCCCTGCTTCCCCGCCGCTTTCATGAGCCCCCACTTTTACTCTGGCTGGGTGCTTTGGTGAGCTGAGCACAATACTCCAGTTGTGGGCGCACTAGACCTGTTCTCCCCGGCAGAGGAAGGCGGGATGCGCCCCAACGGAGCAAAGCTCAGGGAACCCAGGTTCCATTTTGATGCAGGAAGCACTTCCTGACAGTCAGGACCCCGAGGGTGTGGAATGGGCTTCCACGAGAGGTGGTTGAGGCCCCACGGGAGGTGGTTGAGGCCCCATCGGTGTGGGTGGTCAAGGACAGACTAGACGTGCACATGGTGGGCATGTCATGAGCGGAGCTGGCTAGTGCTGGGCGTCACACTAGATGGCCGGGAGACCCCTTCTGACTCACTCTGTCTCTGTGTTTCTAAGAAGAAACTGGGCAGCCCTCTGAGTGGGATGGTGTAACTTAGTGTCCAGCAACAGGAAGGGGCTGGACCCCATGGCCTTCTGGGCTCCTTCCAGCTCTTTTATTCTATGATTCTATGAATTTTTATAGTTTAAACAGAACAAAAAGGGAGAATGATAGCCCACTGTGTAAGCCGTTGTGGGTTGTCGTCCTGTGCAAACCCTGTGTCAGCAGGGTGTCAGCAAGCCACCCTGGCTGGGCCACCTGAACCGAGAGGACCTGCGAAGCTGGGAGTGAAGCCTCCCCTGCAAGCGAGTCTCTCCAGGGTCCTCGTGAGTGGGAGGGGGCAGGGATAGCTCACGAACCAGCCACTCCCTCCTGCAACTGGCCGGAGGCCCAGGCCAGCTGCTGGGGGCCCAGAACACGCTTTCCCCCGGCCCCAAGTGGGGAGGGGGCGCTGGTGTGGCCCGAGCCAGCCAGCCGCTCGTGCTTCCTTCAGGGGACGGTGAGGTCTTGCGCGTGGATCCCCGACTGCCACTCCAGCGAGGGGCACTGGCCAGGCGCTGCTCTGCCTGTTCCTTCTCCCAGGGAATGATCTCTCCGGAAAGAGCAGAACTGGGTCTGTTTGAAATTGTTTGGTGGAGACCTCGACGGAGCCGTGAAGACTCACGAGTGTCACAGAAAACTGCTCCCGGAGGAAGAGATTTCCTGGAACTGGCTTGTAGGCCAGAATCCACAGCACTGCTTGCTCTTTTGCTCCTGCCCAGGGTGGAGGGTTGGCTCTGGGGAGGGTCTGGACGAGTATCTGTGCCCCAACACTGACCTGGACAGTGCCAGAGACCCCGGGAGAGAGGCCCGATCAAAACAGTTCCCAGGCTGTTCCCTGCAAGCCAACCACACCAGGGCAGAAGGTGGAGGGCGGCAAGCCATGCAGGGAAGTGTGGGGAAGGAGAGAGGCGCTGGCCCAGAAACGGGGATGGCAGCGGAGTGGGCAGCACGTCCGCTGCAGGTTAGAGGGCCGGAGAACGCGGGCTTCCCCGAGGCTCCGAGAGCAGCAAAAAGCAGCAGCAGCAGCAGAGGTAAGAGCAGCGGAGGTGGCAGGAGGCGAGACAGGCGGGGCTCTAAGGCAGCCTTGCTCCGGCCCGAGACATCGGAGGCATTGGGGGACGAGCGTTTCTGGGGGGAGCACAGCTGAGGCCCCCTCCGGGGAATGAGGGGGCAGGACACGGGGAAGACCCCACGGATGACCAAATGTCCATGCAGAGCTCCAGGTGCCTCCTATTCAAACAGGGCCCCTCCAGCTGAGAGCCCGCACATCTGCCCTGGGCACCTCTGCAAAGGACCCCCCGCCCCGCCAATCCCTCCACCACCCTGGCCTCCCGCAGCCACTGGGGCTGTCAAGAGCTCCGCCTGGGAGCCCCTCCTCTGGGGAGAAGAGCCGAATCAGACCTGGGCAATGCAGGTCCTCCCGGCTGGCTGAAGGGCTCCCGGTTTGGGGCCCCTGCACTTCTGCCGGGACCCTGCTCTGCCGTGCTCTGGCCTTCGTGACTCCTGCTCCCTTCAGAGTGTCCTCCAGTTTCCCAACACCGGGCTCGTCTGAAACGCTTTCTTCCAGAATGGGCTGTCTGGTGTGGCAGCCCCGGTTCAGACCTTTGGACCGTGTGATCGTGCCTTGGACTGCCCCCCATCCCGGGTGCCGCATCCTGGGTCCCACGCCTGGGCGCTGCCGCTCGGATTGGACCAAACGCAGCCGGTCTGGTCCGTGTAGCAATGCCACTTTATTGTCTGACCGAGCGATACAAGGAAGTACAAGGGAGAGGTGCTTTGGGGGGGATACAGAAACACCGTGGGCTTCGGAGCCTGTCGGCTCTCTGCTCCAGGGACCCCCCGGGCCTCCCCTGTTCCCGCGGGTCGCTCCTCGCCTTGCATGGCCTGCCGTGTCTCGCAGTCTCGAGCTGGGCTGTGCCCCTGGAAGGCAGCGGGCGCCCGGAGTGACTCCTGTTCTTGTGGGAATGCCAGGGGCGGAGGGGGAGCGACCCAGCACTGCCTGCCCGGGGCGCACGGCAGGCCGGCTGACGGGGGAGGAGGAGCCCAAAGGGGAAGGAGCCGCTGATGGGATGCGCGAGCCGAGGAGCGGCTTCAGCGGAACTGCAGGGGGCTAATTCGCAGGCCGAGGACGTCCTTGCCGATCTCCGTCACCTGCGGGAGCAGAAGAGGCACAGGCGAAACTGAAGGGGGTGGGCGTCTGGGAAGGCGACCCCCCCCCGCATGCTTCTTGGGGCTTGGGAGCTGTGGGCTCGCCACCAGCCTGGTGGGGGAGGCAGCGCAACGCAGGACCCGCTCCCAGGAGAAGGGCGGCAAGGGGGCGGCACGTACCGTCGTGACTCTGCAGATCTGGCCGCGGAACTCAGGGCTGTAGCAAGCCCCGCTGAGCGGGCACTTCTCCACCGGCTTGCCCCGGTAGATGGGCCGGTAGGAGGCGGCACAGATGTCGAAGGGGTTGTGCATGTCGTAGTTGAGCTGGCAGGTGTCCGTGGGGTTCTTCTCGCAGGCGGTCAGGATCTTGCGTGTCTGGGAGGACGGAGGGCGAGGGGTGAGCCGTTGCAGGGGCGAGGCGAGACGCGTGTCGGGGGCCTGGGAGCCCGGGGGAGCCACTCCCTCCGCGAGCGCTTGGGCGGGATGAGGAGGGGCTGCCCTGCTCTGTCCCTCTCCCTGCCAGCTTAGCTTCCCAGCGGCCACCCCCCCCCCCCGACTGCTAGCTGTCTGGAGCGCCCGGAGTGGGCTGAGGACCTGAGAAGGGCTCCTGGCGGGACAGGCAGTAGCCCCCACCGGCAGGCCTGCTCCCAGACACCCATGTGGGTCTCCTCAGGGGCAGGGCGCCCCCGCTCGCCCCAGAAGCAGCTCTCAGTTGAGCCGGGAGGCCTGCACCCACCGGGGGCACCCCCGCCAGCGCTCCCCGAGGCACACGGTCCGGGCGCATGCCCAGCGGCCTCGGCCGTGCTGGGGAGAACACCTCCAGCGCAGGCAGCAGAAGCCGCGACGGTCGCCCTGCGCCCATTCACCCCTGCCGGGCCTGCAGCTCGGCAGGTCCAGGCTCGCCTCTGCGGAGGACGGAGCGCTCATGGACCCTTTTCCAGTGGGGAGCAACTCCTGGAGCGGCGACGTCAAGCTGACCCGCTGACCCACCGACCCGCGGGGAGGGCATCCTGGGGAGGCCGGCACCTGCCTCGTGAAGGGAAGTGGGGGGCCGGAAGTGGCGATGCCCCCCTCCCTGCCGGGCAAGCCCCTTGTTCTGAGACACGTCCAAGAGGGAGAATGAGACACGGTGCTAACAGAGCCAGGAATCCCAGTGCGGGGCTGTTGCACTTCAAAACGCCGCACACAGGAGAGGAGCCACCCTTTCTGGGTTGCACAGGAGGGGTCCGTTCACAAAAAGCACGTCACGCTTGGTCGTGCTGGCGCACAAAGAGATCTCCTCGCCCGGCTTCCGGCACCAGGAGGGGCCCTCAGGGCACGCGGCAGCGGCGGCCTCTCCGCACCCCTAACCACTCCCCCTGTAGCCTGCGCCGCCTGCTGCACCTTCCAGGTCCCAAAGAATTCACAGAAAGCACCTAATGGAGCTCGTGGCTCCTGCGAGTTCATGTAGCTGGGAGGACCCATGCGCCCATACCTACCTGCTCCCTTAGATCAGCCCAGGAGACCCTTCTACGAGACCCACCCCACAGGGAGGCGAGAAGGGGGGCAACGAGGCGAAGCCCTCTTCCACTGCTGCCCCCATCTCTGGAACTCTCCCCCCCAGGGAAATCCATGTGGTGTCATCCCTATTTTCCTTTCGGCACCAGGTAAAGACGTA